CTCCTAGCTGTGCCTACTTCATTTTAGCACCTTCTGTTGAAAAGTCTCCCCAGCCTTCCTTAGTTTCTACAGAAGCAGTTCATCACTACATCAAACAAATCAGTTGTGTTCATGATCTAAAACATGCTGGAAGCAGACTGCAGCTCCACCATGTCAGCTCCACTTCACTCCACTCCACAGCTTCCATCACCAGGTACCTGGTACCTCTGAAGTTGCAAGAGTGGTATTCTGGCTACAGGGGCCAGTGGGGTCTGAGTGACACTCCATTAACCTTGTAAATGGTTATCTTAGCACACACTGGCTCATGAAAATGTTTAAAAAATATGCAAAAGTTGCTAAGTATCCCTTTGCTTTGTTTGACATTTGTGGGAAGAAGCATGGGTTGATGTGGATCAAATCAAATCAATCAAAGATACTTTATTAATCCCAGAGAGAAATTAGAGAATCCCAGAGGGAAATTAGGATCTGCAGTCATGTGGTTGTGTCGCCTGCAAGGTGAAATTACCAATTGGTCCACATTCCAATCATCACATCAGGTTTTAACCAAAATAATAAGAAATTGAAAACAAGTGTTTCCTTCTGTGGGAGGTGTTTTTAGATACCTGGAGGTGCATCACATCTCACAGCTGAATGCTTTGGAGTCCTCTGGATGAGCTGGAGGAGGAAACATAATTATGGAACATCTGGGTGCAGACACTTTTTTCATGGGTTTAACTTTATGACATCTCCATGCGGATGTCACAATTAGTCATAACTTGGGTCTTTTGTTCTGGTTTTTGTCTTTAACAAAAGATTCTACTAGTTTTTTATTAGTTGATTTATTGTCTTGAGAACTGGACTATCACAAATGTCAAAATTTTGAGAGGATTTCCCTACAAACATGTTCTGCATGAGTGATTTTATTTATCATTCCTTTATTGGTAAACAAAGATTTTTATGCGTTATGTGTATTTCCTGTCCCTTTTATGCTTTTCTCACATCACTAGTAACATTTACACAACGGCAAAACGGTTTTTACAAGCTCCAAAACCTATTAACCTGCAAAATCCGTTTCACACATTTTTCCATTAAAGGACTCAAACAATGAAATGATGATTATTAGTTTTGCAAGAAATGACTATCCAGAATTCACGAGTGCATTCATGACTGACATGACATATGCTAATGAGAATGTTATGAAACAGCAGAGAATAGTATAGAAGCAGCTGATGGATGTCTGTTATGGATTTTACCAATATGTTTATCAATAACCCATTTCCTGTAGTCGAAGAGAAAAGGAGACAATGAGTCAACAAGTCAACCAGTTATAACTGTGGCATATGCACGAGGCAACATGCCCCGAACATCTGGTCACAGACTTTATTTAAACAAAAAATAAGAAAAAAATGGGAGTGAGAGAGAGAGAGAGAGAGAGAGAGAGAGAGAGAGAGATTGTGTGTGTGTGTGTGTGTGTGTGTGTGTGTGGGAAGAACAGTGTGTGGGTGTGTCTGACCTTAACCCTAAGCTTGGTTTATGCTTGTGCACATTTACTTTCCGCTTGGTGATGCGGCTCGCGGATGGAACGCGCTTCACAACTTGCAGCGTTTATGGTTCATGCGGCTTGTCTCTGCGGTGAGCCATTATTCTCCCAAACTGTAGGGGGCAGCATGGAGCTCTACGGCATGCATCCAACACTGAACTGTAGTAGAAGTAAAACTTATTGTTGTTTACAACATGGCATTCCAGCATTTCTAACAGCGTCCTCATCTTTTCCGACAGTGCGAGCTGTTTCTCTCCAAGAATTATTAACATGTTGATCACGGTGATCTCTGAGAGCTGAATCATACAAATGTCTGTATTCACGAACCTCTGCCATACTAGTTCTTGCCAGTCTGCCATGTTTTTCCGCGTCCGACCGTCCGCGTGGTTAGAAAATTTCCTAGGTGCGCGGTGCGGAAAGTTTGGGCCATGCGGAGGCGCGGTGGAGGGGCGTGGTTGTTAAAATGATGCAATTTCGCCGCACGGAGCCATGCGGACCTCGCAGATGCGTCAAGCATAAACCAACCTTGAAAATGCTTCAGGTCATTTGTTAACAGGATTAAAGCAATGAAATATAAAATTTCCATAACAATGTCCTGAAGCATTTCTGTTTGATTGATGGAATGAGAAAACACAACTATGATGAGCACAAGTGACTAAACGTGGGGGTTGAGGGAACATTATTAAGAGTTTTTATTCTGATTAGACCAAAAACAGTAAACCATTTTCTTTTTAACCTTTTTTTTCACAGTTAAGATTTACTCTAAATCAGATTTAGAGCCAGTGAAGGCATCTGGAGCTTGGCTCACTTCTGAACGTCATCTAAAGAGACAAACTGATTTAATAGAAAATGACAAGGACATCTAGCAGGCACGAGTCCGAGAAACTCAGTCAAGAGATGACGCCTGGACAAAGGCAAAGATGCAAATTACATCTTTTAACATGTTCCACGGTGACTCTGGAGATGTTACTGTCTGCTGAAATCCTGTTCACAGAAACAGGATTTGGGATTTGTACATTTTCCAGCTGCAGGATACCGTAGGGGTTTCAACTTGATTTAAATAATAAATGACCTGCAGTTATCAGCATCAGAATCAGAATAAGCTTTATTGCCAGCGCTCCAGCGACCCAGAGCATAGGAACTTGACTCCGCAAACACAACCTGACCAAGGTTAAACATAGACAAAAACAGGAACAGGCAGTCACGAGAGCAGCCAGGACGGCACTCATTTCGTTAGATGAAGAGGGTGTTACATGAGGATAATTGGGGTAAGGTAAAAAAAAAAAAGGCATAGCAGAGTTAGTCCCAGCAGGGAGTAGCTCTATTATACAAAAAAACTCCTCAACATAGAAGCACGAACATCACAGTTACAAAACATCAGACTCCAATAGGGAGGCGGGGTGGGGCGGGATCCTGAATCCTCCAATGGGAGCTGCCAGTACGGCGCTCAGCCAGCTGCAGTCAAACGGGTGGGAGGGAGAGTTGAGGGACAGAGAGCACATTGACTTTCCTGCTGGTTGACCTCGAAGCAGAAGTCACAATCTGAAGGCAGGGGGGGAAGGTCGGGTCACAGCATCTGTCAGCATTTCTTCTTTTGTGGGGATGGGTTGGTGGCAGCCTTGGAGGCTGCCTTGGCGTCAGATAAGGATAAACAAGACTTTGTTTAGGGCAGACAGAGATAATTTTCCTCTCTGCTTTGGATTCTAAGTGGTCATTCATGTCCACCAGTGAAGCATATTATACTTTCTAAACATCCCCACACCATCCGGCGACCCTCTCCGAGAAGACATCCATCTTGCGCACTAACACAGGCAACGCCGCGAGGACATTGTCCACCTTACGGTTCACCTCGAGTAACGTCCCAGTCTGTGAGGTCACCGCACGGGCGGCACATTCCGTGGGTACGGGTCACACTCCAATTGCTCCCGTCTTCCCAAATTTCCAGAAAACCAGATATCCTCCCACTCCAATCAGAAGAAATCCAGTGATCATCAGGCCGAATATCCACAAATCTGCCACATCCTCCATGGACAACTGAGAGAGGCACACGATTCGCCAGACCTCCCACAGCTTCCCTGGGGCACACTGACGGAGGCGAGGCTGCCGAGCACAGGCGCCACCGATCCCTCCAACCACCACCAGCAGGCAACGTGGGTTAAGTGTCTGGCCCAAGGTCCCTGGGTCCCGGGTCACTGGGTTCCGGGCTCGGCCAGCTTGGGGGTGAGAGGCTGCGGGCGGGCCTGTAGGCTTGCCGCTGATATCTCCCGGGACTCTGCCGGCTGCTGGTTGTGGCCTCCCGGGGCAATCCTCTGCACCTCTCGAGGGGGGCAGGGGCTTTTCTGGTCGCAGTCTCCCTGGGGTCCCTGCGCTCTGGGGCAGCTCCTGAATCTCTGAGACTTGGAGCTCCCTTCATCTCCTGCGCATCTTTGTGGGGCAGATCTGTGGTCCCTCACACTGTCTATTGGACGCTCCTATAGAGAAATCTTACATATACAAGCGCGTCTACACACACAGGTGCTCACATGGTGTTCTCTAAGTATGGACTTGGGCACGTTCAACACGTCTTAAGGCTGTGGTTGGCATTTAATGCACTGTGATTTATGATCGTGATTGTTCAGTAAAACAATGCTGATTCTATATTTCTTCATCAGGTTGACGCAGTGATAGTTTGCTCCTGTTGTATTGCTGTGTGTCCCTTTTCTTTTTTGTTTCTCTCCTTCTGCAGGTCTAGAAGCAGACTCTTGTTCATCATTGATTGTTTGTTTTTGTGGACCCCCCCTTCCCCTTCTTTTGTCTCTTCCTTTCTCTTTCACCTCTGTCTCCGTGTCTGGTCGTAATTACAAGCATTCAAAAAACAAGAACAATAAAGTTTTAAATATCAGGCGTGACATTAAAAGCTGACGTTTTGATGCTCCACCTGAGAGTAAATCCGTAAGGCTTGTTACCAGCATTCAGACATTAATTCTGTTTGCTTCACAGCCAGACAGGACACGATAAAAAATAAAAATAAATAAAATAAAATAAAGTGTCTAGCCCAAGGACACAGCAGAGTTCTCTGTCTGGAGTGGGGATCAAACCTGCAACCTTCTGATTACTGGACAACCCGCTCTACCTCCTGAGCTGCACTACTGCCGGTTAAAGATAAACAGCAGCAGATATTATATTTAAGGGATGATAAACATTTCCCCATGAAAGCTAACCTCTCAGATAAAATGCTCTATAACGAGCAGATTTGTCCAAAATCCCTTTATTCAAATAATTATGGAAACATGGAAGTTTAAACCTTTCAAAATCATTTAAACTGTACAGTTTAAACTTTGAATTGTTATTTGTTTGCTTTTTGTTGGATTGCTTTTAAACTGGTTTTCTATGTGGATTGTAAATTACAGCATACAGAAATGTGTTATTGGACTTAATTGGATTATTAGCAAAATTCCTCATTTTAATATGAATGGTAATGTTTGCTATCTGGTTACGATGAAAATGGTAAATTAAATGTTGCTTTCTTATCAGTTCCTCCTGTTTCTGTCCTCAGCAATAATAATACCCATGGATTTCTCAGATTTGCATCATGTGCAAAACTGCGCACAAATGAGCAGATTTATTGGAAGATGCACAGAGAACGATGTGATTTTTACCTGAAGGTGTAAATCAGCTCCATCTTTTCAGCCTCGTGACGCACGCGCGTGTAGGAGGGCAGAGAGAGTTTATAAATCAGCCAGGACGCAGGGAGGACGCACCAGTGCCCACTACTCCTCCTGAGCTGTGATGTCTCAGCAGGATCAGCTGGTTTTGACCCCAGAGGACAGCTCCCTCCTCAACGTATCCAAGGCGTTATGGGATCCATCCATGGAGCAGCAGCAGTACATCATCTGGATCCCTGGCATCGGGATCGCTGCCATATACGGGATCATCATCATCGTGGGTCTTGTGGGGAACGTGACTTTGATGAAGACGTGTCTGCTGGTGAAGACGATGCGCACGGTGCCAAACTTGTTCCTGTCCAGCCTGGCTCTGGGGGACCTGCTGCTGCTGGTCACCTGCGCCCCGGTGGACGCCAGCCGGTACCTGCTGGACGAGTGGCTCTTCGGCCGCGTCGGCTGCAAACTCATCCCGTTCATCCAGCTGACCTCAGTGGGAGTGTCGGTGTTCACCCTCACTGCGCTCTCGGCTGACCGGTACAATTCAGGCTGATCTCAGACCTGCTTTCACTTTACGAAAGAGTCCTAAAATCTATTAAACCTCACAAATGACCCAGAAAACGCCCTCAAATTGGGATTTATCTTGATCATGCTTAAAAAACCTAATTTCCAAAGCATATTCGAGCTTTTACACAAACTTACTGAGTGAAATTTTAAATTAAGCATAAGGAAAATGTCTTAATTTGAGCAGCTCTTTATTTTCTTGTCTGTGGACATGTTTTACTGTTTTGACAAACACAAATAAATTATGATCCAAATTATTGTGTTCTGAATACATTTTTTAAAGTTGTGATTTAATCAGATTGACTACAAAAATCAACAATAATCATCAATTTTGAATAAAATTCTTATGTTAGAGAAATGCTACAAACAATTAACTTATTGAACTTTAAGCCAACAGCATGAACATGCACAATAGCTTGTAAATTTTATTTTAATCTACAATCAGCTAAAAAACAAAACAAAAAAATACTTATATTCTTGCAGAATCATTGCTGCAAATCTTGCTTTTCCTGACTAAATTTTACTCCACACATTAGCTCTGCATGCTGCAGGCTACAAAAGGTCTGATTTTTTTACTTTCAAAAAAGAGAGAGCTGGGCTTTATTCTGAGCAACTGTGCTGAAACACACAGCGAGCCTGCACTTTCTCTTGGAATCTTAGAGTGAATGTTCCATTTCCTGTTTTTCTCACAACGAACAACAAGTCCACAGCCAGGGTTTGAGCAGCAAAATGCACAAGTGTTGCCATGCATTAAAGCGTTGAATCAACTGCACTAAAAGGCCGGCTCTTCTGAAAATATGAAATACACCAGAAACTTTCCATGAGTTCACATTATAGAAGAAAAGTCAAAATAAAAGAACTTCAGGAGATTTACTTTAATGTTGGTGGAAAATAGAACAAAACAATCTAAATGTACATGTTTGGTGAGATTGTTGCAGCTGGTGGAGAGAATAGTTCATAATAGTTACGTTTTCTTCACTGATGGACAGACAACCCAAAAGAAGCTTTTAGTGGAGAAAAATGCCTAAAACACGTCCAGTAACTCAGAAATGTGTTTTTAAGGAGAAAACTAGGCAGCTATGAAGCAGATTTGTGTCGGTTCTAACAGCTGTGGTGATTAATCCGACTGTCACCACATGCAGATAGGATCACCTTCTGTTTTCTTTGAATCAGAGCCTGCACTGATTTTCCATCTTGGATTTTTTTATCAGTATTTGTTTGAATTATATGCTGATTTTAAATTAAACAATAAAACATCCTCCCGCAGTTTGCTCTGATTACTTAAAAGACCTCTGATGAGCCTTTAAATGATGTTTCCACCTCCTTCAGGTACAAAGCTATCGTCAAGCCACTGGATATCCACAGACCCAATGCCACGCTCAGCATCGGTCTACGTGTCGGAGCCATCTGGCTCCTCTCTGTGATGCTGGCCATTCCTGAAGCCATGTTCTCCGACCTGCACGCCTTCACCACCAGCCACACCAATGAGACGTTTGTCACCTGCGCGCCTTACCCCCACGCTGGGGAGCTGCATCCAAAGATCCACTCCACCGCCTCCTTCCTCATCTTCTACGTAATCCCACTTCTCATCATATCTGTTTACTACTGCTTCATAGCTCGTAGTCTGGTCAGCAGCTCTGCAGACATCTCTGCAGAGGGACACCTGCACCTTCAGAAACAGGTTAGTAAACCCAGATTGGGTTGCTTGTTTTTACTGATGCACAATCATGCATGTTTTAGTTGTTTTCCTGCTCCAGTACGCCTGTTAACATGTCCTCAAGGTCTTCAAACTTGTTGTGTTGAATTAGATAAGCAGCTAAAAGAAACAGGATATGTACTAATAATGAGATAACCTGAGATTGTAATCAGAAAAAAGACTTTTACAAAAAAATAGTTAAGTCACACGTTCATTGTTAGTCAAAGAAAACTTTTTTGAAGCCAAGCTGCAAGGAAAAACAATTTCATGTTTGTATCAATGAAAAAGAAATTCAAAAACCAACCAACCAACTAACACTAAAAAGTGTCAGCAGTCTGTTACTTTTCATTTGTGCTCATTTTAAAGTCCAACAAGACAGCTAATAAGGGTACAGTAATTGATACGATTTCCTGAAGCATTGCATGATCTGTTAACACTCTGATGAGACGACATTCAGCTACAGCCACATTAAATTGTTATGCAATATCTGCAAAAATTGTTGACTTATAGAGATTTTTGTGTCTTCGAATGTCGGCCATCTTTAAAGCTGCAGTTGCAAATTTGGAAAACGTGTTAGCTTGAAGCTTTTTTTACGCCTCTTAATAACATTCTAACAGAGTATAGCTATAAATATGTTGTGGGGATAAAAAAAATGAAAAAATAAATAAATAAAATAAAGTGACTCTCTTGCATTTGTCAAAAATCTCTGTCAACAACACACTTCGGACCAAAAGCAACCATTGGACCATCCGCTTGTCGGTCTTGCCAAACCACCGAACCGCTGCCCTTCCCTGGATCCTCCATTCATTACGCACCTACGTATTTTGCAACAGAACACCAACGTTGTGAGAGGTTCTCCGCTCAACAGTGGTGCCCTCAAGGGGTGGCCAGGAGTAACCCTAGCCACCCCTTGAAAATTGCTGCCTCCCCAGGAAAGACCAAAGTTAATAAATCACATTAATTTTCACTCAGAACCATAAACTGATCTTATTAATAAAAGACATAAATGTAAAACACAACAAAAATACATAATCAATGAACAAAGAAATGATCAGAATTAAAAAAAAATTATATGTTTCTGCTCACCATTTAAAAAACCGTTCCACATAGTTTTTTGTGAAGACAGCAACAGGTAAATTAAACTAAAAAATTAAAATTCTAAAATAACATTTATAATAACTGAAATGTGTTTGGCTGAGATGTTTGTGTTACTCAAGTTTGAGCTAAGTTTTTTGGGTACACATTGTTTTTTATAATACATAATAAATAAAGAAGCAATGCAATGCATCGCCATGAGGACCAATTTGGTGTGCCATCCCAAAATTTTCCATGGCTATCTGGCCAACCTTATCAAAATTTTCTGGGGGCGCCTCTGCCACTCAGTAATATCAGAGAAGGAGAAACAGCTGATTGCTACCTTCAACTTTAGGACAAACCACCAGAGTCCCAAAAAGAAAACACCATTTGAAGTCTTGGACAACAAAAGACATTTGGACCTAGAAAATGACGGCTGGTGTTTAGCGCTATCTCGTTTCCTCTTGCAGTGTGTGTTTCCAGTTCTGGCAGAAGCGTCTCAGGAAAGATACCCAAGGGTCGGGATGAGTGTTTGCATTCAAAACTTAGCTTGTTTAACACATAGCCATAACAACTTTAACCAGTTTGACTCTAAAAGCTGATCAGTTGCAGGGGAACATATGAAGGTCATTTTCTGGGAGTTTTGCTCAAATCTGTCCAGTGGATTCTGAGATATTTTACCAACAGACAAAATCAATAAATTTTGTACAACAAAGGTCAGACTAGGATATTCTGGTAAAATCTTGCAGTGATTTCTTTTGTAGTTGGAATGTTGATCACATCACAATCCAAAGGTAAGGCTGTTGCAGCATCCTGTCCTCCTTCAGAGACACAAGACAAAGAGAAAGATGGGCAGACAGAGATTATGCACGTCTTGAAAAATGATCAGATTGCAAACAAATGTAAATCAGATTGAAGAACTAGTGAAATAAATAAATGACAAAACACTGAAGCTCTTTGGAAGTTGCTGTCATGGTCACCTGCTTCCTCATAGACCACCGCCTCCCTCCACGCTGCAGCAGGCGTGTGACGGGAGGCTAAAACAGAACCAACATAGTTAGGATTTTTTTGCTGCAGCTGCAATAAAAAAAAAAGAAGAAGAAACAAAAGCTAAACCGAATCCTGACAAAAATAACCCATGAAAGAGAAAAGACAATTCTCCTATTATATTGTCCACTTTTAGCAAACAAACACCATAATAGCAACCATTTTAATAGTTAGATAAAAATCTTTTTTAGAACAAGATTCCAAAAGCACAATTTTGACCATCTTTTAAATAATTAATCTGCACTGTTTTTATTTTTCATTTGATTTGTGAGCATTTCCTGGATAAAAGCAGCATTAATGAAATGTTCAGAGCATGCACAAAAATACCAGTCATTATAATATCTGAAATACTAATGTTAACAATACCTAAGGGCTGTAGCTCCGACAGCATTTCAGTGAAAAAAAAAATTGGTAGCCCAAGATTATCATCGTCCCGGTGTCTTAAATCTTCTAGTTGCTCGGCAACTCCTCCCAGCTCCAAAAGAGTCACAGCGAAACTGCAAATTGCTCTTTACACTCTTTATTCTTTATGGATTAAAGGATGGAGTTGTGATGCTTTTAAGTGCTGTGAGGAGCTGTAACAGGTGACCTGAAGTTGTGTCTCTTTCAGGTTAAACGGCTTCAGCCCAGCATGAACGTGATGCGGATTGTCTCATGTCAGAAATGTTTTAATTAAAAAATCTGCGTGACACCATTTACCTCGGCACTCAGAGGACATTTCTCACAGCGAGGTGCTTCAGATCTTTATTCTGTGTATTCACCGCCTGTTTGAAACTCTTTACAGTTTAAACTGAGCTGCAAAATGTCCTAAAAGGTCTAAAGGAAGTCATCTTTCAGGAATTGCATCAAGTCAGTGACTCGATGCAATTTGCTGGGTTCCCTAGCCACAGTTGGCGATAGGAGCTGGGTGGCCTTTCATTAACCATGTAAAGGATACTTTTAGCACATACTGGCTCAAGAAAATTTTTTAAAAATATGAAAAAGTTGCAAAGTCTCCCTTTAAAATGACAACAGAGTGATAGATTTGTCCTTTTCTGTCAGATCAAGTCCAGGAAGCGTCTGGCCAAGACTGTGCTGGTGTTTGTGGGTTTGTTTGCAGTCTGCTGGCTCCCCAGTCACGTGATCTACCTGTACCGCTCCTACCACTACGCCCAGGTGGACACATCCCTGGCTCATTTCATCGCCAGCGTGTGCGCTCGCATCTTGGCCTTCACCAACTCCTGCGTGAACCCGTTTGCTCTCTACCTGATGAGCAAAAGGTTCAGCAAACACTTCAGACACCAGCTGATGTGCTGCAGCTCTCCTAGATGGCTCTACAGCCAAAACAGCGCCAGCACCAACGTGACCACCGTCTGAAGGGACCTTGTAACTTTTCATCCAGTAAACTTCTGTGAATTCTTGTCAGATTCTTGCATGATGGTAACTTTCGTTGAGTTTGTTCCCTGCAGATTTAAACATGCCGTTTATAAAACCTGTTACAAAACCTTTCTCTGGTGGAAATGTTTTTTTTTTCTTTTTGTTGTGTTCATATTATCTGACATCTAAATGTAATATATAAAAAAGTCATGTCATGGTGGTAAACCTAAAGCCATTTAGATGTAGCAATTATGTGTTATTATATGGTTTTAAGGGAAACTGATCGCAGCTGCCATTAGAAGTAGACAGACATTAGTTTTTTATGCGTTTTTGTTTCCTCCTTTATAGCAGTAATTATTTAAGAAGCTTAGAGTGGAGCAAAGTTTCTCTCTGATCTTCAAATGTTTGACGAATGTAAAATATTCAGCTGAACACATAGCTGTCTTGTTCTTTGTAAACTGTATGTATGTGATGAATTACATTAACATGTTGCAGTAATTAAAAATGTGATTTTATTGAACGGTTGTGATTTAGGCTTTGCTTCTCTATGCTGCAGGTATAAATTATTTCTCAATAAAATGATTATAAAGTAAGTTTTGCTTCAGGCTGAATACTAAGTTTGAGTCATTCATAAAAATGCGAGTCTTACAAAAGCCCCAAACAGAAAAATCACCTGAAAAACGGCAAAACTACTTCACCTTCTAAGCAGTGGTGCTCCCAAGAGGTGGCCAGGGGGGCCACCCCTAAAATAAAATGCCCACACAGCACAACAGTAACATTTAAAACAAGAACTGTTTGAAATTTGGAAAATTTTTCAGAAATGTTTGTGTTTCTCTAATTTGAGGTTAATGTATATGCGTATTTTTAATGAAAAAAAAAATGAAGGAACAATGTAATGAAACAGAGGCGTTTTACCCACACGCTCCTTTTCAAGTGGGAGTGATTCTGAAATAAAACAGGAACAAAAGCATTCCACACAGCTGATCCTCTGAGGTCACAAGATCACAGGACAATTGCCAAATCACGCGAGATTTTGGAAGTTACGAGCAAGGACAAAGACAGCAGCATGTACTCACAAATAGCTGTGGCTTATTTTATGTTCTGTTTAACATAGACTACAGGGGTTTTAATAGGAAATTATGGACGTTTACCTGCACGTGACTTTTATTTAGAAAGTCTCGTCATATTTTGCACCGCTTTTTTGTTTGAATTTCTGTCTGAGGATTTTGATATGTTTCGGAAGTGTAGCCCATAAAAAATAGACTTGAAACATACACTTTGCTGCCGGTGGAAGAAGAACCCTTCCATTATAACGACAGCTAATTGCGACACTTTCTCGCCCGGTGGAAGGAAGCTTCAGTTACTACAGTGACCAATTTGGTGTGACGCCCCAGAAATTTCATTGGCCCCTCATGAAATATTTCTGGATACACCACTGCTTCTAAGACCTTTCATGCTGGAGCGTCTGCTTCCTTTTCACACTTCGTCATTGCTATAGCAGGTGGTTCCTGCGGGAAGTGCTACAGCTAGCTCCTGCTGCTACTTGAGCTCACAAGTTTTATCTGAAAATTGATGAAACACAAAACTGTTGGTGATGTAAAGATTTCCAAACCACCTTTCATATAAGATGCTAAAACAGCATATAGCTCATTGAATGTAGTCTATTTCTTCTAACTGAGGTTGTTCAAAGATATTAACTGATCATCTAAAAATATTTTTTTTTATACCTGCTGGACAATTAATTGAAATTACAAATTCTTATTTCCAGATATTTTTGATCTGATCACAAGGTTTATGCAAAATGGTAATTACTAAAAAATGTGTCTTAGCTTTTTAATTACATATCAGTGTGTACAATTCTACGTAAATCAACACTTCTGGAGGCAGGTAAGTCCTCTGCTTCTTCTTCTTTTAGAGCGATGCTCGTCCAAAAGCAGATGCACCAATTAAAACCCTTTAGATCATTTATTTTTCCCTCAGAGCTGCATTAGGGACCAGAATGAGATTCGTTGTCTGATCACGACCTGCCTCCTTGCTGTAACCTCTCCATGAACTCTAACGGCACTTTTTGCTTCAAATTGTATAAGTTTGTTCAGCTGCAGGAAAACATGAACTGTTTTTCATTTTTCTGAAGACTGAGGTTCTTCTTTGCTGTTTAGCTGAAGAGATGTCAATTTAAATCTGTCCAAACAACATTTCCAGGTCTCCGCAGAGGTGACCTTTTAGGGTGGCATTTGGAAATGAATTCCCCTTCAGCAGCACCGGCCCCAAATACAGTCCATCCGTCAGTTCTCCAGCCTTTACTCCTGTTAATCTTTTCCTGCAACTGTTTATTTCACTTCAGGAGATTTAATTGTTTTGCATCTGGTAAATCTGCACAAAACTACAGACGGCCCTATCTGAACAGTAATGAATCACTGATTGGTGCAACCCGATTAATAAACTTATTTTTGCTGATTTGTGTCTTCTCTAATAAATTGTGCAGCCTCCTTACCAGACTGCAGCAAAACATTTAGAAACAGAATCAAATTGGTTTCTGCAAGTTTGACCCGGCACAGAGACATAAAAGAGCAGATCTGGAGGAGTGGATTTTATTTTTAGGTTTTTCATTATTTGTTTTAAGTCTTTTGTGGTCAAGCTCCGAGACCCTGAGTTAACTCCACTTTCAATCCATTATTCACACTTCAGAGCCAAAGGTGACTTCTGGGTCAGCGTTTTCACACTGAAAGGCTCCTTATTCTTCTCTTGCATTTATGTCTGACAGAAAATGTCTGTTTTTAATCATTTTAAGTAGTTTTTATTCCACCTGTTCCTCTTATTACTGAATTTCTTTGCTCAGGAGGGAAAGAGCTTTATCATCTGAAGCTTCTCACAGGTGAGCAAAATGTGTTTTTCAGAGAGACCTTGAAGGGGTTTGTTAATAAATATGACTCGTGTGATAATAGGTTTTAAAAGTTTACATAATTTCTCAAGGTCAAAATAATCATAAAGCTTTGGTAAAATGTCTTTACTCTCAAACGCATTACCTCATTGCAATTTTTCATGATAACTTGGGTCATGATTCATCATTTCTCATCGCTTCAACATGAATTCAACTTTAAAACAGAAACTGCAGAAACAAACAAGGATCAAAAAGTCTCCCTTCATTTAACTCCCGCAACAAAATCATTTTTGTCCTTTTTCTGTTGTCTTCAACCCCAAGAGACCTCAGTTCAGGTGACATTCAGGCGGCTCCCTGTGAAGCTCCAAAGGTTTAGCACACTTATAGAAACAAGAACAACAATAAAAACACTGATCTGGCTGTGCTCATCTTTTGAAAGCATGCAAAAAGGGATGTCAGATTCTCAGCTACTGAATGGACGGCTTTAATTAAAGCACAAAACACACACAAAAAGCTAATTTGGTTAGCTATTTCTGTCTTAAACGTCTTTTTTAAAACAAAATTAATAAAAAAGCTCCATTCTCTGAATGAAAATGTGTTTTTGTGCATGTGTTCTTTTTAGGTCGGTAACAAAAAACAAATGAGACGGGTGAATCAGCGCATGAGACACACAGCAGGCCTCACACATCTTAATGGTAGAGCAGAAAGTCCTTGATGGTGTGAGGGAGGAAGAGGATGGAGGCGCGGTGTAGGCGGCTCCGACCAAGACTTCGACGGATGGAGGAGCGACACAGCCGAGACAGAGAGCCGAGACCTGGGTGGAGGATAGGATGCAGATGTTAATACTAGCAATCAGGCAGAATGACCTCTGAGACAAGGTGGAGTGCATGCCAGTTAGTCATGAAGCACTAAAACATACCTCTCTTCTGCAGCACAAGTCTAACTGAACTGTCTGGTGCTGAAAGATCTAAAGGAGATTTCCCATCTGTGTTTCTGGAAAACCTGTCAGCTCCGAAGTCCAGCAGAACCTCAACCACGTCTGATTCCCCAGCTTGAACCGCAGCGTGTAAAGGACTGTCCCGTCCGCATCCAACAGAAACATCAGCACCTAAATAAGAAAATAAACCCCAGCACCAAGTGATGTGAGCCCAAATGACCAAAACCCGCCACATCCTCTCCCTCCATTCGTCTCTGGCTAGAAAACTAAATTCAGCGACTAATGAAAAAAATTAAGAGATGGAAAATTACAGCTATGATTAGTAGTAAATAATTAGCTGCCACATTTGACAGTTCTACAAATGAGACGGACAAGAAAAGCTGTAAAATGCATGTGCTGCTGTGAGGTGTGAAGCACAGCGTCTGTTACCATGGAAAGAGAAAGTGGGGGGCCAAGAAAGACTAGACAGCAAATCACTCAGGAATAAAAGCTGCAGCTGCAAATGACTTTCTGCATGAATGAAACTCTGGTATGTTTCATCAGGTGGAGATTTCTCAATGCTTAGTGTACTCCTTTTATTCTGATGCTGAAATGATTTATTTGTTACGGCTTGCCAACTCCGGGTCGGGGGAGAGGTCCTACCTCAAATGGAGGAGTTTAAGTATCTCGGGGTCTTGTTCACGAGTGAGGGTAGGAAGGATCGGGAGATCGACAGGCGGATCGGTTCAGCATCTGCAGTGATACGGACGCTGAACCGATCTGTTGTGGTGAAGAGGGAGCTGAGCCAGAAAGCCAGGCTCTCGATTTACCGGTCGATCTACGTCCCAATCCTCACCTATGGTCATGAGCTTTGGGTAATGACCGAAAGAACGAGATCGCGGATACAAGAGGCCGAAATGAGTTTCCTCCGTAGGGTGGCCGGGCTCAGCCTTAGAGATAGGGTGAGGAGCTCGGACATTCGGGAGGGACTCGGAGTAGAACCGCTGCTCCTCCGGATCGAAAGGAGCCAGTTGAGGTGGCTTGGGCTTCTGGTCAGGATGCCTCCTGGACGCCTCCCTGGGGAGGTGTTTCGGGCATGTCCTGCTGGCAGGAGGCCCCCGGGTCGACCCAGGACACGTTGGAGAGGTTACATCTCCAATCTGGTCCGGGAACGCCTTGGGGTTCTGCCGGAGGAGCTGGTAGAGGTGGCCGGGGAGAGGACGGTCTGGAGCTCCCTAGTTGGGATGCTGCCCCCGCAACCCGGACCCAGATAAGCGGAGGAAGACGACAACGACGTTTTATTTTAAAATAACTCATCAATCCTCTTAAATCCTCATGATTTCATTATATTTGCTGTGAGTGTCCAGATTGTTACCTGATCGTAGCAGCAGCTCCACACTCGCTGTCGACCCCGCCTTACAGGCGCAGTACAGCGGTGACCCCACCTCTGGCAGCTCCACATCAATCGAAGCCCCATGGGACAGCAGCAGCTCCAGACACTCTCTGTGATCTGTTATCACACACACACACATGCATGTGCATGCACGCACACATCAACAAGCCTGTGCTGTAGCCTTTAAACTGCAGCATTTTAACACACATGCACCTTTAGATGCAGCCTCATGGATGGGTGAAGCCAGCTGGCTGGTGGTGAGGGAGGATGCTCCGTGCTGTGAGAGGAGTCTGACACATGCAGCACTTCCACTTCTGCAGGAGTTAAAGAGAGGTGTGGCGCCATCTGCTGAAACTGCCTGTGCCTGCAGGAGTTTTATAAACATGTGACTTTTATAAAAACCAAAACAAAACAAAAAAAAAACCCGGATGTTTAAATTCTGCAAAGTTTGGGCTTTTGAATTTCAGCAGAAATGTGCTTTTTATGATGGGTAAAACATGTAAATTTGTTCTAATCAGGGGTCATTCAAGCACTTTCTGCTGTAACTTCATAAATAAAAGTTTCCTGCACTGCAAAAAACGATTTTCAAGACAGTAAAAAGGGCTTGTATTTAGACATTTCATCTTTTTTTTGGTCTAGAAAAAAAACGTCTTATCTGCAAAAAACAGCAATAAAGAAAAATAAGATGAAATGACTAAAATCAAAACTTTACTTTCTTAAAAATCTGCTTTTGCAATGTAGAAGCACAAAACTCATTCTAAGCACATTGAATTGCCTATTTTTATGCTTATTTATTTAGCAGGCGCTTTTGTACGAAGTGACTTACAGGTGAAAATCCAGCCAGCAGGTTGCCCTTGAGGCTAACAACAAACACTATTCAGTCAATCCTAGGTGGCAGCGAGGCAGCATAATCAATGTGTATGAAACGTGCTATATAAATAAAGCTGCCTTGCCTAAATAAATAATACAAGCTCAAATAAAGTAATACAAATACCATAAAACTATATGTTAAACTCTATTTTCACACTAAAACCTAAAAAAGGACAAACTTCAGAAGAACTCTAATCTCTAGCCTGATATTTCTCAACATGGACGCCTCAAAATCAGACCCCATTGTACATTTTACTAATAGTGTGTTCTCACATTTGCACCATTGTCCAGCAGCAACTTGGCACAAGCATAATGACCGCCGAGGCAGGCTTCATGCAGAGGAGAGACTCTGTCTATGGTGAGTGTGTCCACATGGAGGCCCTGGAGGCAATATGGAGGATAAAATCTGTCTGGTTTTCATTCTAAAACGTGTGTGACGGATATAAATCTCATGAAGTATGTTTATTCTGATCACCTGAGTGATGAGAGTCTTGATGTGCAGGAGTCTGCCCTGACAGGCTGATTCGTGGAGGGGGGTTCTGTCTGACCACGAATCTGAGACAAGAGAAACAAAAACATTGACTTCACTGGAAATGAAAAGTAGATCATTGTTCTTCTTGTTTTAGTGGATGTTTTTATTTCTTGATGAACCGCAACACACCCATGTTTTAGTTGGACCGCAAAGCTGGCCAAATTTGAATAGCAATGCAGTCTAATCTAATCCAGCTGACTCCTCATTTCTCTCATATCCAAAACTACAAAAACGAAACTCACCGGCCATCAGAGAGTTACACGGCAGACCCCCGTAGATGTAAAACGGCTGTGATCTCTTGGAGACTTGCGTTTGACCTGCAGCCATGATGGAAATGGAGGCAGACTAGGCTCACAAACTGAAAACAGACTCTTATCAGAGTCCTCGGTCAACACCCCCACATTACCTCCCCCCTTCTGCATCTGCATCACAATAGCAGCTGGAATGTTCCTGATCACCTTTCAGACAAAACATTTAAAAAATGTGAGGGAACTGCAGGGCTGCAGGATTGGGTGAGTAAACAGCTGCATCAAGCTTCATGCACGTTATAATAAAGCTATGGTAATAGCTGTAAAAAGCCCAAAACCATCACATGCAAAATGTTTTATTCTTTCTTAGTTTTACTCAAATGTAAACAAGAAAACAAGGTTTTCCGCCATGTGTGAACTTACTACTTCCTGTTTAACAGCTACTTTGGAGCTTTCCCAAAAAACAAATTCCCAGGAACAAATGGTTTCTGTTTGTTTTCCAATGAAGAATATTCCTTTGAAACATGAATAAAGAGGTGAATGTTTTATATAGATTTAAACATCTGCTTTATTTTACAGATCTAGGCCAGGAGGTTCTCCCCTCAGACACAAAATAAAACTTTAGAGCCACAACTGTTACAGGGCCTGTTGCAAAACAAAATTTTACAAATATTTAAAAATATTCATGGAAGAAGACGACCAGTGAAATGTTTTTTCCTTCAGATTTATAAAAATAACTTGAGAATTATGAGGAAAAAAAGACAAAATTTGGGATTAAGTTCAGGAATCTTTTTTCTCCTTCAAATATTAGAGATTTGTTTTCAGTTCTGAAAAACAATTTTGTTTCCCTTTGGGATTTAGAAGAAAAAGAGAACAATTTTTTTTCAATGAGATGTTGATTTTTGAGGACAATTCTGTGAAAGAAAAAAAACAGATGTAAAAATATTAGATATTTTTGGAAAACAATATCAGAAAAGCTGCTTAAATCCACAATTTTAGAAACTATTCATGTGTTTTAAAAAAATCAGTTAACATATTTTCAAATTATTTTTAGCAAACGTTAGAATCCATCGCAGATGGCTGCAGACTCATCATCATCTGCAAAAAAAGAAAGAAAAAAAAAACCTTCAAGGTTGAATTAAAAAATCCATCCATCCATTCTCTTCCACTTATTTGGAGTTGAGTCGTGGGGGCGGCAGCCTAAGCAGAGGCCCAGACTTCCCTCTCCTCTCCCCAGCCACTTGGGCCAGCTCTTCTGGGGGAATCCCAAGGTGTTCCCTGGCCAGCTGAGAGACATAGTCCCTCCAGCGTGTCCTGGGTCTTCTTTTAGGTCTCCTCCCGATGGGACATACCTGGAAAACCTCATCAGGGAGGCGTCCAGGAGGTATCCTAACCAGATGCCCGGGCCACCACAACTGGCTCTTCTCAACGTGGAGGAGCAGCGGCTCTACTCCGAGCCCCTCCTGGATGACCAAGCTTCTCACTCTTTCTCTCAGTTGGTTTTTACAAAGCAATGCCGTCAATTTGCCGCTAAGGTGCAATAAGACAGACAATTACAGCAATATTACTACCAAGGAGATGGAAGGAATGCTGCAAAATTTGCGCATCGCCATGCCAGAACTGTGCGCCTTGTAAAAAGGGCTTGTGGGAGAGCCCAGCCACCCAGCGGAGAAATCTAATTTCTGCCGCTTGTATCCGCGATCTCGTTCTTTCGGTCACCACTCAAAGCTTGTGACCATATGTGAGGGTTGGAACATAGACTGACAGGAAAATCAAGAGCTTTCCAAAAATAAATATAAACGTGTGCTCTAACAAATAATTTATCAAACCAACTGTTATTTTATTAGACGTGATTAAGAGCAGATGCTGCTGCTTTATTGTAACCAGTGTTTTCACTGCTTTAGTTCAGAGCAGCAGGGAGTGTAAGAAAAAATAAAAAGTGCTTATTAACTACCGAGAAGAGCCTCCACACAAAGTTCCCTTTGTTTAGAAAAATGTAAACGTTGAGCATTTGATCGAGTACAGACAGCATTTAAACAGTCTGATGGCCGAAGGAGAGATGGGTTTTCTCGTTTTGTGGCAAGTTTGGAATCAGTCAAACTTTTTCCTGCTTGTTTTCTGTCTCCACAGTCCATGAGGGCCGGTGGCATCAACAGCCACGTCCATGAACCGATCTGGCAACAACCACTGCAGAAGCAGCAGGAAGAGGAAGTCCAGCATGGCAACAAAGGCAAAGATGGATCCAGCCACGGGGCCACAGTGAGACCGGAGTCTCCGCAACCTCTTGGCCAGAGGGAGGACCTCTTCTCCAACTACTTTATCATACACCTGGGAGGAAAAACATATGATGATGTCATTACCTACACCAGATATCCTATCATTCAAGTCATCCTCTGGTACCTTTTCTGTCCTCTCTGCGACATTTTTCCAAGTGTAGAGGTTTCTAACACGATTGTGGATTGAAGCCGGTGAGGGGAAAGAATCGGATCGTTGCTTAGCGATGACTTGTTCCAAACCATCACACAGCGACCGCACAGTAGGTTCACACAGGGTTATTAAGTCATCAGGCAACACCTCAGGAATGCCACCGACGCGAGTGCTGACAACCTTCCAGGGAGGATGGAAAAGAGCTGCTCAGAGTTGATAAAACCAACATTCTAATAAGGCAAATCAGAATTATTCCACTACAGCTAAAGATCAGTCTGAATCTGTTTGTTTTAGATAAAACAATGAAGATTTTTAAATTCAGCATCACTATTCCAAAGATATGGAGTGTTTCTGAAAATAAAATCCTTTCTATTAAAAAAAGATGCAGACTTAAACGAATGTGTGAAAGCGGACAGAAAAGAAGCACCCTACAGAAAAGTGTTCAAAAGGCATCAGTTAGTGATCCTGATACACGACAAATCAAAGACTCAAAAACCAGCTGCTTCCTACTTGGAATGCATACCAAAGAAATATTTTACTAATGAGGTTGTTTCACTTCTTTACACTTTCACATGTGACTAGATTTAGTTTGCTACTAGTTTATATCTGTTAACGATAAAGTTACACAATTATCATGAATTGTATGAAAGATTTAGGTCTGATTAGTTTATTGTTACACAGAAAGTAAAACCTAAGTAAGAGATGTAAAAGAGATCAAACTTTTGCTTGTGTGTAAGCTCAACCAACTGGAAACAGGAGCAGACACTTTCCATGAATCAGTGAGAAAACACTGCGTGGGGGCCAAACAAGCTATCTGATACCTTGCAAGAATTTACCTTAACCCTTAGAGGTCCCTCGTGCATTTTGTTGCGCAGGCAGTCATGTATTTTTGAATAACTTTGGCTGTGTTGATGAAATTCTTTTTATTTTTATTTTGCTCCGGAGTGTGTTTTTGGGTACGTTTACTAAAAATAAAATGTGTTTTCATAATTTATGTGACTGTGTTTTTTTCAGTTTTCATTAGAAAAATCAGTTCTCACCCAAAGTCTAATATCAGTGCAAAATCCTACACAACAGATGTATATGTGCTTTTTCTGTGTGATTCTGCACACTTACATACATGCACTTATGACTCAATGCAATCGACAAATGACCAGAGGAAAGATTTTTTCATGCTTTGGTGGGTGGTGGAGGTTGGAGCTTTTTTCTGTGTGAGGGACCTGGATGTGAGTTTTTCTGAATATCTGACACCATACAAAAGAGACAGATAAAACAAAAAATATTTTTTTGCTCATTTGTGACTCTCTAGAGCCCTCACAATTCACCCCCTAAAGAAGTCCTCTGGACATAACACACGAGAAATGATTTAGGTTTTTTGACAAAATATGGCCCTCTCCCTGGGCTGCCACCTTACCGTGGTGGAGGGGTTTGAGTGTCTCAATGATCCTAGGAGCTAAGTTGTCTGAGGCTTTCTGCCTCTGGTGTCACCCATGGCAAACAGGTCCTAGGTGATGGATCAGACAAAGAGCAGCCCGAAGACCTCTTATGATGAATTATATAAATGGAAACCGTGTTCCCTCGCCCGGACGTGGGTCACTGGGGCCCCCCTCTGGAGCCAGGCCTGGAGGTGGGGCACGCTGGCGAGCGCCTGGTGGCCGGGCTTTCACCCATGGAACCTGACCGGGCACAGCCCAAAGAGGAAACGTGGGTCCCCCTTCCCATGGGCTCACCACTCGTGGGAGGGGCCAAAGGGGTCGGGTGCAGTGTGTGACGGGTGGTAGTCAAGGGAGGGGACCTTGGCAGTCTGATCCTCGGCTATAGAAGCTGGCTCTTGGCACATGGAATGTCACCTCTCTGGTGGGGAAGGAGCCTGAGTTGGTGTGTGAGGCTGAGAGGTTCCGACTAGATATAGTCTGACTCACCTCAACACATGACTCTGGCTCTGGCTCTGGAACCAGTTTCCTTGAGAGGGGTTGGACTTTCTACCACTCTGGAGTTGCTCCCACTGAGAGGTGCCGAGCAGGGATGGACATACTAGTTGCCCCCCATCGTGGTGCCTGTACGTTGGGGTTTAACCCGGTGAATGAGAGGGTAGCCTCCCTCTGCCTACGTGTGGGGGGACGGGTTCTGACTGTGGTCTGTGCTTATGCACCAAACTACAGTTCAGACTACACACCCATTTTGGAGTCCTTGGAGGGGGTGCTGGAAAGCGCTCCTTCCGGTGACTCCCTCGTTCTGCTGGGGGACTTTAAGGCTCACGTGGGCAACAACAGTGAGACCTGGAGAAGTGTGGTTGGGAGGAACGGCCCCCTGATCTGAATTCGAGGGGTGTTTTGTTTTTGGACTTCTGTGCCAGTCATGGATTGTCCATAATGAACACCATGTTCAGACATAAAGGTGTCCCTATGTGCTCTTGGCACCTGGATACCTTAGACCGCAGCTCGATGATCGGCTTTGTTGTTGTTTCATCTGACCTGCGGCCGCATGTCTTGGACACTCGGGTGAAGAGAGGGGCGGAGCTGTCAACTGATCACTACCTGGTAGTGAGTTGGCTCAGATGGTGGGAGAGGATGCCGGTCAGACCAGGCAGGCCCAAATGTATATCGCGAGGGTCTGCTGGGAACGTCTGGCAGAGTCTCCTGTCAGAAGGAGCTTCAATTCCCACCTCCGACAGAACTTCCAAAATGTTCCGGGGGAGACGGGGGGCATTGAGTCTGAATGGACCCTGTTCCGTGCCTCCATTGTTGAGGCAGCCGACCACAGCTGTGGTCGCAGGATCGTCAGTGCCTGTCGTGGTGGCAACCCCCGAACCCGCTGGTGGACACCGGCGGTTAGGGATGCTGTCAAGCTGAAGAAAGAGTCTTATCAGGTCTTTCTGGCCTGTGGGACTCCAGAGGCAGCTGATGGGTACCGGCAGTCCAAGTAAAACGCAGCTCGGGTGGTCACCAAGGCAAAAACCCAGGCATGGGAGGAGTTCGGTGAAACCATGGAGCAAGACTTCCGTACGGCTTCGAGGAGATTCTGGTCCACCATCCGGCGCCTCGGGGGGGAAAGCAGTGCGCTACCAACACTATCTATAGTGGGGATGGTGTGCTGCTGACCTCTACTCAGGACGTTGTGGATCGGTGGGCAGAATACTTGGAAGGCCTCCTCAATCCCACCGACACGTCTTCCAGTGAGGAAGCAGAGTCTGGGGACTTTGGGTTGGCCTCTCAAATCTCTGGTGCTGAGGTCACTGAGGTGGTTAAAAAGCTCCTCTGTGGCAAGGCTCCGGGGGTGGATGAGATCCACCCGGAGTTCCTTGGTGAGCGATGTTGTGGGGCTGTTGGCTGGCGCGATATCGCATGGACATCGGGGGCAGTCCCACTGGACTGGCAGACTGGGGTGGTGGCCCCCTTACTTAAAAAGAGGGACCGCAGGGCGTGTTCCAACTACAGGGGGATCACACTCCTGAGCCTTCCTAGTAAGGTCTATTCAGGGGTTCTGGAGAGGAGGGTCCGTCGGATTGTTGAACCTCAGACTCAGGAGGAGTCTCTATACCCTTAGGGGGATCATGGAGGGTGCGTGGGAATTTGCCCAACCAGTCTACATGTGTTTTGTGGATTTGGAGAAGGCATTTGACCGCGTCCCTCAGGGGGCCCTGTGGGGGGTACTCCGGGAGTATGGGGTACCAGGCCCTCTGATACGGGCTGTTAGGTCCCTGTATGACCGGTGTCAGAGCTTGGCCCGCATTGCCGGCAGTAAGTCAGGCTCGTTCCCAGTGAGAGTTGGACTCCGCCAAGGCTGTCCTTTGTCACAGATTCTGTTCAGAACCTTTATGGACAGGATTCCTAGGTGCAGCCAAGGTGTGGAGGGCATGCGTTTTGGTGGCCTGAGGATCAGGTCTCTGCTTTTTGCAGATGATGTGGTCCTGTTGGCTTCATCAGAACGTGATCTTCAGCTTTCACTGGAGCGGTTCGCTGCCGAGTGTGAAGCAGCTGGGATGAGAATCAGCTCCTCTAAATCTGAGACCAGGGTCTTGATTCAGAAAAGGGTAGAATGCCTTCTCTGGGTCAGGGATGAGGTCCTGCCCCAAGTGGAGGAGTTTAAGTATCTTGGGGTCTTGTTCACGAGTGAGGGAACACTGGAACGTGAGATCGATAGGCGGATTGATGCTGCATCTGCAGTGATGCGGGCGTTGTACCGGTCTGTCGTGGTGAAGAGAGAGCTGAGTCAGAAGGCGAAGCTCTCGATTTACCGGTTGATCTACGTTCTTACCCTCACCTATGGTCATGAGCTTTGGGTAGTGACCAAAAGAACGAGATCGCGGATACAAGTGGCCGAAATGAGTTTTTTCCGAAGAGTGGCTGGGCTCTCCCTTAGAGACAGGGTGAGAAGCTCGGTCATTTGGTAGGGGCTCGGAGTAGATCTGCTGCTCCTTTGCATCAAGAGTAGACCCGCTGCTCCTCCACATCGAGACGAGCCAGTTGAGGTGGCTCGGGCATCTGGTCAGGATGCCTCCTGGACACCTCCCTCGTGAGGTTTTCAGGGCACGTCCAACCGGGAGGAGACCTAAAGGTAGATCCAGGACACGGTGGAGGGACTATGTCTCTCACCTGGCCAGGGAACGCCTTGGGATTCCCCAGGAGGAGCTGGCCCAAGTGGCTGGGGAAAGGGAAGTCTGGGCCTCTTGCCTTAGGCTACTGCCCCTGCGACCCGACTCCGGATAAGCGGATGAAAATGGATGGATGGATGGATGGATGGATGGATGGACAAAATATGGCACTAAAGGAGTTAAATCTCAAAAACACTCAAATATTTTATTATGTTTTGCGAGGACTGAAGCTAAGAAAATAATCTGTGTAAAAGATTTTTGACTTTTGAAACATTTTATAATTTTTATTACACATTTAGCTAAAATGCATTTTTCTGTGCGAGGGACCTGAATGTGAGTTTTGCTGAATATCTGACACTACACAGAAAAAACAGAGAAAACAAAAAATATTTTTTGCTCATTTGCGACTCTCCAAAGCCCTCACAATTCAGCCCCAGAAGAAGTGATGTGGACATAACACACAAAAAATTATTGTTTTTTATACAGTTGATTTTTTTGACAAAATATGGCACTAAAGGAGTTAAATCTCAAAAACTCTCAATTATTTTACTATGTTTGTTGAGGACTGAAGCTAAGGATAGAATCAGTGAAATTTTTTTTTTGAATTTTGAAATTATATTTTTTATACATTTTGCTAAAATGCCTTTTGTTGTGCGAGGGTCCCCAGTGTAGCTTTTTTTAAGGAACCTCCAAGGGTTAAAAAGATAAGCAAACAACTTAAACTGAAGAATGTTACTAAATTATCAGATTTTTCCCACTCAAGTCCTGCTGGTTTTACACCTTTGAATAAAAACAGACCTGCAGGCCACAGCTGGCTCCTTCCACGATGGCCATACAGAAGGCTTCGGTCAGCGACGTGTTGAGGAAGATGTGTCCCTGAACCAAAACGCCGCGGACGTCTTTATGCTCCAGAGCTCCGAGCAAACGAACTCTTCAGCGAACAGAAAAAAATATTTTAGCCTCATTAACAGAAAAACAATTTTAAAGGCATACTTGGATCAGATCCGACTGATTTCACCAGACAAACTTAAAGGATAAAAATCACCAACGCTGAAACGCTTCTAAATATAAAACATTGAAATGTCATTTCAGCCATAATAAAAACATATAAAACATTCTTAGTTGTCAAGTTTTGCATTTTTCTTCCACAATCTCAGGAACTACACCCATCCAACCTACCGATCATGCAGCTGGTATTTCTCTCTCACTTCCTCCAGCACGAGCCTCTTTGGTCCCTCTCCGCCAATCAGGAAATGAAGATCAGGATGTTTGAGGCAAAGCTCTGGGATGATCCCACCCAGAAGATCAATTCCTAAACAGAGAAGGTTTGTTTACAGTTAAAGTACAGCAGCCTTTTATTCAGCTATGTGTGTGTGTATATATATATATATATATATATATATATATATATATATATATATATATATACATACAAGCAGTTTTATTCCTGCAATCGATCTCTTTTTTCCTCCTTTATACTCTTTTCACACTTTGTTTTTGTTAAAAGTCTGGAGATGATCCCACGGGGATTTGTTCAGAATGACCTTTTGAAGTTTGTTTATTGTGCAGCTCTGAAACTACTAACAGATATCTGAGAAACCCAACTTTCTTGATCTGACCCTATGACCCACACTTTTATTAGTAGGGCTCAGAAACAGTAGACTGGAACTGAAATTGACTGAAAGTCATTATTCCAGAGAAAGGGAGCTTAACCACAGAGCTGTGTGCTTTCTGTTCCTTTGTGTTGCAGACAAATTACATAAAGGAAAATAAAGAAAGAAAGAAAACGATCTTTTGTATTTATATCTCTCAAGATAAAAATCACAAAGCATCATGAGCCCAGGAGGTGAGGTTAAAATGTTGGGAGTTTCCATGCTTTTTTAATTATTATAAAGGCATCAGGTAATACAGGGTATATGCTGGGCTCTAACAAATAAATGGTAAATAGCCTGTATTTGTATAACGCCTTCTTAGGGTTCTACAACCCCCCCAAGGTGCTTCACAACACAATCACCCATTCACACACTGGTGGTAATGAGCTACAGTGTAGGCACGGCCGCCCTTGGGCGCACTGACAGAGGTGAGACTGTCGAGCACTGGCGCCAACGGTCTGACCACCACCAGCAGGCAAGGCGGGTTAAGTGTCTTGCCCAAGGACACAACAGCAGCATTCAGCACCACTTCATCAGTTGGCGGGATATGTCACGTCCATGATAGCAGGGCTGTAGCAATGGTACGTAAAGGCACGTGTTACGGAAACGCAAGCAAAAAGCCGGCATGAAAGAACAAATAATTATTTTATGATATTAGTTTACTTTCATCTATTTTTATACAACCTTATGGTAAATACACATCAATACTAACTAAATTTAAGACTTTTTAAATTGATTCAAGATATTTAAATACTTTTTAAGGATCTTAATTTTCCTCAAATAAATTTATTAACTTTTAATGCTTTTCAAGACTCCCCAGATATTTGTTCTTCCTTTTCTTGATTGTCAGTGCAGTTTGCACGACAACTGGGTCAACCATCTTCCATTCTAGCTGTTAGGCGCTCCAGATGAGCAAACTCAAACTCAAAAAAGCCTCGCATGATTGATATTGTTTGACAATTTTAAAAATACTTGTGTCAATTTTATTCAGTACATTTTTGGAGTAACCTGTGAAATGCTCTAAATTTGGCCTATTTGGCCTACATTTTTACAATGTTCCAATGCAAACAAAACCAACACATACATTATAAACAAGCAGAAAAGAAGCAAAGAATGACAACATCCAACCCAACAGGGTCTGGGTACCTTTGCGGTAGACGAGCCGGCTGATGACAACTATTGTGATCCTGTCAGCTGGCCGCTGGGACGGGTCAGGAGTAAAATCTGTAGGGTCAACAGCATTGGGAATGACAGACACGATCTCTGGGTTGAGCACAGCCCGGAGCACCGTGTTCTCCTTACTGGTGTAGGAAACACACACAATGTGGTTGGTGTCACACAGCGTAATTGTCAGAAGCTTGTTGGTCAGCACGGAGCTGAGGTCAGCAAAGCCAAAAAGTGAGTGGTCAGTAAACACCTGGTATTAAAAGAAAAACATTTACATTACTGAACTGTGTGTTATTAATAAGGGAGACATACATGGCTTAGAGTCACATACGGTGTTGAGGCCCATGGTTTTGGCGTGGAACAGTGCATCGTGGGCCATGGAAGAGAATGAACTGTGTGCGTGTACCACGGTGATCTGCTCCCTGACAAACACACAGCGCAGCAGTGGGAGACTGTGGACGCAGGTGGTGGCTGTGGACTGGCTGTACATCACTTGCAGGGGCAGGTAGTAGACCTTCAGTCCATTGGTTAAATACCTCACACCCCTCCTCCTGCCGTAGGCATGAGTGGCAATTACCACCTTGTGTCCCTTTTCAATCAGACACTGAGAAAGCTGATAAATGTGGCTTTCTACTCCTCCCATGTTTGGATAGAAAAAGTCAGACACCATACAGATGTTGTGCTTCCTGTTGCAGATTCTGGCAACATCTGCGGAGTCTCTTTCAGATGACAGAGTTTTCACTGCTCCTGCTCTCCTTCGCTGGCCCATCGTGCAGTCCTCCTGTGGCTTTTCAATCAATCAGAGCTGAAATAATTTATGATGTGCCGAATAATATCACATAAAGCAAAAGATAACAATTAATTACAATGAAAGTCAAACTTATTTTATGAATCTCTTTCCTCAAATTTAACTGTGTCACATTCATTTTTCATTTTAATCAATACTTTTCTATATAGCATTATATTCCTAAAGAATTTTAGCTAATTTTCTCAAAACTTATTGTGATTATTACTTTTCTCAACCTCTGTTAATAAAACCAAAACTCTTAATAGCAGCAATCTACAATACAACAATGAAAACAGCTAGTACCATTACATTTAAATGATTCATAATGATTACACTGAACAACTTCTACACCTTCAGTTTACCAAAACTAATGCTGGAGGGTGTCTGTGCCTGTTTAAAAGGGATTGAAACCGTTTCTAAAATGAGCACACTTTATTCACATTGACGAATCTCCCGTTTAGGACCATGTACTTGACAGGAACCGTGGCTCATCGACACAAGTCATGACTAGTAAATGTAACTCAGACATGATTTTGAATAATAACTACCGGTAACTAGCGTCTGTTTTTATCAAGCTAATAAACCCATAGTTTATACTTAAAGTCAAATATTGCATCCTATACTTGTTTAAAGTTACAGCCACCTTACCGCGAAATTAAATGTCAGTCTTGTTCTAATCGGTGAAAACAAAAACGACTCTGGTTTTGTTGAAGATTCATGTCAACTCCGTAGCTCTTTGCTAGCAGATTAGCTGCCGGTCGCACTTCCTGTTGATGCCCTACGTCACTCGCAAGAGGCATGCGCGGTCCAGACCCTAAGCTTTGGCGCGCTCTAGAAAATAACAACGTTGTTAACAACAACAGAAAAATCAAGTTGGTATTAAAACGGGGGCTACACAAAAGAAAGAAAAAAAGAAGAGCAAAATATTTGTTGAATATACAATCAAATTTACTTTTTCAAATGAGAGAAAATGCTACAAATGTTTAGGAAAACAGCAAGTTTTCCACTGATTTTTGCACTGTCCATGCTCATAATTGGACATAAACTTTCAAAAATGTTCACTTTTGGCTGCAGTCATATTTTCACTTGTTAGAATCAAAACAATGATTACTATAACCTTTTCTAGGCATACACCACCTTGGAATGTGTTTATTCCCAAGAATCTTGGTAAACAGAATGTTGTTTTTGGATAACAATATTATAAATTACTGTAAACTTTGTATGTAGGTGTATATTTAGTATTGAAGTGCAGCAGCTGAAAACTCACCTGTTCAGACCTTTGGTGTTTTTGTGTGAGCTTCATACTCTCTCCTTATTCAGCTTTGTTTTTTACCACTTCTGCAGGATCCACTGATTACATCTTTCTTAATTTTCTTTCCCTTTCCTTACATTTTTTAAAATTACAATTTTTAAAATTTTCTCATTTTGTGATATATTTAATCATTTAAAAAAAAATTTTTTTTTGCTCTTGTGAAGTGCCTCCTGATTTTTATCCTGAGAGGCACAATATAAAATATTGCTTCTTCTTCTTAAGACTAAAATATTTGAGTGTGAAAGGTGTTTGGTTAGCCATGAAATCAAATATTGTTCAGCTAGCATCATCCACTATAGTAAAGGGCCTGCTCATGAGCAAAAAAATACTAAAAATGATAACCAAACAAGTTGGTTTGCTTCAGTAAGAAACAAGGGAAATTAATCACCAGATTTGTTTTCTCAGAATTTATTAGAAAAGTATTGAAATTCAAATCCCAACTATTTTAGGCTTGTAAACATATTTTTCATGTTTTACGTTTTCTTTTTTTATCCACTGAGTCTTGTCAGGTTTCACAGAGTGCATCAAAAACTGAAAGTTTTCACACAGCAACAATGACAAAAAAGAAGGTATCACACAAAAGCAAACAACAATAGTTACTATTTCAGGAGGCAGTGGCAATCTTTGCTCCTTCCTGAGGAGCATTATGCCTATTTTTTAATTTTGTTTACCTTGAAAACTTTACACTTTCACATTTTCTTTCTTCATCTTCTGCAAAAGCACCAGATGTCTGAATCAGAATTAATATCTACCCCCACACTTGTCCCACGCACCCCAAAAAAGAAAAGAAAAATCAAATTAAAAAATTCTAAATGTTTTTCTTTGACATCAATTATCATTGATATGCATCAATTCTACTGTCAGACCTCTTCAAAACCACAGAATTCTCACAAAATTGCAACAATAATCTGAATAAACAACATAATGTACACATGAAGATAAATAAAATATTTTTTACAAAAAATGGTTATAAACATTTACAGCAATATCTATACTGGTAGCAAATACATGACACTGAATCTTTACAAATTCATAATAATAAAATGAAGGCAATAAAATATTTACATGTGCAGAGACTTTAACTGTTTGAGCTGATCAATGATGTTCTCTTCGGAGATCAGCTGTTTGAAAAGGGACATATACACAAAACCAACATTTCCATTTAATAATGGCTCTTTGATGGGAACAGGTTGCCGACCCCTGGTTTAAGTGTTTCAATTTTTTTTAATGAATTTGATTAAAAATAAAGGCGCCCGGCCCGGCCAGTGTCCGAGGTAATTACACAGTCGTTGGCCCGAAGCCTGGCCCGAGGGCCGTCGGGCCGGGCCGACCCGAGGGCCTAGGGCTTCAGTGCAGGGCTCTAGAATCAATCTATCAAAGCTTTATTTATAAAGCGCCTTCCGCAACCCTGTCAGGAAGCCCAAGGCGCTGAACATGGTACAATACAAAGTTAAATAAAGTGAATAAATCAGAAAATAAAAGCAATTCAAATTACAGATTACAAATTACAAAAAAGGTGAAAAATTCTAGTAGAAGACAAATGTGTAAAACAAGGGAAAAAGTGTACCAATGAAAACTGTGAGATGAAATCAACATAAAAGAGGGCCAAAATCAAACATGCTCAGGAAACGCCAAGCGGAGGAGGTGGATTTTTAGGCGACTCTTGAAGACTGGCAGAGATGGGGACAGCCTAACTGAGGGTGGCAACTGGTTCCATAGTGACGGTGCTAGGACTGAGAAAGCCAGGTCCCCGCAAGTACGACACCTAGAACGAGGGACAACGAGCAGGCCTTGGTCAGAGAAGCGCAGAGCGCGTGATGGGGAATGCCTGTTCAGGAGCGTGGCCAGATAGGGGGATTACCACCCTGGAAGAAATTAAAAACAAAGACGAGGAGTCTGAAGTGTGAACGATAGCAAACCGGAAGCCAGTGCAGGGAGGCCAGAACCGGACTGATGTGGTCCCGTTTCCTGGTCCCAGTCAGGAACCTGGCTGCGCTGTTCTGCACAACCTGTAGGCGACGCAGTGATGACTGACACAACCCTGCATAGAGAGAGCTGCAGTAATCAAGCCTAGAAATTACAAAAGCATGGAGTACCCGCTCCAGGTGGGCTCCTGACAGCATGGGCTTGATTTTTGCAAGGCGTCTCAGGTGAAAGAAACTGGACCGGATCACAGAGTTGATGTGTGCATCAAATTTAAGTCCAGCATCAATTTTCACCCCCAAACTGGTGACAACTGGTTTTGAGTAGGGAGAAAGAGAGCCAAGATCAACATGACAATCCATTCCTGCTGTTGGGGTGAAAAACAATGAGTTCTGTCTTTCCCTCATTCAGATGCAGAACGTTGGCCATTAGCCAAGACTCCACCTCGTTAATGCAGGACACAAAGGACTGGATAGAGTGACCTTTCTCCTGACACAATGGAGCGTCAATCTGGCAATCGTCAGCATAGAGATGGAATGATAGGCCATGTTCATGAAAGATTGACCCCAGAGGAAGCAGATAAATGGCAAACAAAAGAGGACCAAGGATCGATCCCTGCGGGACCCCCCAGCGGAGCCCCTCCCAAGAAGAAAAAACATCACCCAGTTTAACACAGAATGTCCTGTTGTGGAGATACGATCTAAACCAATCCAGAATTGACCCTTTGATCCCAACCCATCGTTCCAAGCGATCCAGTAGAATCGTGTGGTCAACTGTGTCGAAGGCTGCTGTCAGGTCTAACAACAGAAGCACCACCGATGTACCCTGATCTAGTGATAGATAGATGTCATTTAGGGCCCTCAGTAGAGCCGACTCCGTGCTATGGCCAGACCTGAACCCTGATTGGAAAACCTCAAACAGATCAGAGTCAGCTAAATGTGAGACCAGCTGCTGATAAACGACTTTCTCAAGCAGTTTTGATGTAAAAGGCAGGGTAGAGATAGGCCTGTAATTTTCGATCACAGAGACATCAGCCCCAGGTTTCTTCAGGGTCGGCCGAATAACATGGAATGCAAACCTTGAGGCTGTTTCATGCACACTGGCACTGTGTCAAAAGGAAACAACTGTTAGGGTAGAAATGGCTCCTTCATCACGTTACATGGGCAGTTTACTCAAGACCTAATGAAACTCTTTTGAATAACTTTATTTTGATTATTAAAATACAATTTGTCAGTGGGTTAAAATTTGAAATTACAAATTTTAGGGTTGGATAAAAATTTAAAATGTAAATTTACATCTCTATATTTTTGGTTTAGCTCAATATTTTTAAAAAATGAGTTAAAACCTATTTCAAAAAGTGTTTATTTGACATTCTCGCGCAGAACATGCACGCGCGGGGGAGAGTGACCCCCTCCCTCCTTTCCCTTTCCCAGCCTCAATCCCAACATTCTTCAGCCACTCACATCGCCGCGGCCGCCGGGAGAAAACGGGGATAGATAGGATCAGCAGTGCCTCGACAGACGCTTTTGTCGACAAAATCCCTTTGAACGATTCTCTCCGTTTTTGCAAACGACAAACCTCTCGTGCACATAACGGCGGTGTTGTATTTTAGGAGGTCGGCATGGAGGAGCACACGGCGTTTCTGCTGTTACTGGTGGCGACCTTGACGCTTTCATCTGAGGTGAGTACCGCGGAGAAACCGCAGCCAGTAGCGGGGTGTGGGCCACTGTTCCCAGGCTCCGGCTGGCTCTGGCAGGCCTGTCGCTTCTACGGTAATTAGACGGCGCAAATCATGGCGCTAAATCGGGAAAAATGACGCAATTAAGTACCAGCAGTTACCAAACTGACGATTTTTAGATGATTCTATATCCCTGACTCTCTAAAACATCATGTTGAATATTTTAAACACCTTTTTTAATGGGTCTATTTTAATCCCCAACCTGTGATGTAAACAGATTTACTGCGCAGAACAAACAGGTATGTCAGCAGTGTTTAGGGCCTGCCATTAGATGTCAGTGATTGACAGCTTGCTCCTGCCGTGTTGGATATTTTTGTTTGCCTCGGGATATTTTTATATCCCTTCTTATTCCGTTTTCCTGTCGTAATAATAACGCATTTATCATACATTAATCAGCCAAACGAAGCCAGCGTGGACTATCAAAGCTAACATTCGCTAGCTTTTGGTAGGAAAATTGGGAAAATGGCTTCATGACCGACTAGCTAGCATCGACTTTGTTGGTGTAAAGCGATATTGCTTTATCAGGAAGCGCCAAGAGGCTAATGCGGGTTTTATGCGTGGCCTGTCGGAGCGGAGCTCCAGCAGCTAGCTGTTTGTGGTGAAATTGCTGAGGAGGATGGAAAAAAGGATGGAGCCCGATTAGCTCCACAAAGCAAGATGGCGCCTGTAGCTCTGAGCTTCTGATGTGCAGAACTAGAGATGCTGCTGAGGAGAAATTACACAACATTTTACAGACATGCTGTTTTCCACTCGTGTTAGCAGTACATTAGAGTTAAGTGCTGTAGGCACGGGGTACTTTTACTGAGTAACAGCGGCAGTCTGAGTTGCTGCAGTCAAATGTCGCTGCGCTGCAAAAATGTGCAGAAACGTTTTCTGTTGTGACCGATGGTTGTGACAATGTGAAGATGAAACAAATAAAAAAACCAACAACACTGTATTCAGAATTTCGCTTTCATGATGGAAACGTTGAAAGGTTTTTGTAAACTAGTGACCTGTTTTACTTCATTTATAAGTTAAAATTCACTAAATATCAATTAGAATATGAACATAACTGACATGTGGTTCTCACCCTTTCTTAGACTTTTTAAAAATAGTACTAAATCTTTATTATCATTTTTAATATTATTATTATTTTTACAAAATATGTCAGTTAATCAAATGCATCAAAACCTTCCTTCAGTGGAAGGCTGAGACATCCCAGATGTAAAACCGAATGCTACTGTAGGTCATTCTTCCCATCTGCAGCAAGTGTTTAACTGGTACTGGCATTATCCTGGTGCACAATAACATCAGTGCAATATTCAGTGTGTGTGCAATACCGGATGTACATTAGTATGTCTGAGTCCCTTGTGCTGCAAAGTTCTGGAAACTCAAATTTTCTTTTTATTTGTATTTTTTAGTGTTTGAAGGTTACAAGAAAAGCTTATTGTCTTTGCGTATTTACCCGTAATCGTATTAATTTTCATCTTCTTTTTGTTTAAGTGTATATGCTGCTGTATCAAGTGAATTTCCCCACTGTGGAATTAATTGTCTATTCTACGATAAAAAGCAAATAGCCTCAATAACTATTTTTACTGAATCTGTAAAATCTATTTAAGAAAACCCTAAAAGTAAAACTAAACTTAAATGAGAGCTTGACCCCAACTTTGGAAACCATTGCATGTTTGCAGATGTTTTGCTACCATTCTTATCTCGTTAATCTATTTTTAACATCTTGAAAATGTTCTTAATCTCCTCATAAGCTTCACAGTCTAGCCTTAGGGAGGTGTGTTTTGTTTTAACACGTTATCCTCATGCATTGTGTTTGAAAGTGTTTCTATAAAAGCTCCAGTCATTAGCCCAGAACTTATGGAAACTGGTAAATTATTTTCCCATGGTTGCCAAACTTGATTACTTTGTCTTCAGCTGTGTTATGAAAGCAGGTTGGATAGGTTGCTACCATGTGTGTATTACAGTGTCATTATTAGAGGATGTGAACTTTGTTAATATTATATGTAGAGACTGTGGCTTAGATGCAGCGTAAAAGATTACTACTTGAAATTGCTTTTTAACTAGCAGTATGTGTCATGAACCGACTTGTATGAACTTATTTGGATTGTTGCAGGTGCACCGATTCAGTTTAATTTAGTTTTTCAATTTCTTGTCTGTTGCTCCTTCACTCATTCATTCAGTTAGGTTTCAGCGGTCATTAACAGCGGTCATGACAAACAGCACCACACATGAATAACAAATGGAAAACATGATGTAAGTGTCCAGTTGGGCCAGTTAGAGAGATTCTGATTAGGCTGAGGTCACGCAGATATTTCTTAGTCAAACACAAGTAAGAATTTTTCATTTAAGAGATTTGTGAATTGTTTCCACAAATTCAAAATGAACGCAAGGGGTTTGCAATTTTCTTATTTAGTAGATTTTTTGTTTATTTTGCTAAAACAGACACCGTGATGGCCGGTGGTTCACTGTACTTTTCCACATGTGGTCTATTAACACTTTCATTGAGGATGTAACTTAATTTTTTTCATTATGTGAGTAAGTTAACGAGGCCTTGTTTTGTAGTTAACTGAAATGGGCTAAATACTGATAAGCTGCACAAGACCTTTGGGCTTTTGATGCAGTTTTAGCCATAAAGTCTTCATCTATGTTTCTGCTGCAGGTGCCTTTGGATGACTCGGTGGGTTTGCTAACTGAGCCCCAGGTGGCCATGTTCTGCGGGAAGCTCAACATGCACATCGATGTACAGACTGGGAAATGGGAGTCCGACCCCTCAGGCTCCAAGAGCTGCATCGGCACCAAGGAGGGCATCTTGCAGTACTGCCAGGAGGTGCTAAAGCGGAGTTAGACAGCAATGCAGATGCAAAGAAACAGCAAGAAGTGCATGATGTGATAGAAACCATTAAACCACAACTTTTTTTCCCCTCCAGGTGTACCCAGAGCTACAGATCACGAATGTCGTAGAGGCCAACCAACCTATCAGCATTCCAAACTGGTGCAAGAAAAGCCGCAAGCAGTGCCGCAGTCACACACACATCGTGGTGCCCTACCGCTGCCTGGGTAAGAATGTTACGAGTAGGGCTGAAACGATTCCTCGAGTACCTCGAATAACTCGAGTACAAAAAAGCCTCGAGTCAAATTCTCTGCCTCGAGGCTTCGTTTAATTCATATTTAATTAATTCATGGCTTTGCAATCGCATGGGGTCATGTTTCACCCGGACTGAAATAATTGACGCACATACACACTGCACTGAATGCACACGCGAGTAGCGAATATAACTTAACTTTCTCTTAAGCCATGGCGGATAATGTGGACCCGGTGGAGTGCGAAAAAGACAGAAAATGTCAAAGGTGAGGGACCAATTTTCACGTCGTAAGCCGGAAAACGTAGTCCAGTGTAAATACTGTAAAATGGATGTAGCCTACCACAACACCACATCCTCGATGCTGCAGCACCTGACCAGGAAACATCCACCTGTAAATGTCACTTCTGCAAGCGGACTCGGAGCCTCTACAAGATAATGCATTTTAGCCTGTATTTCTATATATTCTGCAGACACTGCAAATTTTTCATTTGTAGCACTCAGTTTCAGATCACACTGTCGTCTGGTAGCAACATGTCGGACTTAAAATGTGCTAAAAAAATTGCTGTTTTTACAACACGTCGGACTTTTTATTGTGTTGTTATTGATATTTGTTGTCCCTCGGGATTGTTGCAGGAGGACAGGTACTTATGAGTGGCGGAGGAAAACGAAAGAAAGTAAATGTTTTGTGATCAGTATAAATTGACAAAACCACAGCAAACATGCTTTCTCGACAATCCTTATTATTGGGTGAGAAAAAAAGTGTAGAAATTAAAACAGACGTGTGTTAATAGGGAAACAGCTGGCGAGCTGTTTGTGCATGCGCCGTGAGCGGTTCTGGTTCTGTTTGGGCCGCAGCCACTTCCAACAGTTATCCTCCTAGTTTTTGTCTGGCTTGCCGGGCTAGCAGATTCTCGCACGAGGAGAAAATCGGCCCAGGTTGTTTACTTATTTTTTGCACAGACGTTTGTTTACTGTGAAGTAAAGTTGAAGTGCTGAAGTTTTGAAAACTACTTTTGAATAAAACTTGAACAATAACTGGCAATTGCTTGCTCATTTTAAGAGGTCTTTCATATTTTATAACATGCTATTTGACATAATGGTTTACAAACACAAAAGGGTCATTTATTAGAGTACTCGATTAATCAAAAAAAGATTCGATAGAGTACTCGATTACAAAATTATCCGATAGCTGCAGCCCTAGTTACGAGTGTGATGAATTTGTTATGGGAGGTATAAATGCATTTACATGCTTTACCACATTTGCAGTTGGAGAGTTTGTCAGCGATGCTCTGCTTGTTCCTGATAAGTGTAAGTTCCTGCACAAGGAGAGGATGGATCAGTGCGAGAGTCACTTGCACTGGCACACTGTAGCCAAAGAGGTGAGGAGAATGTCTCACTCAATCTGTCAAGGCTGTTGTTTTCCTGATTGATCTCCACTAAATAGCTCGACACTCCTCTCATTTGTTATATCTCCTGTGGGAATTTTCTGCCACTTTTATACTTGTTCTTTTCATCTTTCTTTATCAGTACAGCACTTTTCCAAAAAGCTAATTTTCTGTAATTTGTTTGTTTATTTAACTCATTTTATGAATAAATATTCATCAGGCTTTGACCATCACAACAAACCCTCAGAGTGATTAAACACTACATGATGTGGTTTATGTTGTTTTTGGAAATCGGTGGTCTTTCTAATATCTGTCAACTAGTCTTGTGGAGACCGTTCCATGAATCTCCATGACTACGGGATGCTGTTGCCATGTGGAATTGACCGTTTCCGAGGGGTGGAGTTTGTGTGCTGCCCAGCGGAGGCGGAACGTGTCATGGACAACACAGAACAAGAAGGGGAGGAGTCTGACGTCTGGTGGGGCGGGGCTGACGCTGAATACGCCGACAACAGGTATCTCCTCTCGTGGTCGCTTTGCCTCCAGCTACACACACCTGTCAGTACATCGACCCAACAGGATGCTCTGTTTTTACAGCATGACCCGTCCAGCAGACACAGAACCGGCCACCACAGAGGACAACGAAGACGTTGTTCAAGAGGAGGAAGACTTTGAGCAGGATGACAACGGAGATGGCGAAGAAGACGATGATGAGGACATTGATGTGATCGATGAACGCGAAAGCATTGATGAGCGCAACGCTAACATTGCCATGACGACCACTACCACCACCACTACTGAATCTGTTGAGGAGGTTGTGCGAGGTAAAACATTCTGCTGAGTGTTTGATGTTTTAAGTTCTCCTTTCTGAACTTTTGTCTTTATGCGTTGACGTGTGATTTAAATGTGCCTGTGTGTGTCACGTGACCTCAGCGGTGTGTTGGGCTCGCGCTGAGTCGGGCCCGTGTCACGCCATGCTGCAGCGTTGGTACTTCATGCCTGAGAAGGGCAGATGTGCTCCCTTCTTATTCGGGGGCTGCGCGGGCAACAGGAATAACTTTGAGTCGGAGGAGTACTGCCTTGCTGTCTGTAGCAGCTCGTGTAAGTCTCTGGACCGGAGCCAGACCGTGACGTGTCCATCTAACCAGCCTGACTCCTGTCCTCAGGCTCCTGCTGACTGTTTCTCATCTCAGAAACTTTTTCTGCCTCTTGCAGTTTTAAAACTCTGGTGCCTGTGCATCACCTGTGTTTATTCCGGTTTCCTGTTGAGCATGAGAGCCACTAAACTGTCTTGCTTAAACATTTTTATTTTTACGCCTACAAATGAAGCTCATAAACAGGACGAGTTCGACTCTCGAGTTTTTATTTGGTGCTGATCCCGAGATCAGCTGGTTAAGATGTCATCACGAGGTCCAGATAGTTCAAATAGCTCTAATCGTTAACTGGAGTCTGTCTGTTGTGATGTGATATATCTGTGACAAAACGCTAAAAGAATGCCCTTCAGTTTTTGTTTTTCAGCCTTTTGTAAACACAGACCTCTTTACAGAGAGTGTTTGCTTCGCTGTATAAAATGACGAGTTGTTGGCAGTTAGATGATCAGATTAATTTACGGCTGCAGAAGTTGAAGCTGCAGCTGCAGGCTGTTAGGTGACTAAAACAAAGATGGTAAACTTCTAGTCTGGCTGGTTTCTTTCCTTCTTTTAGGGCTGCAACAAACGATTATTTGGATAATCGATTAATCGGATGGGATCTCGACACGATTAATCGATTAATCGGATTACATAGGGACATTTTTAAAAACTGCTAGGGAAACGTTATTTTTCTCCTTCCTTCACTTTATTAAACACATTATTAGAAAACAGTTCAATAGCAGAAAAACAACATGCCATCACCTAAATTTTCTTATAAGGTGTATAGACAGAGACCCTAAGCTACACCTATCTGTGACCTAAAATGCTTGGTCCAAGTTAAACAGCTTAAGGGCATTTCTCATCTGTTTTGTTTGATCTCATCTGTTGACATTTATTATAACTGGGGATGTCAAACAACTAATTTTTAAATGTAATCAAACATAGGCTGTGAATTAATCAAAATTAATCACTATTTCCAAAAATGACTGAAAAATACCAAATAAAATAAAAGTAAATGAATGCCATCCTCCTTGCGATGATGCCCTGGGCAACTGCCATAAAGTCACATCAAGAAATGCTGCTGATCATTCCAATGATCCCAAATAGACTCACATTAGGCCACATGAAAGCAACTGAACCCAAAAATATATTAACCAGTATATAACTGCACTCTCTAACAACACGCCTGCAGCAACAGTTAGGACTCCTCCCTCCCTTTTAAAAGCGTCTTCGCTTCTGAGGACATTGTGGTTGTAAAGCCACATGTTAGTAGTCTGGCCCCGGTGTGATCAACCAGTTTCTGCAGGAATGTGACGGCGGAACCGGTTCGCAGTGGCGCAAGTCCCCCCCCCCCCCCCCCCCCCGCCTATCTAATAGCGTCGCGCTTACAATTTTATAGACTTTTTTTAACGGGCTTAGGGCATGTCTAGCCTGTGTGATAATCCGGGGCTTGGGTGAATCACTTTTGAAAAGTTTTTAACTTACCCGGACACAGAGCTCTCTCCTGCCTCGCTGATGATTCTGACATGCTTGCGTTTAAGACGCTGCATCATCACTGCAGCACTCCCGTGCCATGCTAAGTCTGACCTACAAACGTTGCATGTCTTCGCCTGATTTAACTGAAAATGCTCCCAAACTTCAGAAGTTTTTACTTTTTTGGGGTCTCGCTGCTTCTGCCATGTTCCTCTTACAAACACCTGCCGGCTCTCCACCGGTCTGCGCACAACGGCGGGCGGGAGGGGAGGGGGCTTTTGGAAGAGTTGCGCAACACAACGAATCGATGACGCAATTCGTTGCCAACGCTTTTAGTAATCGATTTTCATCGAATTTATCGATTCGTTGTTGCAGCCCTACCTTCTTTATTTATTTATTTATTGCAGTAAGAAGAATTAATTAACCACTGAATGTAGCTTCATTAGTGAAATATGACCAATTATTTTATCCAGCTTTAGGCAGTAAAATCAATTTAGTTAATTTTGGCTCTGGAAGAAGCTGTTTGCCAAACTATTTAGTTGTGTTTTACCAGAAATACTAAGTTTTACAGCATGATGATGAAGCAGTGTGACCTCTGAACTTGTGTGTCAGCATGTTTCTGGTTCTGTGTCTGCATGCAGGTTTAAGGTTCTGCAGCTCTAGTAATATGACCCGTCACTGGGTGGGTGTGTGTGTAGGTGGGGCTAAAGGTCACAGCCCTGATGCTGACTTCATGCTTTGCTTCTTATCTCCAGAATCCCACATTAAGCAGCAAACTCACGCTAGCTCACCCTGTGACACTCAGCACCGTCTTTGTGTTTATTTTGTTTTTAACCTCCTTTTATGCGATTAACCCACTTGTTTATCTTTGGTGTTGTCTAGAAATAATTCACTATGTTTAACACAGATTGGTTCTCCTTTTTTTTTCCCAGCCTCTTAACTTGTTCTCTCTTTTGTCCCGTCTTTGTTCTCCCACAGTACCCACCGTAGCCCCCAGCCCTCCAGATGCCGTGGATCAGTACCTGGAGTCTCCCGGTGATGACAATGAACACACAGATTTCAGGAGGGCCAAAGAAAGCCTGGAGGCCAAACATCGTGAGAAAATGTCCCAGGTACTTGTGACCGCCTGCTCCCTCTGAACCACTAAAGAAAGGATTTGTGTTTCACTTGACTGTTTTCATATTCAGGTCATGAGGGAGTGGGAGGAAGCGGAGAGACAGTCCAAGAATCTTCCTCGTGCTGACAAAAAAGCTGTCATCCAGGTAGGAAATACGTGCATTTTTTATCCTAACTGTATTCTGGTGTTATAGTGAAGTGGGGTAGGGAGTATTTTACCTGTTATAGATTTCTTCTTTGAGTTTAACCTCGATGCCTGTTCAACATAATTTCTGCAGCACTTCCAGGAGAAGGTGGAGGCTCTGGAGCAGGAGGCAGCAGAGGAGCGACAGCAGCTGGTGGAGACTCACATGGCCCGGGTGGAGGCTCTGCTCAACAGTCGCAGACGCATGGCTCTGGAAAATTACCTCAGCGCTCTACAGGCCAATCCTCCACGGGTAAAAACACTTCTGCACATTACTTAACTGATGCAAGTGAGAAGCATTTTTCTGATAATAATACTTCTGTCAACACCAGCCCCGACAGGTGCTGAGCCTGCTGAAGAAGTACGTACGTGCAGAACAGAAAGACAGGCAGCACACACTGAAACACTACGAGCATGTTCGCACAGTCGATCCTAAGAAGGCAGCTCAGATCCGACCTCAGGTACCGAAACAGACTAGAGAAGAATCGATTCGATTCCGATTCTGAAGAATTAGAATCGATTATCATGATTTAATTCAATTCGATCCGATATATCGGGTCAGTGAACTCTGTAGTTGTGCAGTATATTAACATTATTAACATTCAACAACAAATTCATGAAATATTGGCAGTTTAAAATGGCTGTATGGCCCGATCCTTCTCTTAGAATTGTGCTCTTCACAAACATGCTGTCGGGCAGAATTAGCAAACCGATCCAAGACAGCCAACAGAGGAAGTAAGAAGTGTCAAAAACTGCATACTTGGACTGCTATTGGAGCACAAACCTAGGGCATTATTTAAAATAACACATTAACTCATTCACTGCCAATGACGACTAAAGTCGTCATTTGCATTTTTTTTTTACTGTTTGGGCATCGGAACAAGCCCCCGCGCCGAGAGAACAAACTTCTCAGCTCTGAGGCCGATCTTCATCCTCATACGTCACAGATCACATGATCAGGAAGCAGAAAATCCATGAGTTAGAAGATCGTTTTGGGCCGTTCCTGTAAAACAAAGTGAGGCGCGAACCGGAAAAGCGTCTGCCGATCACAATTCGACAACGGATTATGAAAGAACGGATAACGCTCGAAACATGCGGGTTCTTCCTGATGTAAGAGGTGAGTCTCCTCTTTGTTTTGGCTGTTTTGGTTGTTTAGGCGTCGACATCATCCTAGCGTGCAACGTTCTGTCACTCTTAAAAAAACAGTAAAAACGATGAGAAACGCTGGCAGCAAATGAGTTAAGAATTCATCCAAAAGCTGTTGCTGCACACACACACATTTTTTGATATTTGTATTGGCCTAACTCAAGACTCGAGCAATATTTTTTTTAGTATTGAAGCTGATTTTTTTAGTCTTGAACAGCTTCCGGGTTGACCTTCCCTTCAATGTAATGATCATGTGCTCCAAGAGAAGGTGCCTGTCTGGACCACAGATGGCTGGCATATGTAGAGTATTCATTTGATTATGTGGCACTCTTTGACTTCCATACTTGATGCGTCTGCCATTTTTTATGACTATTTATTTTTTTACATTCGCGCTACGTCTGTCATCATTAGCTGTGATTTTATTATCCTTTCTAAATCCACCATGTCCCGAACACGGTGAGAAAGCATCAGAATCAGCGTGTGGAACGTTTTAGCTCCATTAGCCTTTCTTTCTTCACGATCAGCACAGACTCTGTTGCGCCGCGCAGCAGCGTCACTGTTTCTGACTGGATGAGTGAATATCTTCATCAGAGACTATGTTCTTCTTCTGAATCAGAGTCAGTAATTACCAGTCAAAGCGAGTCAACAATGACCAGACCTGTCAGCGTTGTACGTTTTTCCCTATAATATTCGCTCTACAAGTTCTGCATTAGTTCCTCCTCTCGTCCTCCCCCATAACCGGGAGCCTCCCGGCGGGAGGTGGTTTTCAAGCTCTAAAATCTTAGAAACTTTCACTATAAACACAGGTGTTGCTCAGACTACTGAAGAGAGACATCGCCACTATCTTCTGGTGTAAAGTATTAACTTCATGAGGGATCATATTTGCAGCAGCGGCTCATTAAAGTCAGCAATGATGCTTGCTGCAGTTTTGTGACTTTGGTGCTTAAAGGGTTAAATCGATCTTTAGACGCAGGAATCGATCCTCATGAATATTTATGAAAATTGATTCAGAATCGGAAAATCAATTTTTTTTTAATGCAGCCCTCAAAGCATCTTAAAAGCCTCTTAATATTAAATTATTAGCTGTTATTTCAGGTTTTATATAGATGATCATTTGACCTGGAACTTTGACCTTTAGGTTCTGACCCACCTCCGTGTGATCGATGAGAGGATGAATCAGTCAATAGGTCTGCTCTACAAAGTCCCCAGTGTGGCTAATGAGATCCAGAAACAAGTTGGTGAGTGTTTATTACTCTGTTCACATCCCTAAAGGATCAGTCACTAATTCTTCCTGTTCAAGAAAAGGTTTTTATTTTCAAAAATTAATGTGTCTCATCTGCAGAAGATGGAAGTCATCTGTTCCTCACAATCCTGCACAAGTCTAGTCCAACAAGTCTGGGTTGATGTTGTGCCAACGTTTTTCATTAGGATTTGGTTTCACACGATAACCCTCAAAACTAGAACTATAAGCACCAGGCAGTGACGCAGGATCAGTGACTCACAGCAGCGCTGGCGTTTTTCTGTTGGGAGACCGGTGACAAATCGAGCAGATAGGTGAATAGAATGTGATTTCTAACGGCTGTGAAAGTTTTGAGGTTTTGGCTGTTAATTTGTCACATTCAGTTTTAACATTAATTTTTTTTTTTTCCATACTTTCACAAGCCGCCAAGTTTCCTCTTATGATAGATTTAGTGATAGTGGGGGAAGCATGCACAGAATTTTCTTTTTTTAAAGTGTTAAGAGTTGTGTTGAAGGTCTGACTAGGCAGCCTTTTCCAATCAGATGTCATCTGCACAATAATGTAGCTCCACTCAGAGTCTCGGTGTGAAGTGGTCGTTCAGAAAGTTACAGAAAACCTGGTGACTCAGACGCTGACCACGCAGAGTGTGGAGGAGTCGCAGATGCATTTTGGCACCAATTATGGACGTGGTCGTGTTGTAATAAAATATTATTCTGGTCTAATTTAGCTTTTTAACATCATGCGGCTGTAACTTGGCTAGCCTCTTATTTACCAACCTGCAGCTCTCACACTCACTACACTTCTCTTCGTAGCAATCGTAGTGCAGCGAGTTCAGTCTGAGCTCTCCCAGCAAGTGTCCTCCCTGCAGAGCGACGGGCGGGTGAGTCAAGATGCTCCCACTCACAATATGTCTCCCACTTGTAGAAATAGCGTTCCCTCTGAGCGAAGTGACACCTGAAGCAAAGTCACGATGCATGCAGAAACTTGATAAGGGTTGGAAATGGAGAATTTGATGCAGAAGTTGTTCAGTAGGAAGCAAAAGAACTGATTATTGTTATGAAACACTTATAATATTGATCAGATCAGGTCAAGAGTGGAAAACACATTTTTAAGAATACAATTTCTGAGTTAGTTGTATCAAAAAGATAAATCTTGTTAAGTGTGGTAGCATCGTCGTTAAATCAGGATCGTTAAAGTTCCTCTGTGCCTTCAGGTGGATGGTCGGGTGAGTTATGGTAACGATGCCCTGATGCCGGATCAGACCTACAGCTCTGCTCCTCTGGATCCCGGTTTGGACGGACTGGGCTTCAGTCATCCGGAGAGCTTTAATCAACCAAACACAGAGAACCACGGTAACATTTAAAAAAGAGAAACAGTGATGATTTTTCCTGATAATCTGTTGTAATCAACACTTTAATCTGATTTTGCGTGTTATTCCTTTAACCTGCAGTTGAGCCCGTAGATGCTCGTCCTAATCCAGACAGAGGATTCCCAACGAGACCTGGTGAGTGCGCCGCACAGTTACACCTCCAAACATCTGGGCCCTCACATGTTTATGTGGGGATGCTATGATGAATTCATTAAAGAACAAAATTTTTGAACATCCCACATTGTGAGAATTTAAACTAGAGGCAGGCGGGTACTTCCTGCTGTGGATCGGCCGATGTCTGTTCTCAGTAAAGCGGATTTAAAGTCAGGCACATCCTCGTGCAGCCCGGTGCTGTTGCATAGTTTAATTTAAATGTATTTTTATGTTCACTAATAACGTCTGCATAATAAATTCTCTAAATTAACTTTATTTAGACTTTGAGATTAGTTAAATTCAGAGTTAAAAAACTGATTCAGCTTCAGAAATTTTGTGGAACAACTGATGTTATTTATGACATTTTAGCATGAAAATAAGAAGTGTTGGGAAAGTTCGTTTAAAAAACGAACTAGTTCAAAGTGCAGTTCATACATTTTAAAACGAACTAGTTCATAGTTTTTTTTCTCTCATATATGTGTATATATATGGCGATACGATACATATCACGATACAGGGGAGACGATACGGTATATCACGATATATTGCAATACATTCAGTCAGACATTACAAGCAATTTTTTTTACTGAATTTATTGTAAGAATGTTCAATAAACAGTCCAAATTGATATGTAACATGTTTAACATGAGGTATCTGACCCATGATGGAGGGATTTACATTTCACTGGTGGAAACAAAACCCGTTGCACACTGCTGCCAACTAGCGGGTGACGATTGGATTGCACAAAGCGAAAAGAAAATACACAAATGTTTGCATGTAAATTCTTTCAAAAATTATATACACAGCTTTTGAATATCGATGTAATAATCGCAGGAAAAAAATCACGATATATTGCCATATCGATATTTCCGATACACGGCTTTTGAATATCGATATAATATTGTTGGGAAAAAATCACGATATCTTGCCATATCGGTATTTTCTTACATCCCTAATATATATATATATATGTGTATATATATAATTTGTATATATATATATATTTATAAGACGTATATATATATATATATATATATATATATATATATATATATATATATACATATATATATACATATATATATATATATTCATAAGACGTGTATATATATATATATATATATATATTTATATATATATATATATATATATATATATATACATATATATATATTTATAAGACATGTGTATATATATATATATATATATATATATATATATGTGTGTGTGTGTACCTGTGCTTGGCTGCATTTGCGGGTTCTACTTTTTATAAGCTATGGTTAACAGGATATTTTAGCTAGGCTTTAGCTCCGGAAAAGCGCCGTGGAAATCTGGAGCGAGAACAGCGAAGGAACGCGTTCATAAACTCGTTCACGCATGCCAGGACGAACGCACTCACTTTTACGTTCTTCAGGCAAAATACGAACGAGTTCAGTTCACGTTCACGAAAAAAAAAAAACAAATTCATGAACGATCGTTCAATGAACGCGTTCGGGCACAACACTGAAAATAAGTTGGAAAATAATATCGGCCATAAAAATTGTCCCATAAAAACTGGCAGTACATATCGGCCATTGGCTGGCCATGTCCCCTACGTGGCGGCATCGGTATCTGCAATAGAAAACCAAAGAAGAAGAAGATGAAAATATCATTTCTATAGCGCCTCTCAAGATAAAAATCACGAGGCGCAATTTCAGTCGAACTCTAGTCGAAACTTGTTGAAATGCTTTTATTTTCATAGCCTGATTTAGTTACTGAGCATATTACACCAAACATAAACACATGCTGATTAGAAATAATAAAACGTGATTTTTCTGTAGGAAACAGATTCAGGTGTTTGTTTGTTTGTTTTTAGTTTCTGCCCTGAATCCGGACGTTCGTATGGAGAGTAAAGACAGACAGAGCGCCGGTTATGAAGTTTACCACGAGAAACTGGTAGGAACTTCAGTCCTGTCCACTGGATTAGCCTTACCACACTTTATAGTCACCAATGTTAACTTATAGATATTTTACTGTTGTATTTATAACACCTTGCATGGGTTTGTACTGATGAATAATTGTTTTTTAATAATCGTAGGTGTTTTTCGCTCAAGACGTGGGGTCCAATAAGGGGGCTGTTATCGGGCTCATGGTTGGAGGCGTTGTCATAGCAACTGTCATTGTCATTACTTTGGTGATGTTGAGGAAGAAACAGTACACGTCCATCCATCATGGCGTGATTGAGGTGAAAGGCTAAAATGACAGTATTAGAAGTGTTTTTGTCCACGTCTCTAAAAGACGTCCTTCCTGTGTTTGAAGGTGGACGCGGCGGTGACACCAGAGGAGCGCCACCTCGCCAAGATGCAGCAGAACGGCTACGAGAACCCCACCTATAAATTCTTTGAGCAGATGCAGAACTGAAGAATATTTAACCCGACATTTGAAACCACCTTTTCTCATCACCCTCCTGGTATTTTTACTAATCTGATCATTGGCTCCTACACGTCTCAGCCCCTACCCTGTTGATGCTAAAAAGGCTGTTGGGTGGGGGAGGGGGCTTCACAGATTTTACTCTTTCATATTAAATAAATGATACATTTTTGCATGACAGTCAAGAGGTTTGGGCCAAAGAAAACAGGCATGGAACAAAACCTTTTTATCCTTTTCTTTGCTTGATTGTACAGAGCTAAAGTTTCTCATCAGCTGGTTAGACAAGGGTATGCTGATTTACCTGCACGTGTTAGCCAATCACAGTCCTTCATTGTGCTGTTGCTATGAGATGACTGCCCTCACAGCTGAGACGAAAACGTGTCCAACTGCCCCTCACACTCCCTCATTTGATGGGGACTCTGAGCTCCTCACTGCACGACTGAAGGGTTTCAAGTATGTTTTACAGAAAAGGATTTAAAAAAGAAAAAATATATATTCAATCAAAATATATAAAAGCTGAAACACATTTAATGTTTGTTTTTCTATGTGTAATATATTAAGACGGAGATTAGCTGTAATTAAATGTAGTGCATGGCAATATTGATGACTGAGAGTTGTGTATGTGGAAGTTCCTCAGGAGGGAAGGCGGTCCTCCAGGTATTTTAGCAGGATTGTATATTTTAGTGTCTACTTTGTGATCTTGTGATATGAAGAAAGTAAGTATTCAGACAGTTGTTTTGTCGTTGCACAGACTTGCTTTGACTGAACCTTTCTGCTCATCTCCGTGCTTCACCGTTGCGTCGGCTGCATGGGCAAATCGCTCGGGTCTGTAAAACATGATTAGAACCCAAAAGGAAGTTTATCGTCTTGCTGTTTGCGCTCTATGCACGCTGTCATTTCAGAAGTCTGATTATTATCACCAAATATTAAGATTGTTGTTATTTTGATGCCAACTGTTTCACTGCACTTTTTTTTTTAATTAAGCTTTAGACATCTTTTTTAGGAAAGCGTATCATTCCAGATTTAACTCTGCTCATCAAGATTGTAAATATTTCAGCTGTTCCATGTTCATTTCCAGTTCATGTGTCTCTAAACCCCCCAAAGTTCTCATGTTTATTCTCCTTTAGTCACGTTGTACAGTGCAGGAGTCCTTGTGTTAGGTCTAGTTTTCATACATTCCTTCACTAAATCACACTATTTTTCTACATTTGCTGTGTAAACATGTACAGTGCTTCTATTTATCCTGTGGTGAATATTTATTTACCCGCCTATTTGTTGTCTAGTCTGTCATAGTTCACAAGAGGCAGCAAATGTCCCCATCTGACTCCAGTGAGAGAAATGTAAAACCCTTTCTGTTAAACATGAATGTGACATGCATATTCTGCATTCTTATTGATACAACACATATCACCTCAGCAAGTGTACAGACACCAACTGAAGCTCTTAATCAGACGAATGTTTAAATATTTCTTTTCCTGTCTGTAGTTTCATGAAACATTTAGAGTAAAAGGCTTTCTACACCACATACCATGAATAAAATTTGAATGTACATATTAATGCCTGGCTGGTTTACTTGAACACATCACACCAAGCCTCTAAGAAAGCTTGTCACTTTATTCCCCCCTAGTGGACAAAAAGGGTCCAGCAGTTTAGGAAACTAAATAAAAATACAAAACAGTTCATTTATAAATGGAAAATATGAAAATACACTTGCCTTGCGTGGCTATCAAAAACAGGAAGTAACCGGTATATACAATGGGAACGCTCAACTACAGACATTCGGGGCTATGGGTTTTCAGTCACTCGAGCTTTCAGTCATGCGCTCATATCTGTTATCGTAAGCATTCTTTCTTCACGCTTCTCCGGTGTAGAGTTGATGAAAGCCGAGGAACTTCCCCTGCCTCAATCTGAAGGTAATAAAAGCATCTCATCCACACGGATCAGGGTTCGTTTTGATTTGCAGTCAGCGGTGGAGAACTAATGCTGCCTGCTTCAGCTGTCCTTGTCCAGCGCGGTGGTTGCCAGGGTCACCGTGGTGATGGGCTGGTTGATGCTGTGCAACTGCATAAGCGCCAGCTTCTTCTGCTCACATTCTGTCACAAGGCCGTTGAGCTCGGCGGCACTGTAGCCAATCAGAGTCCTCAGGTCGCACACAAACTTGTAGACGAACCGCTTGCCCTGCACCTTACTGATCATGTCCCCATCGTAGTAATACCTAAAGAAAAAAAAGTCACAATAAGAAGACGGCCACAACATGTTGTTTATGTAAAAACATCAAAACAAGAAGTGGAAAACAAAAAAGAATTGGGGAAAGTAGAAGCTTTAGTGTTTTTCGGGGCTGGTTTTCTGCTGAAGCTTTGATCGTGATCCAGGAATGTCAACAATCGCGGAGACCTAGAGAAAATAACTCACCTGATCTAAACTTTTAAAGCTTGAACTTGGTTTATCTTTGTTCTACTTAAAACTCAGTCATCCCAACCAGAGCACAAAAACACGAATTACAATTTGAAAACGGCCCTTATCCTCACTAATCTGAACATTTATGCTTTATTTAACTTGTGGTAGTCCCTAAACTGTAAGGTGTTTTATTGTATTTGTCATTTTTGAAAGTTTAACCTGGAAGAGGAGAAACCAACCTGAGAGCTCGGCTGAGCTTCTCATAGTTCATTGTGGGCTTGTTTTTGCGTTGGCCCCATTTCTGTGCTACGAGCTCCGGTTGGTTAAGTTTGAACTCTCCTTCCTCTCCAACCCAGGAGATGCAGTCTCTTGAATCTTTATCCGTCAGCAACTCCAGCAGGAACTGCCACAGCTGGATCTGACCATTGTTACCTGGCAACAGAAACAGGCTGTTAACTTCTAGTGACTTCTTTGCTTTTGTCTTTCTAGCACCATCGGGCTTCAGTGTTTGTGTGTTGTTTATCACCTGTGCGGTTTCCAGGTGAACTGCGCTCTTCTCCTGAAATTCGGGGCGCCCTTGGGCCACGGTTCTGTTTCAGCACCTTTATAGCTGTAGGCGTGCTCACCTGAGCTGGAATTATCTGCACAGCTGGGAGGCAAACATGAGTCACAAGATGTGGATTTACAGCCATCTAGAGCCAATTCAACCTCAATTCTAATCTCTTAATACCTCTGCAGAAAGTGATAATGCATCAGCTCTTACTAAAACCTGCCAACTTCCCTGATGATAAATGATGTTGCCATACGAGGTAAACCAAGCCGTTCACAGATCAGTGTCCAGAGTTAAGAGACACTTACGTTGATCGATAGTGACGGTGGCGTCTCCTCCGGACTGATCCTGGCTGGCCAACACATCTGAGATCAACACAAAGAATATTAAGATTAGTTTGTTTATTTAAAAACCAACAATCCGTCATCCCTGAAAATGTATGCTTCTTCTACAGTAGCATGTTCAAAGTGTAGCTCCTGCCAACTTACATTTACGCAGGAGTTCCAGGTGGCTCCACAGAATCTCTCCATTGGGAACTTTGTGAAGAAACTCTTCCTGACTGAAGCTGCAGAGCTCTCTGCCCGGGATGTGAATGCTGCCGATTTCCATCTCATCAATGTTAAACTCCTTCATTACCCAAACAGCCCAGTGGATCACCTGATCAGCTGTCCAGAGCATGGGATCTGACGAAAGGAGAGGCTCCCACAATTAACCATCCCATTCCACACATCACTGAATCATATAAGGAATGTGTTCCTCACCGTATGGAATTCCGAGCCGAACCTGCTCCTTGCGGTAACCTTCTAGTGCTGCGGCCCAGCGTGTGACCTGCTCTGAGGTCTCATCGGACAGAGCAGACCGCTCTACTGCGATGAGCTGTCCCTCCTCCACCAAGGTGCTATCCTCTCCCGCTGCATCCGGATCAATCACCACTTCCACTGTCTCTACCGGCTTCACGATTTCCAAAATGTTCAGCTTCTCCTCTCCTAGGCAAGGAAAAAGTAGCTTTATTAGTGTTTAACGATGTCTAGATTTTGTACCTTTTGGTTAAACTGGTACCTGGTTTGGTTATGATCTGCAGGCTGAGCTGCACCGTACCATCCGTTTTCACTCCCTGATCAAAAAGACTGTGATCGGGATGGAGCTATATATATATATATATGAAAAAAAAGACAGATAAGACGAATTACTAACTGTCCACCCCGAAATTAGCCTCAATAGTGTTAATTTGCTGATTTGTACCTGAATATCCTGCAAGCAGATGTCAAATGTGTCCAGTGGGATTTGGATTCGAGGCTCCAGAAGTTTCTTTAAATTGCCAATTGGTTCGTTGATGTCAATATCTTGTTGAATCAAGTCAGATGCAGTGATAGTCTGCTCTTCAGCTCTACAACAATGTTAATATATGGAAAAATAAGTCGTCGGGTTGTGCAAAAAGGCACTCATGAAATGTGTGTTTTCTTACCCTTCCTCCATGCACGCCTGTTTCTCCTGTTCGTCAATCTCTATCTCTATCATCTCTTCTGACTCACTTTTAGCCATTCTGTTTGATGATAGCTTTGGAACAGAGGTGTCAGAGACGTTTACTTATTTTTCATATTAATAAAACAAAATAACATATGACACACACAAAAAAAACTGAACCAGGAAAATGTGACAATATAACAAACTTGTGTGTATGCAAAGAAATTAGACTTTATTGTGACTGATAATTTGTATATTTGTTTAATCTGTTTATACGTTTTCTAACCCTGTATTGTTGCATCTTTCTTCTTAATATCACAAGACAACGCTGATCCCTTCAAATGCAATAGCTTATTGGCAAAACTTTCCAATTCTTGGGTTGCATAATTGCCTAAAATACCATAATAAAATCATAATTTAACAATGAAAAATAATTACAAACATTTTAAACATTGTAATCTTATTGTGATTTTACTGTCACATTAGTTTATCAGAAATGTGTGAATGTTTGCTGCAAGAAAGGCCTCAGAGCCCCGACTTCCCATTGGCTGTCAGGGACAGTTCCCTCTCAGCTAATGGAAGCTAACTCGAGGGCGAGGTTTAGCCGTTTTAAGGCTAACTTACAGGCCATGAGAGACAATTCTGTATATAATGCTCAGATATAACAGTTTATATAGCTACTGATTGCAAAAATACACAACACGTAGACTGTGTGGCAACACGAAACAAGTCCGAATGTTTAGCAATTTAGCTACAAAATAGAATCGCGGAGGCGAGGCAGAGCATTACACAACCGTCGGTCACCGCGTGCTAAACAACTGTTCAAATATCCGAAAAGCCCGTCACGATTTGTAACTTTAACGCGTCTTTATAAGTGAACAATCAAACTCTGGGCGAAGAAAAGTTTTAAAACGGAAATAGAATAAACGGAAACAAAACAGCATAGGGCAAATGGAAAGGAGCCGGAAATCCTGGCTAAGGGTTTTCAGGCGTTGTTAAGACTTCCGAGAGCAGCTCCGATCCGTACACCTCGAGCTTTAAATGAAAAATTAGCATCTGAAACTCACTGCGAGATCACCGATAGATTGCAACGACGTTCGAGTACTCGTTTACTAACGCTATTTTACGAAGAGTGGACTAAAACGTCGTTTATTCGCCTCCGGATGTACACCCACTGTGTGTTTGTTGCAGCAGCGTCACACGAAACGCTTCTGCTGATTTACCTTTTAGCTATCCAGCTAATGCTTCCAAGAACAGTTTGTTTTCAAGAGTGACAAAACACCAAACGTTGCTGTCTGTTGCGGATAAAGTTAGCGTAGCTTTCGCTTAGCTTAGTCAACAATGCGTATCTAGCTTAAAGGTGACCGCCTCTTCCCTGTGACTTCAAAATATTCAAAAACAGCTAGCCAGGTTAGCCTTGCTAGCCACGCTACAAAATAGCGGGAAGAGTGTGGCTTGATAAACAACCCGCCCTAGACCAAGTCCAGCTTCCCCACATTACACGGGTGTGTTCTACGATTCCATACCTCAGTCTTTAAACGATTATAAAATGTCAAAGGTGATAAACAACCCAAAAACCACACAGTAACGTTTCTTGTAAGTTTTAGGCCAACTGCACAGTTTGTGTAGGAGGGGCGGAGACTAACTGGGAATGAGGAAACAAAATCTGTAGAGAAAGGCCAACATTATTAACATTATTAAAGTATAAATACTATATTTTATGAAATGTTTTTCTCATTGTCAACAGTTTTTCTATGTGGTATTGTTACAAATTTGTGTCAGATGTCTATCGTTAAATTACATGTTCTTAAATGTTCACTATAAGCAGGTTTTATCATTTATACTCATAATGTTAGATAAGTCACATATACAAGATACATACACACACACACACACACACATATATATATATATATATATATAAGATACATTGATGACATTATTCTGCTGTGGTCTGGTTCAGAATCAGAACTACTTCAATTCCATTCATATCTTAATAATACTAACAAAAGTTTGAAACTTAGCCTAGACTTCTCATCTGAAATTAATTTCCTCGACATAAAAATCTCAAAATATGATAATGGAGATTTACACACTTCTATTTTTAGAAAACCGACTGACTGTAATACAATCCTCCGAGCAGACAGTTTCCATCCATCATGGTTAATAAACAACTGGTCAGTTTCAGACTTAGACGTATTTGTGACGCAGAAGAAGAATTTGAAAGAAATGCTACAGTTATGGGCCAGAGCTTTACAAGAGGGTACCAGCAAAGAACTATACTCAAAGCGTATAATAAGACTAAAAGCCTGCCAAGAGAACATTTTTTGGTACCTAAAGAGAAGAACCAACAAAGATCAGATGGTGTTTATTTTGTGACCCAATTCAGTGATCAAGCCAACAAGATCAATAAAATAATTACAAAAAACTGGGGCATTCTGAAAAGTGACAGTGTTCTTAGGGAATCTCTCCCAGATACTCCTATCAGCTTCAGACGAGCCCCAACATTAAATGATCAGCTTGTTCAAAGTCACCTTTCTCCACAGCAACAAAAAAACTTGGTTATCAACTCGAAAAGGCAACTATAAATGTGGAAATTGTGTTCACTGCGACAACATGACTAATACTAATAGTTTTGCTGATGTTTTCACAGGATGTACATTTTGCATTAATACATTCATCAATTGTAATACTTCGTTCGTGGTTTACAGACTAGAATGCCCATGTGGTTGCTTCCAAATTGGGAGAACTAAATGTAAGTTAAAAGCAAGACTTGCAGAACACAAACAAGCAATCAGATCTGGTAATCATCTATGTCCTATGGCAGGGCATTATAAAGATACAAATCATGGAAGCTGTAACTCTTAAAATCACAGGGATTGAACATATAAAACATTCAATTAGAGGAGGAGATAGGCTTAAAAAAACTCTTGCAAAGAGAATCATTTTGGATTTATACTCTAAAAGCTACTAATTTCCCAGGTCTTAATGGAGAATTAGATTTCGCTCCTTATTTGTAATTTTATGTTTTCGTACCATATTTACTTATAATTTTTTCTCAAATTCTCTAAGTGTAATTTAATATTTGTAATTATTCATCCTTACATTAGGATTGTTTAGATGTAAAAAGTTGTTTGTGTTATACTGGCCATCCAATCAGAATGCTGTCTACCTGCCCAACTTCAGCAGGTGTCATTGATTAGCCTTTTTAACATGAAAGTGAGTGAACATACAAACATTTTGAGCCCTGACGAAGGCCCTGTGGGCTGAAACGCGTTGGCATTGATGTTTTTAACTATTTGAGCCATGTACTAATTAAGGCTTTTTATTTTTGTATCTCCTGAGTGCCTCAGATCTCCTTTTGCCAACATTTATGTGGATCCCTTGGCTGAAGAGCACCAGTGAGAGCACCAGATAAAATTTCTTACACCCCTGCAGCACTTCCAGCATTTTTTCTAATTTGCTGTACATCTTTGGAGTGGTGACTTTATTTTCAAATGACCATTATTTGAATAAATAAGATGTTAAAACAATCTGACTTAATATTAATCAATGAAATCATGGTGGCTCTAATTTTCTATGTGTTAAAGTGTCAAAAATATTGAGTTTTGTTTACCTTAACTCTAATTTTAAATATCTGGAGATAACAGACCATCAAAAAGAGGAAATTAACTAGTCATCCTAAATGTAAAAAAGTTTATATTAATTTATTGGCATGTTTTTTTAGACAAATTCTATCATTACTAATAACAGCTTTTAGCATTCATTCTGAACCTCGTGCAAAACGACAGAAAACTGAATTAGGATGTGCATGTGACCAACTTCCATCCATCCATTCTCTTCTGCTTATCAGGAGTTGGGTCGCGGGGGCAACAGCCTGTCATCAGTTTGTACATTCAGAATTTCTTGGCTAGGAAATTAACCAGCCTTTACATCTGGTACCGATAATAATTTCAATCAAGCATTTCTGTATTTTTCCTGGTAACAAAAAACCCCCAACAACATCCTAAACAAAACAAAAAAACAGCAAATGCTGGATTTATTTCTGTTATTTATTAGTGAGAGCTTGCCAATTTAGCAGGCGGATTTATTTTAAACAATATTTTGTATATGTTCTGATATTTGTCAATGAGTTGTGCTCTTATTGTGAAAAAATCGGAACGGAAGTGAGTAGTTGATTTAGCCTGCGTGAGCCCAGGCGAACCAAAATGGCAGAGTACCTTGCATCTATTTTCGGGACAGAGAAAGATAAGTGAGTCATTGTGTTAACTTGACTAATCAATTACATATGTATTATTTACTTTCTTAAAAACTATATCTGATGAACGGAGCTTAGCTTAGTTGTATCTACGTGCGGAAACACTCCATTAGCTGTAGCCACGAGTGCTAACACGCTAACCACCGTCAGCAGCGCGGCCAATTTTCTGCCATAAGCTAGAGAAAGAAATAAAGGCATTACTAAGAAATAATATTCTGTTTTTGTTTTGTAATACGCTCTAACTTGACCTAAGCATGGGTGCTACACTAACTACCGGCTCAATTGGGCTAGCTTCGACGCTTCTTTGTTGCCTGGAACAGGCAATCCTTGTGATGCATGGGTTCGCTCCTTACGGGTCTGAGGGCTTACAACGGACCCGTGCGGCGAGGGAGGAGACGCACTTGAACGAGTGGAGAAACGTTTTCACTCGTTTAGTACACCGTCAGGGCTGCTGGCATATAAATGATGTGAACCTAGTTTTTTTTCTAGTAAAAGGGCACTTCGGCCCAGTTTTGACTTCTCTTGTTTCACCCCTCAACTAACAACTAATCACTTATAATAATAATGATTGATCCAAACATACACACCAATATGTTAGCTTGTATTAGAAAAGTAAGTTTCTTAAAACTTTATTAATCAGGTCTACAAACCTGTTTAGCTCTAGCAGTAATTTAATTATATAAATCAGATTTCTCAATTAAAATTTATTTTTTCACACAAATTACATGTTTTCATTTATGTGTTCATTTAAACCCTGATATAATGGTCTTTTTCTTTTACAAACAAAATAAATCGTATTTTCTAATTTTTATTCTTGTCCTTTTCAGGGTCAATTGCTCGTTTTATTTTAAAATTGGGGCTTGTCGACATGGAGACCGCTGCTCCAGATTACACAACAAGCCAACATTTAGCCAGGTAATATCACGGCCCAGGTGTTTCCTTTTGAGAGGGTTATTGCTCCCTATCAAGTGGTTTCAACTGCAGAACTTGTTTTTTCTTTAATGTTAATAAAACATATTTTGTAATTTAGATGAACATTTTTTTCTCTATTCTTTTAGAAAATTAAAACTAGAATTGTAGTTTAGATGCAGAACCAGGCTAAAGTGATGAGAAGTATTTGACCTTTTTTTTTCTCATTTTGATCCTAATTAACCCTGAAAATGTTTGTCTTTCAGACAATTGCTCTGCTGAACATTTACAGGAACCCCCAGAACAATGCCCAGTCTTTGGACGGTCTGACCTGTAAGAGAGTAATGAAACATAAATATGAATGACACACACACAGATTTAAAATATTCTTTCCTCTTATAACCTTAAGGTACCGTCAGTGACATGGAGATGCAGGAGCACTATGATGAGTTTTTTGAGGTAACTTATTGACTCTGTTTTTTTTTTCTTCAAAATTAATGATCAGTCGTGCCTAACTTGGAAGTGAAACGGGTTCATGATGCACCATTTAAAACAATAATAATCGTTTAAAAACTTGAAAATGATCTTCAAATTACTGACAGCACATGGGTTGATTATTCATGATGAGAGAACTTTAACAGAGGTGTGAAACTTGTCCAGACCTTTTATCACGTTTCAGCATGATGTATCCGACTTATACGAAGCCAGCAGTTTCCCTTCTTTTGTTATGTTAAGCTATCCTGTTAAATTAGTTTTTTCTCCATCCTCTCAGGAAGTCTTCACAGAGATGGAAGAAAAGTACGGAGAAGTGGAGGAGATGAACGTCTGTGACAACCTTGGGGACCACCTGGTTGGAAATGTTTATGTCAAGGTGAGAATCTGGATGAAACGTCTGTTTTTCTGTTGTTTTAGTGTTTAAATTAGCCACAGAACCTCAGTTTTTGTCATTGAACACATTTTTCTTTGCCCTGTTGCAGTTTCGTAATGAGGAAGATGCCGAGAAGGCCGTGATCGACTTGAATAATCGATGGTTCAATGGACAGCCCATTCACGCTGAGCTGTCTCCTGTGACGGACTTCAGAGAGGCCTGCTGTCGCCAGTATGAAATGGGGTGAGTGACATGAGTTAGCAGAGCTTCTAACCACATTCAGAATACTTTTTTACGGAGATATTAGGATAAAGTCACCAGTATTCTCAACCCAAAGTGGACAACTTTCCAATGGTTCATTCTTGGCTCGGTTTAGGGAGTGCACCCGCGGAGGCTTTTGTAACTTCATGCACCTGAAACCCATCTCGCGTGAGCTGAGGAGAGAGCTGTACGGGCGTCGCAGGAAGGGGTATGTCACCATTAAATCCTGTCGTCTTAGAACACCCGTCCATGGAGTTGTTAAGTGAAAATGCGATCGTCTTCTACAGCCGCCACAGGTCTCGGTCCCGGTCCAGAGAAAGAGATCGAGACAGAGACAGAGGCCGAGGGGGCGGCCGCGACCACGAGAGGCGTCGCCCCAGAGACAGAGAGCGTTCAGGGCGATTCTGAGCTTCACGCCAGGACTTCTCACCGCTCCATCCATCACTGTTAGTTTTAAGTTTGTACCCTATCAGATTTGTTCTGAATGACAGCCAGTTTCTAAGTGTTGTTTTAAATTGATTTCTGATGACATTCACCTCATTAAATTAAAGTTTTTACTTAAAACTAATTCCTGACTGTTTTCATCCTGCTTCTGTTGATTATTGGTGGTTGAAAGACCTTCTGAAAACCTAAAGAACCATTGACCTGGATGACCAAGACTGTTTTCTGCTTCAACGGAAGCAAAATGTAAAAAAAATGTTGGTCCTTGTTCTGACCCGGCTTCTCAGGTCAGCAGTCAGTTACGATACACTCAACAAAAATATAAACGCAACACCTTTGTTTCTGCTCAGATTTTTCATGAGATGGACTTAAAGATCTAAAATTCATTCCAGATACACAATATTACCATTTCTCTCAGACATTGTTCACAAATCAGTCTAAATGCGTGATAGTGAGCACTTCTGCTTTGCTGAGATAATCCATCTCACCTCACAGGTGTGCCACATCAAGATGCTGATCTGTCATCATGAGAAGTGCACAGGTCTACCTTATACTGCCCACAATAAAAGGCCACCCTGGAATGTGCAGTTTTTTTGCTTTATTGGGGGTCTGGGGACTCAGAACCGGTAAGTATCTGGTGTGACCACCTTTGCCTCATGCAGTGCAACACATCGCATAGAGTTTATCAGATTGTCAATTGTGGCCTGTGGAATGTTGGTCCACTCCTCTTCAATGGCTGTGCGAAGTTGTTGGATATTAGTGGGAACTGGTGCGCGCTGTCATATACGCCGGTAAAGCACATCCAAAACATGCTCAACGTCTGGTGAGTATGCTGGCCATGCAAGAACTGGGACATTTTCAGCTTCCAAGAATTGTGTACAAATCCTTGCAACATGGGGCTGTGCATTATCTTGCTGAAACTTGAGGTGATGTTCATGATGTTCATGGATGTACGGCACAACAATGGGCCTCAGGATCTCATCACGGTATCTGTACATTCAAAATGCCATCGATAAAATGCACCTGTGTTATTCGTCCATAACAGATGCCTGCCCATATCATAACCCCACCACCACCATGGGCCACTCGATCCACAACATTTACATCGGCAAAGCGCTCACCCACTCGACGCCACACACGCTGTCTGCCATCTGCCCTGTAAACCGAGATTCATCCGTGAAGAAAATACCTCTCCAACATGCCAGACGCCATCGAATGAGAGCATTTGCCCACTCAAGTCTGTTGCGGCGACGAGCTGGAGTCCGGTGAAGACCCCGATGAGGACGACGAGCATGCAGTGAGCTTCCCTGAGACGGTTTCTGACAGTTTGTGCAGAAATTGTTTGGTTATGCAAACCAATTGTTTCAGCAGCTGTCTGAGTGGCTGATCTCAGACGATCTTGGAGGTGAACCTGCTGGATGTGGAGGTCCTGGGCTGGTGTGGTTACACGTCGTCTGCGGTTGTGAGGCCGGTTGGATGTACTGCCATATTCTCTGAAATGCCTTTGGAGACAGCTTATGGTGGAGAAATGAACATTCAATGCACGAGCAACAGATCTGGTTGGCATTCCTGCTGTCAGCATGCCAATTGCACGCTCCCTCAATGCTTGTGGCATCTGTGGCATTTTGCTGTGAGGCAAAACTGCACATTCCAGGGTGGCCTTTTATTGTGGGCAGTATAAGGTAGACCTGTGCACTACTCATGATGTCAGATCAGCATCTTGATGTGGCACACCTGTGAGGTGGGATGGATTATCTTAGCAAAGCAGAAGTGCTCACTATCACACATTTAGACTGATTTGTGAACAATGTTTGAGAGAAATGGTAATATTGTGCATCTGGAATGAATTTTAGATCTTTAATTCCATCTCATGAAAAATCGGAGCAGAAACAAAGGTGTTGCATTTATATTTTTGTTGATTGTAAGTTCTCCAACGCCAGCAGAGGGGCTTTAGCTCTTCTCAGAAATCAAACGTGATTAAAAAGTTTTTGTTGATTAAACGTGAGAGGCTACCTAAATGATGAGCGGGTGGGTCAGCCGCTCACACTGATCATTTCAACTGTAAACCTGAAACCCCTGATCTGTAATCAGTCTGATGTCCTCAAGAAACAAGAAAGGAAGTTTTGTTCAAACCCAATTAAGTTGTGACGAGATTTAAAAGGAAGCACAAGAACAAAAGAACTGGGGGAAAATAACCCAATGTCTCAAAAAAGCAACAAACCCCAAACGGTTGAGCCTTTAAGGAGGCAAAACTGTAAAAAAGCTTTAATTCAGTATATTATGTTTTATTTTTAATATTTGAAGTTGCTGTCAGGATTGCAGTCAGGTGTCAGGATGTTGAATATTTGTGGCACGGCCTCAAAATTATGGTTGCATCATTTGTTAGATTTCAAACAAATACAAGATGTGCCACACCAGATATGCTGAAACTGGACAGCTTTGTGGGTTTATAACTGAGCTAATAAGATCTGGAGCTAATTTTGTTGACAAATTAAAGGTGCAACATTAGCCAGATTCACATCGCCAGCAGATAATCAATAGTTGATAAATAATGTTTTTGCTCCAGCTATAGCCGTTTTGGTGTTTTCTAAAATAATTTGGCAGCCATTTTTTCTTTATTAGCTTGACTTCAAAGGTTAATTAGTTATAGATGTACATCCAGTGCTTACTTGTAACGTTCTTGGAACGCAATTGACGTCAAACCAAAGTTTACCAAAAGCAAAATAAGACAGTTCCTGGATCTTGTTCCAGCAAGATCCGGCTCAAATTAAGCCCTGTGTTCCTCCATTAATGAGTTTTCATAAAGATCATTTATGAAATATTTACCAACAGAAACAAAAACATCCATTTTCTGCAGCAGTATAATAATTATTAGTGATAAATCGATTCTCTCCGAAGCTCAAGTTTTTAACAGAATATTAAAAAACAAGTTTCATTTTTTTACATTTATAAAAAAAAACATCCTCTCAATCAAAACAACTGTTTACCTAGATTGCCCCAGGATTACATCCTGGGGGGTGGGGGGCGCGGGTGTGTGGAACCCCCCAAAACTAAATACAGCAAAGAGTTATACACCTCATGTTATCTATTTCACCACAAATCCATCTAAAGAATGCAATACCATGCATTTAAAATACAGATTAATAGTGAAAAACTAAAGTTTTCAGAGGCAGGAAAAACCGCCTCCCCCTCGGGTTGTCTCCCAGTGGTTTGATCCCCTGAATAAAGCTCCAAACCCCCACTCAGATTGCTCCTGGGAATGTGTGTGTCATTGTGTGGAGAAGTCTTTGAAAAGAGTCAGCAGAGCCCAACCTCCTGTAAGTATCCTCTCACAAACAAACTCCAGCTCAGACATTAGAGAGGCTTTCTGCCTCAGTAATGATTAAAGTTAGACCTTTGTCCATCAGCAGAAGCAGGATGTATAAAAACAACAGGTTATGAACATCAGATTTAACCATATGCTGCACCGGACTTCATCAACTCAAAGGGTAATACAGACTAAACTTCACCATTTGCAGAGTTTTCAGTTTTAATGTTAAACAATTTGAGCTAAATGTTATTTTATTATTGTAACGTGATTATCTATGATGATTTAGAAACTCATTCCTACAAAAATAATCATGAATATCTTTTTGTATTTGATTGTATTTTCAGTTAAAAACAAATGATCATTGTGCTTTTTGGCATTTTAAAATAAAGTTGATGGTTCTGATTGTGTCAGATAATCTAAATTTACTCTAAGGGGTCAAACGGATTCCAGAGATTCATTCGGTCCAACCGGGAGAAGGAAAAGTGTCGCTCAGCAGAATCAGAAAAGCAAAGTTTCTTTTTACAAATGCCAAACTGCACCTGTTCTCATGCACATTCTTTTTTTATTCTTGTTTTCGTGCCACCGTTTCTCCACGAGGCTCTTTTCTAACGGGATACCTTTAGACTGGAATCAAGAAGAAACAGACAATATTATTACTTTAATTAAATAGAAAGTTTTTGCTTTATTGGCAGATTTAGTCAAGAAAACCCAAATCTGTGATTTATGGATTATTTTTGATATATTATTTTTCGACAGTTTTCTGGAAGTGACCAGGCTCCAAATTTTCCCAGATTTTAATTACAATTTTTTTTCTGCATGAATTCAGTCATAAGCTAAATAAAAATATTGGTTCTAACAAAATAAAGCTCTTAGAAATGAAGGACTAGTTCTGCATTTGATTTAAAGTTTTCCTTGTTCAAGGAACATCCATTTTTTTATCAAGTCTGGTTTTAAATCTGGTTCAAAGTTGGTGTTTAGATCTGAATCAGTCTATATAAATCTGGGTTTTAACATTTGTGCAGAAAAAAATACCTAGAATCAGATTTTTGTTGGTTTTATGTTAATATTTTCCTGTAACACCAGTTTAATCTCCATTTAGGTGAGAGATGCCTTCTGTGTCTGGCAGTCCTTACCTAAAAGATGGCCAGGGACCATGCAGAGAGGGAGATAATCTCATAAATGCAGATGTGACCCTTCAAAAGGACGGAGTTTTTGATCTAGACGCTGTTGGTCACAAGCCTTCTGCAAACAGTGGAGATGCTTGTCAGAAAGTAGGAGAAGAATCCCAGAAAAAGAGTGAAACAAACAAAAGTGATCTGACTGAGGAGGAGGCTGATGACGAGATTAAATGGATTCGCCCAGATTTACCCAGCAGATGCACCTGGAGACTCGGAGCTCCAGTTTCAGAGTCACCTCACAGCCACCCACCACGGTAAGCCTCCCCCAGATGAACGATGAGAGCTATTGGCAGCTGATTAAAGGGAAAAGTAAACATAAAACTCTAATTCATTTACTTTTTACTTCTTCCACACTTCTGATTGTGTTCTTATCCGCCCAGCAATAAACCGCCGACCATCCTCCCCAGCATCCTCGGCCATATTGGATACACACCTTTGGTTCGCTTGAACAAAATCCCAAAGGAGTCTGGGGTGAAGTGTGAAATCTGTGAGTTCAAACAGCAAAATGCGACATATATGCAGCTGCAGAAACATGTTTTGACTGTGCAAAATCATTGAAATGCAAAGAATGTTAAAGAGCAAGTCACCCCCAAATCAACTTCTTTTCTGATAAACTATATAAATGTGTGTCTAATCGCGCTCTAGACACGTGTCGTCAATAATTTTGCACTTTAGTGCATTTTAGTTAAAATGTTAATTTTTTGCCTAAAACTGTCAGTGTTGTGCCGTTTTCAGGTAAAAATTCTGCACTGCATTTGAAAATAAATCTGCCATCGCTATTGGCTAAGATGTACCCTAGGACGTTAGCTTGTACCATATGATGTCACAATGTCGTTGTGAGCCTGTGTGTGTATTTGTTAGCGGCTTTGCCCTCTCGGTCTGCTAGGCAACAGTATTTGTTGCATTTTTCAAACAGGAAATGGGAGTGGAGTAATACTCTGGTAGGGAGTATGTCTGTGAAGGTTCTCAGTCATCCAGGTCATTGTAGTCTAAGGAGCTTTCAAAGAAAAGCGTCTGGACTTCTTTGAGTTGCTTGAAGACGTTTCACCTCTCATGCGAGGCTTCTTCAGTTCTAAGGTCAAATGGTGGAGAGTCCCAGATTCAAACCCAGTGGGAGTTTCCCCCCGAAGAGGGAACAAAAGACCCCCGATGATCTACATAAAAACATGAGCCAAGGTGTGAGGGTGGGTGTGGGTCCTATTCAGCCAGAGTTTCGGGTGAGCTCATTGTGAAGCCTGGCCCCACCCTATCATGTGAATTCCTGAGGTATACCTGTACAGTGCAGTGAGGAATGCCCAGACCTCTACATCGGAGAAACCAAACAGCCACTTCACAAGCGCATGGCACAACATAGAAGAGCCACCTCCACGGGACAGGACTCAGCAGTTCATTTGCATCTAAAGGACAAAGGTCACTCTTTCGAGGATGCCAACGTTCCCATTTTGGACAGATGGTTTGAAAGAGGAGTAAAGGAAGCCATTTATGTCCACTGTGAGCAACCATCTTTGAACAGAGGCGGTGGTTTACGACACCAACTGTCTGCCATCTATAATCCAGTTTTGAGATCCCTTCCCCGATGCCTCAACCCCCATGTATATCCTGGGCCATCTGACCTCAGGAATTCACATGATAGGGTGGGGCCAGGCTTCACAATGAGCTCACCCGAAACTCTGGCTGAATAGGACTCACACCCACCCTCACACCTTGGCTCAACGCGGAAAAACATGGCGGACCGGCAAGAACTAGTATGGCAGAGGTTCATAAATACAGACATTTGTATGATTCAGCTCTCAGAGATCACGGTGATCAACATGTTGTTAATAATTCTTGGAGAGAAATAGCTCGCACTGTCGGAAAAGACGAGAACGCTGTTAAAAATGCTGAAATGCCGTGTTGTAAACAGTAATTTCTACTTCTACTACGGTGTAGTGTTGGGTGCATGCCGTAGAGCTCCATGCTGCCCCGTTCAGTTTGGGAGAATATTGGCTCACCGCAGAGAAGAGCCGCACGAACCATAAACGCTGCGAGTTGTGAAGCGCGTTCCATCCGCGAGCCGCATCACCCCGCGGAAAGTGAATGCGTCAAGCATAAACCAAGCTTTAGACTCTGGTAGGGAGTGACTTGCTCTTTAAACTTTTTTTTAAATGAACATTTTAAAATGTAAATATTGCACGAATAAAGCTGCTCATAAGATCAGCTGCAGGGTTCTGCATGCAAACTTTTTAATATGAAGAAAAACAAACAAAAAATCACTATCTCAGAATAACCTACACTGATTGGCCATAAAGGGTGTCTAGATATCAGAATAGAAGAACCAAATGTGACCTAATGTGCCATCTTTATTCACAAGATCTTATGTTTATGTATTTAGCAGAAGCTTTTGTCCAAAGCGACTTACAAGTGATAATCGGCATGTTGCCCTTGAGGCTAACAACAACAATAACAACAATAACAACAACTTGACATCAATCATGGAGAGGTGGGAACAAAGGAGTGGATGGTAGAGAGGGGGGACGGGTGCAGGGAAGGTGCTAGTTAAGAAGATGCTCTCAGGGTCTTCAGGAGTTTCTTGAAAATTGAAAAGGAAGCTCCTGTTCTGGTAGTGCTTGGAAGGTCATTCCACATTTGTGGAACGATGCTTGAGAAGAGTCTGGATTGTCCTGAGCGTGGTGTAGGCACTGCTAGCCGACGATCCTGTGATGACCTGAGTGGCCGGGCCGAGACGTATGCCTTTGCAAGAGGATACAGGTAGGTGGGAGCCGCACCATCTCTGACTTTGTTTGCTAGTGTTAGCAATTTGAATTTGATGCGTGCAGCTAGCGGTAGCCAATGGAGCTCAATGAACAGAGGGGTGACGTGTGCTCTTTTTGGCTGATTGAAGACCAGATGCGCCGCTGCATTCTGGACCATTTGAAGAGGTCTCACAGTACAGCCTGGAAGACCAGTTAGAAGGGCATTGCAGTAATCAAGGTGGGAGATGACAGTAGATTGCACCAGGAGCTGGGTGGCATGTGTTAGGTATGGTCTGATTTTTCGTATGTTATACAGCGCAAAGCGGCATGAACGAGCAACAGAGGTAACATGATCTTTAAAGGTCAAGTGTTCATCAATCACAACACCCAGATTTCGAACTGCCTTTGAAGGAGCCAGAGATAGGAAGTCATTTTGGATTGAGATATTGTGCTGTATGGATGGTTTTGCTGGGATAACAAGTAGTTCAGTTTTAGAGAGGTTGAGTTGGAGATGGTGGGATTTCATCCATTTTGATATGTGAGAGAGACAGTTTGATATTCGTGCAGAGACAGTGGGGTCGTCCGGTGGAAATGACAGATAGAGCTGAGAGTCGTCTGCATAGCAGTGGTAGGAGAAGCCATGTGATCGAATGATCTTACCCAGTGAGGTGGTGTATATGGCAAAGAGAAGAGGTCCTAGTACAGAGCCCTGGGGGACTCCTGTGGCAAGATGGTGCATGGTAGAGGATTGTCCAAGCCAAGATACACTGAATGATCATCCTGTGAGGTACGATTCGAACCAGGCGTAAGCTTTCTCTGTGATGCCCATGCTAGAGAGTGTGGACAAAAGGAAGCCATGGTTGACAGTGTCAAATGCTGCCGATAAGTCGAGCAGGATAAGCACTGAGGATTTGGCAGTAGCACTAGCTTCTTCCAGAAGGCTGGTCTGAAGTGAAGGTGAGACACGCCAGTAGGAGAGCCATTTTTAGGCCATTTCTTCGACTCTATCCTGTTTTTGCTTCCTCCTCGCCTGCTAAGTAGAGAGTATCGTGTGGCTCTTGGCTTCATGTCGGTCACCTGGTGACTTGGGGTTTGGTTTGAGGAGGCAATGCCCTCTAAAGGATGGAAAGGTTAACATGAAAGACTGATTGTTCTTTGGGCCAAAAGAAAAAAATACACCAGTAAATAAAATGCAACTTGAAGCTTGCAAACATTCTGGGTGTTTGGTTGGGGGTTCTTATGTGCTGCATTTTTTCTTTGAGCAGAGCCAAGCACGGAAAAGTAGTTCCTTGGTGTCAAAAGCTCAAGCCTCAAGCCACTTGACTCTTTAGTTAATTTATGTTGCAACCCGCTCCAGACACTTAGTGGGTAAGGAAGTCAGTGCCTGCACACATTCCTGCAAGTGTCTCTGGGGTTCCTCTGAGCTGAGTGCACCTTCAACATATACTCCATTCAGATGAAGCACACTAGAAAAAGACACAACATGCAGAAGAACAACATGACCATTGTCCATGACCCATCATGACCCAGAATCATAAAACTGTAAACCAATTACACGCCCATGCACGGGATGCTTCTGTGCACCTGACCCGAAACGCCATATGAACAAAGCCGTGTTTACATCAGCAACCGGTCAGTGCACAATGAACACAAATATAGTCAGCTCTAATTAGAACCATTTGCTTTGACAGCAGAGAAAACATGCAGCGTCTGGTCACATCATCCTAAAAACCAGTTCAAGAGCATCAGATGTTTGTGCTTTATTTTGTGTTTAGTGGCCAAGTGTGAGTTCTTCAATGCAGGAGGCAGCATAAAGGACAGAATCGCCCTGCGGATGGTGGAGGATGCTGAGAGAGCAGGAATACTCAAGCCAGGAGACACCATCATCGAGCCCACTTCTGGAAACACAGGCACATCAACTTCCTGTTTAGCTAATCAGAATGAGCTCGTTATGATTTTATTAAGCCTCCCAATGAGTCGTTTTAAACTTCCCTAATGTTCCTCCTGCAGGTATCGGCCTTGCTCTATTGGCTGCTGTGAAAGGCTACCACTGCATTATAGTCATGCCTGAGAAGATGAGTATGGAGAAGGTAAGTTTGGATGATTTTCATACCAACTCATTACCAACCCACTGCCAGCAGCTGATCTTACTTTGTGCCTCAGGTGGATGTGCTGACAGCTCTTGGAGCAGATATTGTGCGCACTCCTACGTCTGCAGCCTTTGACTCACCAGAGTCTCACATACGCACAGCTTGGCGATTAAAGAGCGAGATTCCCAACTCGCACATCCTCGACCAGTACTGTAATCCAAGTAACCCCCTGGCTCATTATGACACCACAGCTGAGGAGATACTGGAGCAGTGTGATGGTTTGTATTGTCTCAGTTAATGAAGCTGTATGTGTTCTGCTTTATGGTGCATAAAAACAAAACAAATGGATAAATGTTGTAAACAAAACTCCCATTCTGCTTCCTTTTATGCTGCTATGTGAGTCTCTGCTGCCTCTTTAAAGTGACAGTGTGTATTTTCCCTGGCCATAGGGGGCAGTAGATACCTAAATCATTGCAAGCAAGCATTATTTTTGTGTTCAAGTAAGACCTTACCATTAGGGTAAAAAAAATCCCTGGGAGTGCAACCTCCAGCAGCACACCAGACTCCCTTTCATCACTGGCAATGAGTGAAGAGGTAAATGTGTAAAACAACAATGTTTATTAATGGGGAAAGTTTTATAACCATCTGTTACAAATCAGAACATGCACATTGTCCTCACAGGCTTCTGTAGAAGGAAACATAGCATCCAATATGGCGTCGCCCAGACAGTCACATAGTTGCAATTATTTTAGCTGTGTGGTTAGGGTCTTTGTCATGTTGGAAGGTAAACCTTTGACCCGGTCTGATTTTCTGAACACTCTGGAGAAGGTCCTTGTCCAGGATATCCCCGTACTTGGCTGCATTCATTGTTCCCTTGATTGCAACCAGTCATCCTGTCCCTGCAGCTGAAAACACCTCCACAGCATGATGCTGCCACCACCATGCTTCACTGTGGGGACTGCATTGGACAAGTGATGAGCAGTGCCTGGTTTTCTCCACACATACCACTTAGAATTCAGGCCCGAAAGGTCTATCTTGGTCTCATCAGACCAGAGAATCTCATTTCTCACCGTCTCGGGGTCATTCAGTTGTCTTTTAGCAAAGTCCATGCAGGCTTTCATGAGTCTTGCACTGAGGAGAGGCTTCCGTTGGGCCACTCTGCCATAAAGCCCTGACTGGTGGAGGGCTGCAGTGATGGTTGACTTTCTACAACTTTCTCCCATCTCCTGACTGCATCTCTGGAGCTCGGCCACAATGATCTTTGGGTTCTTCTTTACCTCCCTCACCAAGGCTCTTCTTCCCCGGTAGCTCAGTTTGGCCAGACGGTCTGCTCTAGGAAGGGTTCTGTTGTCCCAAATATCTTCTATTTAAGGGTTATGAAGGCCACTGTGCTTTTAGGAACCTGAAGCGCAGCAGATATGTTTTTGTAACCTTGGCCAGATCTGTGCCTTGCCACAATTCTGTCTTTGAGCTCTTCTGACCTCATAGTTCTCATTTGCTCTGACATGCATTCTTCTTTCTTCTTGTTTATTGGCGGGTGGCATCTAACGTCTAGGTGCATTTCCACCGCCTACTGTGCTGGAGTAATCTCTGACATGCATTGTGCGCTGTAAGTTCTTATGTAGACAGGTGTGTGGCTCTCCTAATCAAGTCCAATCAGTAGAATCAAACACAGCTGGAGTCCATTGAAGGTGTAGGACCATCTCAATGATGATCAGAAGAAATGGAAATCACCTGAAATATATGATCATTACACCAAAGGGTCTGAATACCTAGGACAATGTGATAGTTCAGTTTGTCTTTTTTAATAAATCTGCAGAAATTAAAAACATTCTGTGTTTTCCTGTAAATATGGGGTGCTGTGTGTACGTTAATGAAGAAAAAAATGTATTTAATTGGTTTTAGCAAATGGTTGCATTAGAACAAAGAGTGAAAAAGTGACGGGGGCCTGAATACTTTCTGTACCCACTGTAAGACATAACAATAGATAATACAAACAGATATATGTTTCTAGGTAAGCTGGACATGTTTGTTGCTGGAGCAGGGACAGGTGGGACGCTTACAGGTGTTGCTCGAAAGCTTAAGGAGAAGTGTCCCAATGTCAAGGTGAGACATTAACTCAGAGTTGCTTACCTATTACTAATATTTCAGTTAAAGCACACTATACAGATTATTTCTACATTACAAAGTTGAAACGCTGATCTTTATTCTAACTTTGATGAAACATCCATTCTTTCTTTGTAGATAATCGGTGTGGACCCTGAAGGCTCCGTTCTGGTTCACTCAGAAGAGGAACAAAACAAGAGTCATTTTGAAGTAGAAGGAATTGGGTATGACTTTGTCCCCAAGGTGCTGGACAGATCTGTGAGTATTATCATTCATGAGGATATTTACAGATATATACAGTTATATGTGTTTTAATAACAGATCTTTGCAGATTGTGGACAAGTGGTACAAATCTACTGATACAGAAACATTCAACATGGCCCGCAGGCTGATCAGAGAGGAAGGTCTTCTCTGTGGTAAACCTCAGATCCACTTGGGTTCTTACATTTCACATTCTAAGTGATTTATTTACCTCTAATTTTTGTTTGTTTGTTTGACTCCAGGTGGAAGCTCTGGTTCAGCCATTGCAGCTGCACTGAAGATGGCTCAGGAGCTGGAGGAGGGACAGCGCTGCGTGGTCGTCCTGGCCGACTCGGTTCGCAACTACTTGTAAGAACATCTTTAACAACACCAGGATAAGATTTATTCTGAATGGAAAAGATCCAAGTTGTGTTTAGAGATCTTCTGTTGCAGCAGGAGAAATGACGCCACACTTTTTAAAAATGAAAATGAGCACCTTCCTTCTCCAGGTCGAAGTTCCTGAGTGATCAGTGGATGTGTGAGAAGGGATTCCTCAGCCCGAAGCCTCCAAAAAATATCAAACCATGGTAAACTTTTAAAGTCAACAATTTATCAGTTATTAAAAGAAGACAGGTGGAAGTTAACGGGTTTCTCCTTAAGGTGGTGGGATCTGACTGTTCAGAGTCTGCAGCTGCCCTCCCCTCTCACTCTTGCACCTTCCCTGTCCTGCCAGAAAGCCATGGAGGTCCTGAGAGAGAAGGCTTTCGACCAGGCTCCAGTCATCGATGAGTCAGGGTAGAGCTTCCACGAATAAATGCTAGACATTCAGATCTTCTTGTATGTGATAATACATGAGATGCACTTTAATTCTGACTGGGCTGCACCGTTTTGCCTCGGCAGTGAGATCCTGGGGATGGTGACTCTGGATACCATGCTGTCTGACATCCTGGCTGAAAAGGTCAAACTGTCCGATCCAGTCAGCGCGGCGCTCTGCAAAAACTTCAAGCAGGTCAGAGGAGACATAAAGTGCACTCATGCAAATGTCATGTTTTTATCCTTCTTCTGAATTTTACTCGTTTGCTTTCAGGTTCATCTGACAGACCACCTGTCCAAGTTATCCTGCGTTCTTAAATCCCGAAGCTTTGTCCTGGTGGTGCACGATCACACCCGGTGTAAGTCTGTTTAATTCCTTCTTTTCTTTAATGTAAAAGCAGATTTTTGTTTGTTCTGATTTCAATTAAGCCATAAAGTAGTTTTTGGGAGAAATTCTGTTAATTAAGATAATGAATCCAAACACCTCTGTGTTAATGTGTGTTTTGGTCCAGATGAGGCTGATGGATCAGCTTCTCAGAGGCAGACGGTGTTTGGCGTTGTGACCGCCATCGACCTCCTGAACTTCATCACTGCACATGAGCAGCAGCAGAGTCAATCTCCATCCAAATGCTCGATCTAAAAGTGCACCTCAGGGGAAATGACCCGTTGAAGATGTTAGATCTGCTCAGCAAAAAAAAAAAAAACACCATTTAGGTTGATTTAGGAGAAAAGATTAGGAAAACTTTAGAAAAACAAAAGAAAAAAAAGCAAATTTGGCTTCTTATTTTACTTTTTAAAACCTGTCCCTTTATGTTTGAGAACGTTCTTCTGCAGAGACATACTAGCTGCTAGTTGGATTATTTTTTTAGTGGAATTTATTAGTATGAGCAATATGGAAAACATTTTTTGTTTCTGTCATTTTATTATTAGTTTGATTTAATGTATTTAACAATCCTTAAGTTTTTAACCAAGCAGAAGTGAAACGCTGCCTTTTAGACTCTAACTAGACAACAGTTGTAATCATTTGTGTGAATTTTTATGTTTTGCTGATAATCTTTGATTATATGAATTTGTCTGAAGTGGTTAAAGTGACGATAAAACAGACACGACTTAATTTCTGAACTAGCAACACTTTCATGATAAATGTAAGTTTTACAGAAAACAAAATCAACATTTTCTCTTTCCTTCCTCATTTTAAAGCTTTTTTTCTTTTCATTTGATTTTATTCATTTGTGTTTGAATGATAATATTCATCTTTTTGTGCTGATGTTGCTTACATTTACATTTAGATGTGCAGATGTGTAAAATGTGCTTTTTGCACACGATTGATTCATAAATCATGTAGATTATATCACAAAAGTTATGAAATCCTGACATCTGCTGCTGTGTTGTGCAACTGTTTCAATATCTCATGCTATTGTCGCTAATAGAAAGCACATTGAATGGCCTCTGTGTATGTAATGTGATGTAGAAATAAAGCTGCGTTGCCAATCTAACAGGTTCTGTCTGGTTTGCAGTAAATTGTGGAGACCTGTGATGGTTCATCTCCAAATCATGAGTTCATTTACCTGCAAAAACCAGTCTCTGAGCACCATCAGACCTTTGCATTTTTCTTATAACTTAGTAACAAGATGGTGGTTTTTCAAAAATGTCAAATCTCTTCGTGAATATTTATGGAAGAAAAAAAATTATTCTGAGAATAAAGTCAGAATCCCAAGTTTAGTGGCAGAACTCAGAGTTTTTTCTAAGAAATCTGAGTGATAAAGCTGACTTTAATGACACTTGATCCTCTTCTGTGGAAATTTATGCATCAATTTTCTAAATCCGCTTATCCACGCAGGATTGCGGGGCACTGGTGCATATCTCCACCAGTCTCTGGGCAAACTGGCGGGGTACACCCTGGACACATTGCTGGTCCATCGCAGGGCAACACGGAGACACACAGGACACACACACACACACACACACACACGCGCGCACACACACACACACACACACACACACACACACACACATCTAAGGACAATAACCTGACATGTTTTTGGACTGTGGGAGGAAGCTGGAGTTCCCGGAGAGAGCCCACACATGCACATGCAAACTCTTTGCAGAAAGACCTCATTAGGAAATGATAGTGTGATGACACACAAATCCTTACAAATGCATCACGAACAGTGTCAGAGGAGGCTGAAAACATCCCTTAATTCCTTGATGGCACAGAATATAATGCGAATGCTGGTCAGGATTTGAACCCAAGACCTCCTTGCTGGAAGGCAAGAGTGCTAACCATTGCGCCACCATTCCAAAGGTCCTGTGGCAGTTGTGGCTCTCAAAAAGTTGTATTAGTAGACATATTCTGTCCATGCATAATGCATTATTTCACCAGAGGGTGGCAGTAGTGACATGCTGCAGAGACGCAGGCAACATAAATACAAGCACTAGTGAGTTATGATTTAAACTGTTACGTTTCAGTCACTTTGAGTCAGAAACATCTATTATTTATCCCTGCTTTCATAATATGACATAATGTTTGGGATTTGTCTTTTTTTTAGCCAAATTTACAGTCTAGTCAACAAGTCAACCAATGTGAGACCAGAACAAACTGATCACACCAAGTCTAAAGCAAAAAAAATAAAAAAATAAAAAAATCACGGATCCCAAACAAGACAGTTTCTGTTAAAAATCTTCACAAAGAGGCACAAAATGACTCAAACAGAGATGAGAAATAAGGATAGAAAATGTATAATCAAAAGGGAACTTCTTGTAAACAGCAGGCCAGTTGTCAAATATAAATAAGAGGGTTGTTTTAAACTTACAAGATTATCTTTTTTGTGCCAGGAGGTCCGAGTCTTTACACCGTTCAATCATTCCGACCTGCCTTCTCACTACATCCTGTGCCATGCAGGAATTCAGGGAATCGTGATGTTCTCAGCCTCCTCTGACACGGTTTGTGATTCATTTGTAAGGATTCGTGTGTCATCACACTATCATTTCCTGATGAGGAAACAAGTCCAATGACAGCTCAGATGTCACCAAATTCTGACTTCACATGGAGATGACACTCACAGGAAACTGTAAGCATTAACTGTACTATTTAACACGAGCGCTCTCCTGCTAGTCACAGCAAGAAAAGAAAAAAACCCCCGGAAAACAGCGAACGTCACATCACGCTGTCCCTAACCGTCCCTAACCGTCATCCGGTCTGCCATCATCTTATGTGCCTCTTTGTGTCCTCATGTGTCTCCTTGTCTGCAGCCTCCTCCATGTTCTCCATCCAGGTATCCCCCCAGGTTCTGGCCTCTTTAGTTCTCCAACCCCTTCAGGTGTCTCTCTAGAATCCCCCCTCACATGTACCCAGCTTCCTGTGCCCTTCTGGCCTCCAGCTCCCACCAGGTTTCCCAAGTTTACTTATTCTTGTTATTATTTGTATCTTCTAGCTTGTCTTTCCCTGTAGTTTTCTTAGGTTCAGGTATTTTTCTTCTAGGTTCCTCCTTGGTCCTTCCTTCTGGTTTATTAATTCTCCTTTTCTCCTTAGATCTTTAGTTATTTGTTGTTCTAGTCCTTAGGCTTTGTTATTATTCATAGGTAATGTTCTATTTCTCCCTCTCAGCTTAGTTTCCTCTCCCCATTGGTTAATTGATTTCACCAGGTTTATTTCCCCACACACCTGCAGTTAATTCCCCAATAATCCTTCCCAGTGTATAAAACCCTGTCTGTGTCTCAAGACCTGTCCACACGTAGCCGGGGATCTGCCAAAACGTAGATATTTTTCTACGTTTTGGCCTGTCATCCACATGAAAACAGAGTTTTTTCACACGAAAACGGATGTTTTTAAAAACTCCGGCCAAAGTGAAGATCTGCGTTTTCTCTGTTTTGGGTGTCTGCGTGTGGACAGACAAAACCGGAGTTTTAAGGTCCGTTACATCACTTTCTGAGACAAAAAAATGCTGACATCACGTGTGCGGCTTGTGTTTACACTAGCCGACAGCATGGATGCCCTCAGAGCTGCGCTCGCTTTATCAATTGTCCAAGCGCTTTTTGCTTGTTTGTTTTTGCAAGCGGAATTACTGCTCCTTGCGGAAGACCACAGACGAAGGACGAGGTTAAGAACAGGGGAAGTACTGCCGCCTACAGGTCTGGCATGTCCTTAACAACGTATTTATCCGGGTACGTGTGGACAGAGTTTTGTTTTTAAACGAGGTGGTGTGGATGCAAGTTTTTGGAGGGGCGGATATTCGTTTTAAAAAAACCCGGCTACGTGTGGACTAGGCCTCAGTGTGTTGTTTGTCCATAGTTTCGTGTCAGCGTTCTTTTGTCCCCCCCCCCCCCCCCCCCCCCCCCTTAGGTCTCTAGGTTTTTGCTTTGTGTCCTTCCAGGACTCTAGGTCTCCAGGCTAATTGGATTTTTTCCCCCTTGGATTTTAATTAGTTTTTTGTCTTCCTAATAAAGGAATGTTTTCGTTTACATCTACTCCTGCCTCGTGTCGTCACGGGTGTCTGCATTTTGTGTCCTACTCCTCCAATCCTCAACGTGATGAACTGCTTATGAGTCGAGGATGCATTGACAGTTCATCTCTGTCCTTGCCACAAATAATAACTATTGAGCAGGGTTCATTTAAAGCTGTGCTGTCATTGGCCAATATTGCTTAATTTAAAGTATTTGTACTCAGTTATGACTGTAAAAGGAGCAAAATTCAGATCTTTAAATGTATTTGAAGTTTTGAGACTAAGATGTTTTTGATGGTGGAATTGAGTCCTGCTGTGTGTATTTATGGACAGGATCTCAAAGTGTAGTCATGGATGATCTTTGACTTTTGCAGATGACATGGTGGCCTCTTGAAGCCCCGTCCCCCAGTGTGTACTGGAAGGATTCAGCAGCTTTGATGAAAGTCAGTTCTTGATCTGGGGACCTTCAGGCTGGGAATGGTGGTTGGCTCAAGTGGAGAAGCTCAAGTATCTTTGTGTCTTGTTCTTGACTGATGGTAGAATGGAGCCGTAGATGGACCGACTGATCAGGGCTTCATTCTTAGGGATGAGAGCATGGACGTCACTAGGATTGAGATATAGGGGGGGCTTAGCCCCAGGAGCTTGACCTTGAACATTTTTTTCACACCCTGCAAAAACTTTGTCAATTAATTCATTATCTGAAGAACATTTAACAAAACCTATTATTTTATTACTTTCTTTTCCTTTCCTACCTTTGTGCATTTTCTCTCTTCTTTTTATAAAAAAAATAACACTTAATCAGTTCATTAGTGGGGTCTATGTTGAAGAAAGATTTTATATAAGTCCAGAAAAAGAGAGATGCTCGGGTCGAGCAGGCTGCTTCATGCACGTTCACGCTCAGGCATAGCCTTTCGAACCGTTCTTAAATGGTACAGATACAATTGACATCACTGACCAATCACAGGGCTTGTGTTTAAAAATTTGGACATGTCTCCGTCACCCTCTGTGAGCCTATTGGAGAGCACCTGCGCCGACGCATAATGGCGTTGAGTGTCTTTGCACCGACGCAGACAGAGAAGTTTAAGTCAGACTAGAAGTGTGACTAGTAGTACAAACTCAAAATACTCAGGAACCCCCCCCCCCCCCCCCCCCCAAAAAAGATTCAATAAATCAACAAAAAATACCTGGAGATCATGACCTGCCAGAGCAGAGCTGGGTTTGCTCTTCTTCATCAAACTCAGAACTGCTATTTCCATGCTTATTGATCTCCAACGGAGGAGCTCTAACATCGACACCAAAGAGTGAACCCTGGTCAGTGCTGACGTGAGTGGTTCTGCAGCAGTTGCTGTGACCCAGTGACTCTACCACAGTTGGTTAGATAATGGTTACTGGGAAGTGTGACAGGCCTCACCAGCAGAGCTGTTACTGGCACTGGCAAGGCCACGAGGGAGAAAACAGACATACTGACAGCAACGACCCAATGACGAGAGTCCGAACCGATGATGTGCCCTGGCTCACAAACTGGCAGGGTTCAATTTGAGCCACTTTGACAGAAACATATCAGTCACAGAGAGTGTGTTCTGTGTGTGCTTGTTACTGTAGACAGGAACACTGAATACGCTGATCAAACCTTCAGCTTTATAAACCAAACAGAAAGTTATTATGATTCTAATAAACACCAGACAGCAATGATCCAATCGTATGGTGATGATCTTTAAAAGGGAAAAAGGTTAATCTTTTGCTGCTAATAGACATTTACTCTTTAGCTGCTTTTATTTCTTATGAAACAGCAGATGTTTTAAAATGACATCTCCTTCTAAAGGCAACAACTTAGGCATTGCATCAATCCGTCTGTCCATTTTCTTCCATCTTTGCAAGGATGAGACTTCGGGGTAGCTGGTGCATGAGGGAAGCCTATGTCCTTCTCCCTAGCTTCTTCATGGGGATCCTAAGGCATTTTGACATCACTGGTGTGTTAGCTCGCCTAGTAAGATGTTGGACTTTTGTGCAGAACACCTGGGTTCGATTCTGGATGTGAACATAGCTTATTTAGAGTTCATTTTTACAATAATGATATATTTTTTTACAGTAAGATGCCCAAATTTTTATTTGAGACTCGCCGAACGACATTGAATTCACAGATAAAAATGATGTGGGTTCACCTTTCATTTTGGAACAATTTTTCAAGAGCATGCAGGAGGACTGACCCATCTTAAACCTTTGTCGGCTGTGCTGAAGAGAAAGGTACAGAACCAAATTATTTAATTAATTAGCTGCGCGTTCTCCTGTCCTCTGTCCTCCGACACACACACACACACACACACACACACACACACACACACACACACACACACACACACACACACACGGAGCTGACTGTCTCAGCTGTTATTTTCGTTAAGGAGTGTGCACGTACAGCATGCGCACCTCGTGCACGAGCCTACTATTGAAGCTGCCGTTACGCTTTTGGCCTGAGGGGGCAATCGCGAGCATGAAAATTCAAAACTCTGTAAAGTCCCTTTAACATGGGGGATTTATCTTTTTTAGAACCCGTCCCTAGTGGATGAGGCAGGAACTGCATGTTTTGCCACTTCCGCGCTGGCTTCACCTTTACCAGACAGAGTTTGCCCCTTGGTCATTATGTTTAATTTTTTTGCAACCTGATCTTCATTAGAAGTTAAACAATGTATTATTGTTGAAGTCTCCACGAGTTTATGTCTTGGTGCAAAAAGAAACACCTAAATAAATAAAGTTCATAAGGGTTTCAAATGCTGACAGAGGATATATATATATATATATATATATATATATATATATATATATATATATATATATATATATATTTGTATTTATACTCACCTCATAGTGAATAACATTACTGTATTATATTCTATCTTGTTGGATTGTAAAGCACCATATTGTATAATTTTGAATCATATAGCATTGTCTTGTATAACATTGTATTGCGTTGTGTCAGACCGTATTGTATTATATTACATGGTATCAGATTGTATTGCGTTGCGTCATATCACATGGTCTTGTATTATGTCATATGCTTGATGAACTGTATTAAATCATGTTGTGTTGTATTAATAACTGGACCTTCCTCCAATGATGTTCCAGGGTCAGGGTTCAGGCAGTCCTGCTTTTCAGTAGACAGCAAACGTCTCTTTTGCTCAAAGGAAAATAACACAATAGAGAACATTGTGGGAAATCACAGGGTTTTTATTAAAGGCTATGGAGTGGAAGCAGGACAGACCGAAGAGGAAAGGCACATGTTCTGGTTTTAACTTTCTCATTTTGCGTCATCCCTTTGTCAAAACACATAAATCACAGCTTTGTCATCTGATGAAACGGCAGAGACCCCTGCCCCGGCTATCTCTCATCTCCTCTCAGCATCTTGCTGTTATCACCATGTTCCCCAGCTGTGAAAAGAGATAAAGGAAATCAATTTTAATAGAAGCATGCAGGCATAGCTGGGATTTATATTAATTAAAAGGCAAATGTGCAAAGGGGAAAATAAGAGAGTTGAAAGTCTAACTGAGGGCAGAGCTGCTGTTTGCTCTGATTTCTGCTGTGCGTCACTCTCAGACCCCTCGGGTGTGTGTGTGTGTGTGTGTGTCCACTTCATTCAGGGGTGCTGCTTGTTGTTTTGGTGGAAAGTGGTTTTTTTCTTTGTTCGTATTTTTTACAGACGCTTAATTGAGACTATTATCAGTCTCAGTTCTGATGTCTGTCAATGCCCATTTACAGGACAGCAATTTCTTCGTAAATGCATCTATTTTCCATACTCTCCACAGTGTAACAGCACCCTCATATGGTTGTAGCCCCATCTCAGCAGGACAGTGGGCGTGACAAGAACCCTAAACCTAATCCCAACCCTAACCCAGCAATCTAAGGATCATGCTATAGGGCTGGAAATCTGCAATGTATTGCAATCAAAGAATTCTTTGTCAGTGCAAGCAGAAAAGCAAATTTTCAAAAAAGTTGTAAATGTTTTTCTTGAACGCTCCAAACATTTGGGCCATTTATCCTGGCTGACTGGAACTCTAGGGCAGAGAAGTATAAAACAAACACAAGAGCACAAACCCAGCCAGGCCTCTGAGAGGAGTTTGATGCTGATGTGCAGTGAAAGGCAGAGGTGGCGTATTAGATGGAGTGTAGCGCTGCTGTGAGTCAGGCTGTGTTGCCGTGTCAGCTCGTCCAGACAGGCGCTGCTCTCCGGGCTCTGTGTAGGTGTCTCTCAGGGGATGGACAGACTTTTTCGTTACAAAACCACCGAGTTCAGGCCAGCAGCCTGCTGCTGCTCTTCAATACTTCATGACATGCAAGGGCCCGTGATAACATCTTTATAAGCCAGTCTGACCTGAAAGCCCTTCATCTGAGGGTTATGGTGCTTCAGGATGACACGGCTTTGAATCTGGCGCCCATTAACAGATTATATCCAATCCTTGTCATGAATCCTTCATTACATCATGCGAACCAGTTCTTTGGATTAATAATTTACGGTGTTCACCTGCTGCTGGTTTGTTATCACATGATCAGTCTTCATGTTTCTAGAGTATGTGACTACAGACGGTTCAACCAGCCAAGTCTGACAGTAAAAGTCTCTCTATGTTTTCCCAACTTTCCATTTTTGGGAGTTAATGTCTGGAATGCTGACATTTGAGGAAGCAGCTCTGCCACGACTGGCTCTGACACGTAGTCCTCTTTAGCTCATTATCAATGTCCTTGCAAAATAGAGAATTATGTAACTGCAACACTCTGTTTCCACTCAGACACAGGGCTCCGAGAGAGCGGTGCCGTGTATTGTGTTGGCTTTCAAGCAGTGGATTGTGTTGAGCTTGTTTGAATATCTTTGGATAAATGACTGAGGGACGTCTAAGTGCAGATGTGTTTGTGCTAGATGAGGCTTATTGTTTTACTGGATGAAGAGCTTTTCCATTTCGGGAGCCCCCTTTCCTCCCATCACTTTTTTTTCATCTCTTACGTCAATGCTTCCAGACTGTCACTGAGCGTAAGGGTTTTCCCACTCGGTGCCTCCTGAGAGCCGCCCTGCTTTTGCTTTCTTTCTATCTTTTTTTTTTTTTTTTTTTTGCAGGCTGACAGGCTTCCGAACAGGCCGGAGAGGAAAACTTAAGCAGAAATTCTGAATCAGCTTCCTGACTACCCTGCCAGCTTCCACATGTCTTTTGTTAGGATTCTCCTTTTCTATCCAAACAGGTGTTTCTTTAGTAAACCTGTAAAGTAATTTGTCTCTTTTTTGTCCCACTTATTGAAATGCCAGCGAGAACACAGAGATCATGGCGTCAACAGGATGTGCGCTCAGTTCCTGTCATTGGACTCGAGGGTCGCAAAACAACAAAGATGGGAATGGCTCCCAGGGGTTTGGAAGTTGTAAAACGATAGGCATGTCCCAGCGGAGGGTTTAAAAGCAGTCAAACAACCAGCCTGGATGGATCAAGCAAGAAACTCTCAGCTTTGAGTCCAGACGTTTTAATTACCTCCACAAATCCAGCTGAGCCTCGTGACCGCCGGGGTTAGAACAAAAGTACACTTCATGTCTCAAACAATCAGTCCTTACCCCCATCCCATCGTCCAGTTGTGAAAACATGCATGACCTACCTAGAGAGGCTTTCACACACACACTCTGTCACACACACACACACACACACACACACACACACACACACACACACACACACACACACACACACACACACACACACACACACACACACACACACACACACACACACACACACACACACACACACACACACACACACACACACACACACACACACTTTTAAACAGACTCAAGACTGTTGGCTGTTTTGTGGAGCTGGAGCAGCTGACGTCAGTGAAGCCCGGTGACTTCATTCGTCCGCTGCAGCCTGAGGAGGTGACAGACAGACGGACGGAGAAAGGTGACACTGAACGAACAAGCTGCGAGCACACAAGCCAGAAACGAGGAGCGGAGGAAGCCTAAAGAATGTTCCAAAGCTCGCGTAGTCAGAGAACGGAAAAGCAAACAAAGGTACAAGAAATTTCTGACAGTCAAAAGATAAACGAATACATCACAGTTCAGCTGCTGGCGGTTTCCTTCAGGATCACATGCTGTCATGAGGAGTGTGTCTGGAGAGTGTGTGTCCGGCTCACTCCTTCCTTGTGAGATGTTTTAACCCGTTAAAATTTAAACAGCCCAGCAAAGTTGCAAATCCTTCTGAAGATTTCAAACATACACAATAAAAAAAGGAGTCACAACTCTGAGATGAATGCACATGTAACATAACTGTGTCACCTTTCCTCTCTCACATGTTGACAGCAGGGAGAGACACTTAACCCTGAACAAGATCACCTCACGATTTGTACTCGTTTTACTGTTTTGTTTGTAATCAGACCATTTTTACATTTGTCCTGTTATTTTCATGTGTGAGCTTCTGCACGATTCATCAAAAGGCTTCTTATTCTGCAAGGATGGCCACATGGTTTGTGCTGATGACAGCTGTTTGCTTTAGTTCATGCTTCAGGCAGCTTCTGTTTACTGCATGGTTTTATTAGCAGACTATTGATGCCTTTTACAGCTTAATAATGAGCATCTGAGGACAAACTTTCTACCAACGATTCAGACTTTTTCAAATGTTTATTATCGCAAGCATGTGGCCTCATGCATAACACCAGCTCAGTGGCCTAGCGGTAGAGTGTCCACCCTGGACTGGGACATCGGAGTTCAAATCCTGGTAGGCTCATACCAAACACTTTAAAATGGGACCCAATGCCTAAGGATTGGGAGGTTATAGTCCCTGAGTGTGGATAACCCTCAGGGCTATGCTGGATGACTCCTCCTCCCTGTAGGTCTCGTTTCCCTGGGGTGTACCCCAAGGTTCCATTCATGACCCATTACTATTCTCCCTCTATATTCTGCCTTTAAGAGCCATTCTCAGGCAGCATCAAGGCTTTAATGATCCCTGACTCCTGTAGATCCCCTTGATACATAACGTCACACACTCAAGTCAAATTACACAGAAGCTTCCGGAGGAGCCAAATGAGAAAAGGGGGGCTTTATTCTTGTCTTGGCCCCCAAAATGCCTTGAAACGAATAAGCGTGTTTGACTGATAAGTGAATAAGTGTGTTTGACTGATTGTATCAATTTCCAGAATCCTGGGTGCATCAATGACTGCATCAGGAAAATAAATTTCTATGAAATCCACGAGACGCAAATCCAAAAAAAAAAAAAAAAACCAATAATAATAAATTCAAAAACGTTTTGTTTGAAACATGAAAAAACTAAAGTGACTCTTACGTCATCCAGCTTTAACATGCAAAACTGAGAGATGAAAATGTCCCCTACTTAGCATGTTAGCTTGACATTAGCATCCACCTAATTAATCACTAGCATAGCTGCAGGAACGTGTTGCTAATTGACGCATGTTTTTGATGTCTGCCTTGGCTGCAATGGCAGTAACTGTTAGCTTTGTGGTGTTTGGTTGAAATTAAAATGTACAAATGCAAGAACAACTAGAAAGGCAGTGAGACGTTAATTGCGAATGTTGGTGTCTGTGAGGCAGACTAATTCATCACACAGCTGCTGGCTGGACTCAGAGAGAGAGAGAGAGAGAGAGAGAGAGAGAGAGAGAGAGAGAGAGAGTAATGGAATGTAATGGCTGTAACAGAATGCTCACATAGATGCCAAAGCCTACTGCACAACCCGATGTGCGTCATAGCTCTCACAGCTGACAGCATGTCTCCAAGTGTGTGTGTGTGTGTTAATCTCTTTACTGCCACAGCAGTCTGCTACTAATGCATGAGCCAAATCAAAGCCCTGGGTAACGTCACCACAGTGATGAGAAGCATGACAGCGCTGCACATTAAATAAATGTGCAGAAATGGACTATGAGGTGCGGGAGGAAACTTTTGTTCCTAAAGGTGTCATACCCTCCACAAAAGCCTGGTGACAGTCAGAAGTTGCAGTCAGGGGAGGATTAAGGTGTACAGGGGCCCATAGGCTACACTTGTTCGGAACCAAAAATGCTTGATCGAAGCGAAATATTCTTATCCTATATTCTTATCTGCAGATATTTATTTTAATTAGGGGTGTCAAACAACTAAAAATGTTAATCTAATTAATCATAAGATATTTGTGAATTAACCATGGTTTACCAATATTTTCTGGCATTTTCATCCATTTCACCCCAGCAGCCAGGATCCGGGGTTAAGTTAGCATCCACCATCAGCGTCACCTGGTTAGGACCCATCAGAAACTACTTGAAGCAGGTCTGCCTCTGCCCCCAACTGGACAATATCAGCTTCTCTGTGACTGCTCGTTCCCTCCTTCGAGCTAGCATCATGAACCTCTGCCGCTCCAGCTAGCATAGTTCCGTTGCCTTCATCGTGAATGTCTTGCTTTTCTCTAACCTGCTGTTGGGTCCAGCAGCAGGTTTAAAATATCCTGACAAATTTGGGATTTTTTGCAGAAGATTTTTGTGCTTTTGTTTTTTGTTTCTCTCCATTTTTCTTTTCTGAGCGCCACTCTCATATTTTCTTTCTGACATTTTTTTTCATTTTCCCTCCTTAACTGCAGCAGCCTATGATACATGAATATGACGTGTCACATGACACGTTACTTAACTCAACACCGCCACAATGTTTACCCAATCAGTGTCGCTTATGATTTTGTCGGCCAATGCAGTTGAAGAATATTCTTGCATGTAAATTTAAATAAAATCATATATTTTTAGCTGGCCAGTGGGGGCCCAGAACACACGTGGGCCCCTAGGCTTAAGCCACGTCAAGCCTGTGCATTAATCCGGGCCTGGTTGCAGTAGTCCATTTTAGACCTTGATAGATAGACAGGCTTCACATTTAAGACCTTCTTCAACCTTTAAATAGGGGACAGAAGTTTGGACTTCACATGATGGAACTGAAGTTTATTTAAATGCAGATCAAAATTGTATGTTTGCAAAATGCATTTATTGCTTCAGAGTTTCAGAGCTAAGAGGCCTTGCAAAAAATGTGAAAGAATTGTTTTTGGAGCAGAAAATTTGCAAATCTTGGACTTTTAAATTACTTTGTCTATTAAAATAGAAGGGAATTAAATATATAAATAATTTATTGCAATCAATCAGTGTGGGATATGCTGAGTGTGCTGCTGCCAGCAAAACCAAGACGATCAAGTAGGATCACATGCTTACAAAGGACTGGTGTGCAGGACATTCTTTTGGTGGGTGCAGCACTATTCTTGTTAAAATATTTGGCTGTGTGTTCATTTGAATTCATGCCAAATCTTAGCCTCGAACGTTTGATTTGGGTTTCTTTTCATGTGTTCCAAGCTCAGACTCTCCAACACCAGGGTGCTGATGAACTGCAACTGAATGAGATCGGGTGGATTTAAAAGTCACCCTGTGCCTCTTCACCCAAATCAAACGTGAAACTCAAAGAAACCAAAATGACCACTCATGATAAAAATGAAGAAACTTTTCTGGAGTTCTCCCTGACAGCCCTCGAAACACCAAACACCAAGCATGCTTGGGCTGGTGGTGTTCAGCAGGTCTGAGGCAGCAACAAACTCAGTTGAGCTGAGTCTTGACGTGAACTTCCGACCGCTGTTTATTTACTCAGCTCCACGAGCTCCACAGATCCTCTGGAATTCATTCCTGCCCCACCAGAGAGCTTGATTATGTGCAGTGACGCATGTGCACAGTTTCTCACTCACGTACGCACAATTAGGAGGGTGCTAATCTCACAGGGAGGGGAAAGATCTGAAGGACTTCCTAGCAGCTGCATAGTGTTTCTGAGTGTGTTTTATCAGCTTCAGATCACACTCAGGGCTGCTTGTTTACAGTAAGTTTGGCTCAAACACAAATAGTCTCTAATGCAGCAGTTCTCATTGCTGACTCTGTATCATCGACCTCATGAGTCCGAGTTCCCCTGTTGTCATCAGGCCTCAACTTCCTTCTGAATTATTCAGCGTGGAAGTTGTATCTCACATCAGAGCCATCTGCTTTTTGCGTGTGTGTGTGTGTGTGTGTGTGTGTGTGAGCAGGATGTAAGGAAAAGAAGGTTCACCAAAATAATTTTCCAAAACTGTTTCCCAAGTCTAGCTCAGTTGAAAGCTCTGAAGGAGAAGGCAGTACAACAAGCAACATTCTTAAAGACCAAGTTCACTGATTATTTTCAACACGTTTGCCTTGGTCTCTAGTATAAATGAATTCCTTGTGAGTCGATCTCTGTAGGAAAAACAGCTCTGGTGCTCCTGTTTCAGGAAAAACGAAGTGAGTCAGAGCAGAAGTGAGCTGGATTTGGAGACTTCCTGATATTTGGACATCTCTTTTTAGATTGGCACACAGTAGCATGACTGACTGTGCTTGCTCTGCAATGTTGATATTTAATCTCCACAAACAACATAAGCCTGGAGAAGTTCTGCTGTGTGGTGGAGCTGCTTATGCTAATGGTTAGCATCTACTAGCTGCGATGTGCTCTGCTCTCTCCTGGAGCCAACAACAGCTTTCCTAGGTCACGGCTCACAAGCTGAGATGGGTGAGTCCATTAATGCTAATTTGGCAATGATGCATGCAGTTGTCCAAAAGTTTCCCCATCTATTTTCTATCAGCGACTAATGCAGTAAATAGGGTAGAAGACTATTTTCACTTTCAGCCTGCATGTTAAAATTGATCATTTTTAAAGATAAGAAGCAAAAATAATTTTTCTTCTGTGAATTAACAAATTAGCATCTGCATTATTTCATTTATTTGTGCATAATTTTACCTAATTAGATGGTTTTTACATATTAGCCTATCCATCATAATCATTTTCTGGGTTTTACTTCTGCTAAACCTTATTAAAGTTGAAAAAAAATGACCTGGAGAAGACCTGCTTCAGGTCTACACTCCTCTCGTGACCTGTTTAAAAGAGAGTTTGGTTTTTGTAAAGATAGTTGTGAAGTATTCACGAGGGTTGGGTCAGATTCTCTGACAGGGAAGCTGACCACTCTACATATTTAAAATTAAAACTACAAAAAGGTGTTTCTGTAGTTTGCAAAAGGCTGAACTGTGGATTTCCAGCTTTGCATCAGTTTCACAAACTACAGTATGTCTGGATAACTTGACACCCCCAACAGTTAACATGTAACACAAACACCTGACCTCATGTTTAGGAAAATGTAGTGACAAGGTAAATAACCACCTGATGGAAATATATCACAAGGTACAAATCATCTCTGTGCTGCTGGGTTTAGCAGCATTTCTGTGGCTTTAGATGTTTTTGATGGCTTTTTGTGACTTTAATTTAATTGCACAAACAGTCGATTATTGAAACCATATTCTGAACGTGTCTGAGTGCGAGTTTATTTGTGAACCACGAGTCCTTCGCAGAATCACTGAGTCTAGGTGAAATCCTCTGGACTTCCTGTGCAGACGCTCATGTAGCACCAGCTCAGGGACTTCTTGTACTGGTCATATGAATCCTGCCCTTCTTTGCCCTGGATGACCCCCACGCTGAACCGTTACGACCCCATGGAATCAGCTTACACACACACACACACACACACACACACACACACACACACACACACACACACACACACACACACACACACACACACACACACACACACACACACACACACACACACACACACACACACACACACACTAAACATAGCAGGCTGAATCACCTCTGCCTCAGAGCTTTACAGATGCTAAAGAGGGCAGCTTGAAGGGCTTCAGTGTCAGACAGACGTCACCGTCACGCTTAAACACACATGGAACGACTTAGTCCATCTGTGGTCAGTAAATTAAAGTTTAAATAATGATCAAAATGTGCAGGATAGCGACGCTCATGCACCCAGACTGGACACCACTGTTCTCATCCGAATCAGAATCAGAGCACAAAAGAGTTGAGGTGCAATGTAATGATTGAGAAGAGCTTCACAGGCTGAAGAACACATCCTGTTGTCATTTAAATGTTTTTTTCTAATTCCTTATTTGGTCAAACGCTCAAAGGACAATGATCACGTGATGCAGTGGGTTGGACAGCATTTTTGAATGATCTGTTTTCCTGAAATGGGCCTTGACAAGGAATCTGAGCTAAACCAAACACGAAGGTCAGGTCAGATGTTTACACTCCTGCAGAGCCGTAAGAGCTTGTAAAACCTGTTCAAGCTGTAAAGTTTAAAAACACAACGGACTGACTCACGCTTTATGTTTTCACTTGTCACTAACGGACTCCACCTTTTTCCAGGAGAGCCTTTAATGGTTTTTGTTTTGAGGATGATCTCAAAATTGCCTCTTCGTTGTCCACATCAACAAAATGAATTAGAATTTTATTCTTAGGGGTTTCAAGACCTAAACACAAACCAGGTGTGGCCATGCCTTCTCTGTTTTTGCCCCAACTCTGGAAACAACTCTCTCCAGACCCCTCCTTTTTGCACCTGATCTGATTTTCTGTCCTAACTATTTTACAGTATTTTATTGCTGCTTATTATGGTTTTATTTTGGTTTTATTCAGTTGTTTGTCTTGGTTTAATTGTGGTTTTTACTTGTTTTAGTCTCTACTTTAACCTTTTTATGTGTTTCATTACTTTTGGTGGCATGAAGGTGCTCCATAAATACGTAAAATAAATAAAAGTTTTTATTTCTACTCCTGTTGCATTTTGTTCCTCGCATAAAAAATATATTTTACTGCTTAGTGGCAGAATTTCTGACAAAAATAATACTTATTTTTCAATATTTGATTTGGAGCACTAAGGGTAATAATTTAATAAAAGAAAAAAGATATAAAATAATGCTGATAATATCTGAAAATATTGATTCAAGGCAATAATCTTAAGGTTTATTAAAAAATCTCCTATTTTTTAATTAATACTTCAATAAGATACAGAGAAAAAGGTAATACTGATGTACTGCTTGTTATTATTTTACCTTTACACAAGTTTTCTTTTCTTTAATAATTTTTATGAATTAGTATTTCAACAGAAAAGACCCACTGTTAAAATTAACAAATGACTAAAATAATAAATGAAATGATGAAAAATGACATTTTATAAAAACACGCTCATGCAGTTTCATGTAAAAAGTTCATCTTTTGAAGGACACTTCTGAGTTTTGAGCAATTTTTTTCTTTTAAAACATTTTAAACATCGTCATGTCTGCTGCTCTGAAAGCAGAGCATGAAGAAAAGAAATGCACAGAAATTGGAATAAATTCTTACTTCTCTACATTTCAAGCCTGGAAAAGTCAGGTAAGTGTTAGGAAATATGTTTAATATTTAAATCCCAAACATGTAGCAGAGACCTTTTATTTTTTTACGACCTCGTGTCTGCAGCACCCATCTGATAGCTGGTATTTTTCTACCAGCTTGACCTTTCACACCGAGCAGTCATGATGGGACAGACCTCTCAACGTAAACCGTGAGCATGCTGGAACTGTAATGTAGGAACCATTTTCACTCCGGTAGAGCTTCATTTGGTGTTTGACTCGTCACTGTTGCCTTCACTTGGCTCGTGGATGGTTCAGTCTCTCATGTTGCACCAACTGACTCCCTCGTAGGCGTCAGACACCTGTCCATTCAGCAGGAAGGGTCAGATGCATCATCATCATCATCACCACTCTGCATCACTGAGCAACCACAGCAGGAAGGAGAACCGAGTCACCAGATGCTGGAAGAGGAACGGTAAAGGCGGTTTCCAGCAAATAACCCCACATCAGGCCCGGTATTATCAGACACACCGTCTGACTGTGTGTGTATGTGAATGCATGCATGTGCGTGTGTGTGTGTGTTGAGCTAAATGACAGAAAAAGAATCATGGAGGCAAAAGAAACTTTAGGAACAGAACTTTATTTAAATAAATAGCAACATATAAATAAACAATCTTTCTGGAATAAACATTCTCACCCTTTACTCTTTCTGCTCCCACGAGACACACACACACACACACACACACACACACACACACACACACACACACACACACACACACGCACACACACACACACACGCACGCACACACACACACACACACACACACGCACGCACGCACATACACGGTCATCCTCAGTCAAGTAACAGATCAGAAAACAAAACAGGAAATACTTCATGTTATCTGAAGTTTATCAAAAGGGCGATTTTGCATGATTCTTAGTGTGTGGAGTTGTGTGATTTTTCTTTTGTCCCATCATGAGAAACAAACAAATAATTTATGAGGAATACAGATAAAGTGCAAATGCTGCTTCTGTTTAAACAGTGCAGCTGAAAGGTCAAAGAAAGTATCAGAGGGGCGTCTGAACGAACAGCCTACGAAGCCATCCGTCATTCTTTCTTTTGTTTTATTCTTCAGTTTCAGAGACGGAGAGCTCCGATGGTGAATTTGTTTGGCTAAAGGCACAAGTGTTTGATGGTGACTGCAATCAACCAAAACTGCAGGGTGAAAACGTCAAACACTGCATGTTTCCAAGGCGGAACTTGGAAAAACACTGCTGTCCTATGAGATGTTTCACAGATATGAGACAATTTTACACACACACACACACACACACACACACACACACACACACACACACACACACACACACACACACGCACGCACGCACGCACGCACGCACGCACGCACGCACGCACACGCACACACACACACACACTGTTCACCTGAACTAATATTCTAGCCGACAGACAAAGTTCAGCTTCCTGCACGATGTGGTATTGCTATGTAGATATTTTTCTTTGTTTGTTTAATTTTCTTCTTCTTCTTTTCTAGAAAAGTGAAAAAAAAGGAATACAACCATGGTCCTGGTGGTAACAGCTAGAGGTACCAACGACAGAAGTAGCCGAAGCTGTGATCACCTTGAAATGGTCACTGACCACTGTGCTACATTTCGAGACAGCATTTGAAGTAAAACGTCAGTAGTGTGTCTTTGTTGGATTGTTCGTCTCTTGTGCTGTTCGCTCTTTGGTAAAACCCAAAATTAGTTTCTTTGTTAAAAATACAAACTAAAAGCGTAACTTTGACGTTTGAAATGCCTTCCTCTAAAGGTTTCTACAGTGTCCCGTTGTTGTGTTTCACAACAAAGTACCTCTTCTAGTCAGCTAGCTTGCACAGCAACATCTTAACGGTAAAATCAACCAACCCGACGAAAACCTCAGGCGAAAACGCACGTCGCTCGGATCTTTCTGTTGTGTTTCCATGTAAAATATTGCACTGTTCCCACAGTTTTTGTTCTGTCCATCTGATAAAACAGCTTTTCCCCTGACACCCTGGGGAGGTTTTTTTTTCCAGCTTCTGCTCAAGTTTCCAAACGGTGCTGCCTGAGGAGGTAGTAAAAGCATCTGCGACACGAAGGGCGCTCAGCGAGTCGAAGACAACATGAATCTGAGCGCCGGCGGCGCTGCCACGTTGACTGATGTATCGGTTGTGCTTTGCTCTATCAGTGAGACACCGTCTCGTCACCGGGTTTTGGCTGGTTAAGCAGTCTTTCTGCAGCTTGAGGTAAAAGCAGCATTAGCTAAAACAATCTTGCAGATGAAAAAAGAAAAATAACTGTCACAGTTTCAACAGAATCCTCTGTAAGCTCAGGGCGCTTTGCTGCATGTTCATTGCACCGCTACAGAGAAATGTCTGTTTAGAAAGGCGAAACAAAGAAGGAATTTTGGTCTTCTGTTCAGGCAAGTGACAAAAAGATGAGCTGAAGGAACTCTGACAACGGCGTCAGGCTGCGAGACAACCGTCACGTTTCAGTTTCAGCTCCTGTTTCATTCATATGGGTCCATCTGAGAGCTGGAAGAGTCTTTGAGTTTGTTATTGCTTCTCTGGGAGTCCGATACAAACTCAGCGCCTCGTCCAGAGTTTGGTTATTGCTTCGTCTTTAGCTTATATGATCTCAGAAACATACGGTGCACGTTCTCATCTGTGGACCTTTTGGTAAATCTTGCGTAAATGAGTCGTTAGCATCAGCTTTTTGTTCCGTCTGCTCACTTGTGCTGCGTTCTCCGCTTTACTTCACCATCACGCAGCTGCTGAGCTGCTGCTGTCCGGCCAGGCCCAGCTCCTGCATGTTGGGTTCGGCGCCGGGGGCCGGAGCCCTGCTCCACATGGACAGTTTGGTCGGGAGGGGGAGGGGGACCTGCGCTGCAGGATGAGGCTGCTGCTGGGAGCCGGTGTAAGAGGGGTGAGGGTGGGGCTGTTGGCTGATGTGCAGGCGTGCCTCGAGCAGGTAGGCAGTGGAGGCTACAGGGGACAGGGAGGAGGAGTAGCAGGTGGAGGAGGACAAGGAGCAGCCGGAGAAGGAGGTCTCGAGAGTTTGATGCCAGGGGCCGTGTCGTAGAGCCGTTGGGGGCTGCTGAGGAGGCAGGGCGGGTGGAGCGGGGGTATCACACATGGAGGAGGATGCAAACACAGAAGAAGGTGAAGAAGAAGATGGCTGTTGTTGTGCCAGGAAGAGCAGAGGATTCTGGGTAGGGCATGTCTGGGTGCTTTGGACCTGAGGCTGTGGTTGGTGCTGAATCTGTAGCATCCTGAAAGCCGAGGAAAGAAACACGTTCATTTATATTATCACACATAAATAAAGAAATATGCTGTTATATAATAATAATAATAATAATAATAATAATAATAATAATAATAATAATAATAATAATAATAATAATAATAAGTTAATCACTGTCTAATGGGATATACATGGGCTCTAATAGCAATGTGTCACAGTGAGTCTCACCTTTGCTGGTGCAGCACCTCCTCCAGCATGCTGCGGTGCTCGGAGAAGGCTGGTCCGAGAGATCCTCGGCTGCCGCGGTTACAGGAAGGGGGAGGAACAACTGGCCTGGTCAGACCCTTGATCTTATTTAATCCCAGAAGCCCTTTGGTGCGTGTGTTTTTCCTCAGCTGTTGGCGAAAAGCTTTCAGGCCTGCGGACAAAGTGATGGGAATGTGTTACTCCTCTGTAACTTTAATGTGACTCCAGTTCAGACCCGATCATGAAATCCGGTACCTTGTGTGAGGGAGGTGTCGGAGGCTCTGCGACCCTCCTGGAAGCTGGCAGTTGGCAGGCTGCTCTGTGCTGGAGGCAGGAGGTGGGAGGAGAGAGCCAGAGGAACTCCAGCATGCTGCAGAGCTCCACCTGCAGCACCAGAGGCCAGAAGGGTTGACATCTCCCCAACAGCGGCTTGCAAAGAAGGAGCAGTACTGGAGGAGGACTTCAGACAGCTGTCAGAGGAGGCTCCATCAGAGGGACTAACCACAATACCTGCAGAAACACAACAAGTCAGACATTAGAGCCATTAAGATCAATAGAGCTCAGATTGTGTGCGCTTTCTCAAACATATACTAACATGGAGGGTTGCACTGGTGGAACCGGGCGGAGACCTCGGCCAGAGTGTGTCTGCGGGAGGTGGATGGAGGAAGCAGCGGTCCGAGAGTTTGTGTTGCCTCCTCCTCTTCCAGGTCTCTGGGACGCACCTCTTCACTGATGCTCGTCTCCAGCAGACTGTTGGGTGAAATCGATCGGGTCCAGAGCAATCTGTTCAGGCTGGCCTCCACGGGGAACACCACCCGCTGGAAAAACAGGTGGAGGAAGACTGTTGGTTACTGACCGACAAAAGGATGGGACATAAAAAAGCTAAACAAGGTCTGATTTGCTACCTGGAATAATCCTCCCTGGTCACACTCCACCTCCGTGTACACAGGAGGAGGGTTTTTGGACGGGACTGAGAACGCTGTGGTTTTAAAACTCTCGCTGGACTCCATGATCACCTACAGGCAAGCAGAAAGAGCCAAGCACTTTAGCTTCCCGGCTGAGCGTCGAATCGGGGCTGGTTAGAGCTCGCTATATTGGGAGGGAGTGCTGACCTCTGGACCGCTGGAGTCAGAGGTGCTCCTGGGTCTCTGGTTCCAGCTCCCACACTGACGGCTGAGCTGCTGCGTGCGGTGTTCTCGGACTCTCTCCAGCAGCAGGTAGTAGATGGCAGAGAAGTGATTATAGCTGCTGCTCTGCAGAGACTGGAGGAAAGAACAGAAGATTGTTGACTTTGATTATAGAAAAAAACATAACAAAACAAGTATTTTGTGTTTTTCTTTTGCTCACTCACCTCGATGGTCCTCTGGCGATCGATGCCTAGTGTGTTCATGATGCTCAGCACAGGCTCGCTGTAGTCGCCCAGGTTGGAGTTGTACTCTGTCAGGGAATGGCTGAGGGTCTGCTGGGCAGCTGAAGGGTCAGCCAGCATCCAGCGGTGCTGCTTGATCTGGGCCACAGAGATCCTCTTGGCCGGATCTACCACCAGCATCTTGCGGATCAGGTTTTCACAATCTGGGCGGAGGCACAAAAATCTAATGAGTCTGCAGAATTCCCACAGACTTGTTGCTCTGATTTGTTGACAGGACAATAAATGGGTACCTTGGGACATGAAAAAGGGGATTCTGAACCGTCCTTCGGTGACTCGCTGCCTGAGAGCAGGAAGGCTCGGTCCGTCAAATGGAAGAGAGCCACACACCAGGACATAAAGCACCACGCCGAGGCTCTGTAATAGAGAAAGGCCGGGATGAGAGCGTGAATTTGGATTAATTCTACTTTTATTAACCTATTTAGATATTTTCCTATCTTGAGCTTACCCAAATGTCCAGCTGAGGCCCCTCGTACTCTTTCCCCTCAAACACTTCAGGAGCAGCGTAAGGCGGGCTGCCACACCACGTGGACAGAGGTTCTCCTGCTTTGTAGAAGTTTCCAAACCCAAAATCTGCAAAAAAAAAAGACATCAGCTTTTATCATTCAAGCCGTTCCAGTACAGATATAACACCCTCCTCCTTTCTGCAATCTGTCCCTTTATGTCCCAAAAGGACACATTTGATGAAAGAGCTGAACTCTTTCCCTCTGGCTGATATTAGTCTTAGTAAAACGAGAGAATTATTTACGTTTAATCAGCACACACACAGCGTGTTGATTTAATTAGAGCTGCTTAAGAATCCCAAAGCACCGCATGCTTGCTTCAGACCAATTAACTCTCTCTCTTTTACACACGCTTCCTACAGGCTAATGCGGTAACCATAGCAACAGTAATCGCTCTACTGCAAAACCCACCAGCCAGCTTGATGTTCATATTGGCGTCCAGCAACAGGTTCTCGGTTTTGAGGTCGCGGTGGACAATGTGGTGCCGGTGGCAGTAGTCCACCGCCGTGAGGATCTGCCAGAACTTCTTCCGCGCCTCATCTTCGCTCATTCGGCCATTTGAGGTCAGGTGGTCTGGAGGTAGAGGGGGTTATTTTAGTTCACATTTCAGTGTGTGTCAGACGATTCGGATCGACTGATTCATCTGGTTTGAACTCACCAAACATTTCTCCGTTCCTTGCATACTCCGTCACGATGTACAGCATGTCTTTGGTCTCCATGACCTAAAAGAAAAAACAAAAACAACTGGATGAGACATCTGCATCTGTTCCACACACGAGCCGGCTCGCTTCCTGCATTCCTGGCATGTTTTACCGACCAAACACATCAACTCCAGCCTTAAAATGAAAATTATTCACACACACACACACACACACACACACACACACACCAGCTGGTTAAATAGTTGGGAGTGTTTCCCTCAGGCTGGTACTTGTTGGCAGCAGATGCTAGTGTTGAATTTCAGAATTCCCACATCTCCTTATGTCAAAGACGCTGCACAGGCTGCTCACATGGATCCTGTTTTTGGTAATAGAAGCCAGCGTACGTGCAGCGACTCGACGCGGAGAACACTTTGTTTGACAGAAAGACGAGACTGCCCATCTTTTCCCCCTGAAGCCTACAGAAGGCCTGAGTTTCCTTTAAGGTCTCGGGGAAATGGCCGTTGAGCCGAATGGTTGCGCAACAAAGCAAATTTCATCAGATGACAAAGGCCTGTGTGCATAAGACCAGCTCTGAACTGAATGTCTTAAAATTCCAATGAATGGACGTGCTTTATTCTATTCAGCCAGCAGGCTGTTTGAGAAAACACACACACACACACACACACACACACACACACACACACACACACACACACACACACACACACACACACACACACACACACATACATACACACACACACACACACACACACACACACACACACACACACACACACACACACACACACACACACACACACAGAATGATTCAATACACACTCCACCAAGTGGGAAATGGTCTTTATCAGTGTGAGCTAGAGTTCGCTCAGTCGCCTTGAGGTGATGCGATTGTGAAGAGCCACCGTCGTACAACAAAAGCCTTCAGACCAGTGTTAGCTGCTTTGTTCCTTTTAGCTCAATCACCCTGATGTAGCTATTTCGTATTTACTAATATTGGTTAGTAGCATTGGCCATTCTGAATCCAGCTAATCATTTGTAAATGCATATCCAATGATCTAATTCAAATCTGTTCTACACTAAAAACAAAACCTTTCCCACGATCTGAACAACCTTTGGACTTTACATTAAAAGAATAACTCACTTTTAAAGGGTCAAACAATGTGTAGTGTTTACGGTTAATCTCTGGAAATATTCAGAATGTCAAAATGTTGTTGAAAATAAATTAAATGACGCCCAGTTTTGGCAAAATATTGGTGACTTTGTAACATATAACCATAAAAATCCAGTCTAAAATACATGGGAGTGGGTCTAAGTCTCTGAGCGACTCCATATTAGACGCCATGCTACTTTCTACAGGAGCCTGTGAGGGGAAAAAAACGCATTTACTGATGTGTAACAAACGGTTAAGAAACTTTTGCGTTGTTTTTCCCTCAATGCCACGGAATCTGATGTGCTTATCAATGCTTTTTGACCCTAATGGCCATCCGTTGGTAAGGTCTTACTCAAACACAAAAATACTGCTTGCTTGCAATGATTTATGTATGTACTGCCCCCTATCGCCAGGGAAAATACACACTGTCACTTTAAATAATATAAAGAGAAACGAGAGTAAAAGTGCCTCAAAAATCCTCAAAAGCATCTCGATCTCAAGGGATCAGAGTGAAATTCTGCAGCTGATTGATCAGATGAGAGTTCTTCAAGAAATTCAAAAGAGCTGGACAAACACCATCACAAGACCATCTCATGCCACTTCTCCTTGTGCGAAGGAGAGGAGGAGTTGTGAGGAGGAATGTGACCAAGACTACCTCGGTTAACCCAAATCCATGTGGCGGGTCACACATGGGTTACAAACACTCACAAGGAGCTTTGCACAGCAGCAAATACTAATGTTTAGATATTTTACATGCCAGGTGTCGTCAGTGACGGTGTGAAAGCTGTCATTCAGGATCAGGCAGCTCATCGTAGGACTTATAAGGCCAAAGATGATCTAAGGTTTTACCTCCTGTCATAAAATAAACTTCGATTAGCTCCTACGTGCAAAGTTCTTACTGCACGCGTGAGCATCTTTGCTGCCAACTTCGGCGGAGCACTCTTTAATTCCACAGTAAATCCTCACTCTCTGCTGCGTGCGTGGGATTAAACAAGCTCAAACTTTCAGCACCACGTTTGCTATAAATTAGGTGCTAATAAGAACAAATATGCATTAATCTATAAGAAAAAGGTAGAATCAATTCATATATTGACTTAATTAACAAGCTAATAAGTATTTAAGCTTTATACTCTCCTCTGCATATGCCAGACTCTTCCTTTTTGCAGCCCAGACACGATTTAACACTGAAATCTGGCTCAGATGTAGTATAATCATGACAATTAGCTAAAACAATGAATAAAAGAGCATTGTGTGTTTGTGTTTACTTTCTTTTGGTGTGTTTGTTGCCAGACGTGTGCCAGGGTGCTTGCAAGGTCGGCTGAGTCGGTGAAAGCGGATTCCTCCACCCTAAGTCTTCAATTTGATTAGGAGTAAAGCAGCGCTTTGTGGGGCAGCCTTCACGTGACGCTCAGACACATTGCTCTTGGCTTTAACAGGTGCTAATGTGGCTTAGCGTACCGACGTATGCACACATCCCTTCACCATAACTCGCCAGAATGTTCTCACAAATCTGCAAATCACCCCTTTTCACGGTATGACTGACAACATCTCAGATGTGCACTATTCCCACCATAGACACTGGCCTGCAACCATCACATGCACATTTGAGGGGACACTAGAAAGCAGGGAGGTCAAAGGGGATTGCAATAATGCTGCTCTGCTGTAATTTGTTCAAACATGTCATCACTGCTATGATGCACAAAACCAGCATATGTGCATGCGAAAGAAAAAAAACACAATTTGAGTAAATTTAAATAAAAACTCACCTGATAGAGCTTGATTATGTGAGGGTGATTCAACAGCTTCATGATCTGCACCTCTCTGTAAATCTTCTCCAGGTTGGAGGGATTCAGCCTGGTCTTATCTATAATCTTTATTGCCACCTAAAAATTAGAAATAAATAAAAGTTAAATCTGTGCAAAAAAACAAAAAATTAAAGATAGAATGAGTTGTGCATTGCAGGAGACAGGAGTCTGACCTGCGTTTTGGTGACTTTGTGTTTGGCCAGCTTCACCACTGCAAAGTTTCCTTTCCCCAGGGTGCGGATGATCTCATAGAAGCCGACCTGCAGTGGCCTCCCCTGGGCAGGAGAAGGCTGCGCGCCCCTGCTGGTGTCCGTCATGATCACCATGTTTGTAACAGCGCTGGGACAAATGAAGGCTGCAGAGACAGCACACAGGTGATTTTAGATCTCATGGACGTTCTCCTGTTACGTGCCGCGAACTTGTCGGAACAACGTGAATCAGCGATATGGTAGAAACAGGATTTTAAAATAAATTAAAATAATTTTTAATTAAAAATGAGTATTTTAGTAAAAGATCCCAAATTTATATATAAAATAACTTTTTTCATCTTAAATAAAGTTTTAAAAATGGGGCAGGTGTTGCATTAAAACCGTAAATAAAGATATGTATTGAGAATGGCACTTAGTGTTAAATTCATAATGAATCAGTAGAAAATGTGACAAAGTCTTACCTTAAAAAGAGATAAATCACCTCCTCTCACAGTTCAGACAGCTGTGTGACAAAAAGTGAACCATTCCACCTGAGCGCCGGAAATAATCACACCAATAAGGAAAAAGTGAAAATCAAATTCAAAAAGGAAAAACTATTACTTCCGTTCTTATTGAGTTTAAGCTACGGTTTCTGGCCGGGACTGTGCTGCGGCCGCTGTGTGCCTGAGAGCTCCACCGGAATGCGGAGCTGAGGGCTTCTGCACTCACAGGGGGAACTCCTCCTCCTCCTCCCTCCCTCTCTCTCCTTCCTTCCCTCCCCTCCACCATAACAAATTGATACCAACCTTATTAACGTCACACCCGCGTCAGCGCTACGGGCTGGGTGCACGGCAAGGCCGGGCTCGAGCGCAAGGCACTGGTTGCCGGGCAACCGCGCGGCTAGGGCGCACGGTGACGCGAGTGCTGATGGATGGGTTGCTTGGAGATTGGGACGGTGACGTCAGTCGTAGAGATGTGTCACCACGTGATGTTTCCCTCTGCCGGGCTGCAGCTCGGGGTGCAGCATTCACGCGCATGCGTACCTTAGAGCGGCAGCGCGTGCGGTTTCAGCAAGAACAGAACAGGCTGCATCTGGCGATCCATCCTAAAAAGAATTCAATTGTTTATGGTACAATCATCACAAAAATCAAAACAAACAAACAAAAATAAATCAAAACCATAAAAAACATAATAATAATAATAATACAATTTTTTTACTACCACTACTACTTCTACTACTACTACTATTATTATTATTATTATTATTATTATTATTATTATTATTATTATTATTATTATTATTATACCAATAGGATGGGAATAATTTCAGTAATGAGCTGGTCCTCTAGAGAACATTTCAGTGGTATTTCAAACAAACCTACCTGGGGGGTTATCAAAAATATGGGGTCATTGCATGATTAAAAAAACAGGTATGAAATAAGCCTAATATCCATCGGTGCAGACGT